TTACATGACATTTTTCTATTAAACGGACGTTACATTTTGAAGTTGTTGCTTCTTGCTTTTTACAACTTTATAATTCCTGTATATCCCTATTTTAATTCTTGTTTGACCAATGCCTTGACCTTTTTCTGGAAGGGGAGGGGGATGGGGAATTTGCACTCTTTTGACCAGCGATAACGTCCCTGGGGTCGGGCATTTGAACAGAAAAAATGATCTGAGTTCAAATCCCCCGCCTATGCCCGGCCTCCCCCCCCTGCAGCTTAACATTGATAGGTGCATAATCCATTCATAAAATGAATAATCCAACAGTCAAATTGGACCTCGATTCAATAATCAAATGTTGATTTGGTTTATGAACAAAATCTACCTGTTCTTTATTCTTGTCTGTTGTGTTCAATCGTATTTGCTTCCTTTTTCCTGCCGTTTACGATTGCGTTTTTCATTGCCTTTTAATAATCAAAATAACAGCTAGAATAGACAGACCGCAAACGCAAAGAAACTATGAGAAACTGACAAAGGCCGAGGATCGAAATCCACCAATCACCGCACATACACTGACCTTAGTTTGACCGTTGTGTTTTCTAAGAGGTCAGGCCTTGGTCTGTTGCACCGATTACTGGCAGCAAACTGGCGTACATGTAACAGTTTGTTTGGGTTTGAACTTCAGAACTCGCCAGCACTCGACTCTCAGAAAAAAAAGAGGAAAAAGCAAAATTCTGAGGTCAACTTGTGGAAAGTGTAGTTTTTCAAAAAACAGTAATCGAATCAACATTCGATTATGGAATCGAGGCTAAATATGAATATTGGATTGTTCATTTTATGAATGGATTATTGAATCAACAAACGAAATCATTTTTCCGTGAATGAATTCATTAGTTCGTTAGCGACGGGAACGCTTGACCTGGTTTGACTGTAAACTAATAAACAAAACACGGAAACGTCTTTAAAAAATGGCTTTGCCCAAATTTTCTCTTGCTGCCCAAAAAATCTGAGTTGCCCAAAATTTGGGGGGGCTGCAGCCCCCCTCGCCCCCCCGGCCCGTACGCCTATGTTCGTGTGAACGGAAGGCCTAAACGCATAAAAAAGTTTGCGTTTACTACCGTTTGCGTTTACAATCGTCTTCGTGTGGACGGGGCCTTAGAACTGACAATGTCACAAATGAAATCAGGAACTAACCTATATGGGTGATTTTCATGCAATCTCGGGAGACACAAATAACAATGGTGAAATGAACAAATGCTGGTGGACAAACAAAGCGAGCTATACATGCATCAGGAGTTCTGGACTTCCTGTTGGATCGCACGGCATTGTGGGTAGGCGGGCTCAGAAAAGTGGGCATCAACTTGCAGCTTCGCCATATTGGATTACACGTGCAGGAATATAGAAAATACAGTTGGACCACAGGTAGCCCAAGCTCACTATGAGAGCCGTGAACAACATTATCCTACTTAGCTAATTAATTATTCATACAGCAAGAAAATTATAAGACGTTGTATGGAGAAATATTCTTTGCTCACTAAATTAGCAAAATGTACATTGAATATCGCTTTGAAGCTTACCTTTAGGCACTGTTTAAGGCCTTTTTCGGAGCGACAGTTTTTCAGCCAATCAAGGTTTTCAGTCTTGATTGCCTAGGCTTTTGTAGGGAGGGCCGATATACTAGGCTCGATTACCAGCCGCTGTTCGGGAAAATGAGCCCACACTCATCCCCCGAATGAGGGGAGGATCAAAGACTGGACCCGGGAGACGGTGGAAATCTAACCTGAGATCAGGCGTCTTTTTTTTTTTTTTTTTTTTTTCGCTTCTTTGGCTCGAGAGAGCGTCTTTTTTTTTTTTTTTTGCTTCTTTGGCTCGAGAGGGCGTCTTTTTTTTTTTTTTTTTTTTTGCTTCTTTGGCTCGAGAGGGCGTTTTTTTTTTTTTTTTTTTTTTTTGCTTCTTTGGCTCGAGAGGGAAAAAAAATAACGCCTGATACATTTATTTAACAAGCAGTCAACCGCCCCCTAATTTACATGATCTACCGTTTGCTTGACCTGTCATGTTTTTAGCCAATAAGCGTTTACCAAACGGGAATCAAATTTTGGCGCGAATAATGTCTCTTTTGAAATCATGATCAGTTTTAGGGGAAAAAAATTTTTTTAAGTACGTCCGTGTTCAGATGGCGCTTCGCAAAAAATAATAAAAAAAATTAATGTGTTGTTTTTGTGATGAAATACTCTGGAGCTGTCGTACCTTTGTGAATAGCTACAAATAACAAAGAATTTACTGGTTAAAGCTCGTTGACTTCGTTCTGTACTACGAAAGCAGTGGAAAAAAAATTAGGCTGAAGCACCATATTTCACGAACTGAAAGGTGTTGTGAAAGCGAAGATCGCTCAGGATAATTCGCAGCATGATTTCTGAAGGAGGAAATACAGTCAAATCAGGTCAAGATTCCATTCATGAATTGATTATTTGAAAAGTGAACCCGTTTGTCGCTTCTCTAACTTGTTGCCGGTATCAAATTGCATTCAAATGATCGGTGAAGTTTTAACTGCAACTGTTTTGGTATACGATGAGCTGGTCAATATTTCAATGGATGAAACTTCTATTCAGGCATTCTTCAAATTCAAGAAAACTGAGGCCCAGTTCAGACGTCGTGCTTCTGCCGTGCCGAACTTAATTGTAATTTGGTTCGACTGTAGCACGGCAGGAAAACAACTTTGATTCAGACGTCGTGCCAGAGTCGAACCAAATTCAGGATTTACTGATGCCTCGTAACAATTCTTCTCCCAACTCCCCGTGGGAACGCAATCTCGCCAAAATACATTAATATAATTTATAAATTTTGTTTAGCGCGGCAGAAGCACGACGTTTGAAACGCTGCCGTGCCAGAGCCGTGTAGCACGGCAGCGCTTGTCGAACTTAATTGCTTGCCGAACTTAATTCAAAAGTTTGATTCAGACGCCGTGCTTCTGCCGTGCTGTTGTCGAAATTAATTCCTGAATTTAGTTCGGCACGGCAGAAGCACGACGTCTGAACTGGGCCTGAGCGGGCAGAAATTTCATTTATAACGAACTCGCGTGTGTATTCACTGCTTATTACGCAAGCAAAAATGCAGACTGAAATCAACAACAACTAACGGATGGCGTCATTTTGGCCAATCGGAACAGCGCAAATCATCCGCATTGTTTCCTATCCAATCAGAAAAAAGTCCAGATTCTGGCATTTTTACATGTGATCCGACAAAGAAATGTGTCATGCCCTCTTCCCGTGAGAGACATAAAGGGATAATAGGGAGAGGGCATGATCTCAGGCTAGTGTAGCCTGCGTAGCATTGCGGTTTTGGTTGGGCGCGCTAAGTAATAGAGGCGGGCGAGAGCAGAGAAACCGCGAGGAGATTGGGGCGGAAGCAACTTGAAAAACCGCCTGCACGGACGGGGGGCTTTTTTGAGTCGGTCCGCACGCCAGCGTACGGATCGTTCCGATTGGTTCGAAATGTTCGCCTGTCAATCAAACATTTTGGTAATCTCCCATGGGAGAGTTTCGAGGGACTGAACAAATCACCTCCGCAAAACAAAATCAAAATATCAAAGAAGCGTTGACCGGAGCGTCGTCGATCTTGAATATTTGACGGGAAAACAGGGCAATTGTATTGAAGCCTAAACAGGAAATGGCCATTTACAGTCTTCTTCAAAGGAGAGATGTCATGGAAATTTTGTCAACAAGATTTGGCAAGAGCATGATCTTTACTGTCTTTGCTATGGCCAAAGAAGAAATATCCTCATCGAAAACCTGTATGATCACAATTCCTCCTCTAAAAAGTACTATCGACGACCAGATATCTGAAATCTTGTCGCTGAGCCGTAAAGCAATGGACCTTATGACAGAAACAGTAAATTTCAGTGCTTCGAGAAAGTTCACCTCAATTTTCTCTATTACTCGGTGTTAGAGAATAACGCACTCCATTGCAATACATCGAACGGTGTCCGCGGTTGTGGTCGATGAATCGCATACGGTAGAAGACGCACAGCGTAATTCTCCATACTTTTTTGCTTGGTGTAGCTTAGGCTACAACTCAAATCTGAAGATCGCGCTATACGTAAAAATACAACATCCTGCAAACAACACTTAAAAAGCCGGGTCCAGCGTCAAAACATTCACGGACAAAGCAGTGACAAAGAAACTACAAACCAAGGCTCCTTGGTTTGTAGTTGTCCAGATCCAGGCATTTTAGTCGGAAAAGACCAAAGAAACTAAAATATTTATTTAGCCGTAATAAAAAGCTTTAGGCTTTAAGAATGGTTAAAGAAATTAGTACTTTACAACTGCATCTGAGATCAACAAATTCTAATTAGCGAAAATAACATTAACCCCAGGAAATAATTACTCAATACGGATTAAACAAACCAACTCCATGACCTCTAAATAAATGTAAGACTTAGTGCAGCAAAAATAACATCTACTCAGTCAAGTTTAGAACGCGGTGTAGTCACCTATGCGCGAGATAGCCACAAGGAAAAAACCTGTGTTTGTTCAAGCAAACTCCAATTCCCGCCAAGGTCACGTTTTACACTATATCACGAGCGTTTGTGTCGTGTTTAGGCTGTCAACACTTTATTTCTGATTGGCTGGGAAAACTGAAACCAAACAAGTTGTCAACAGGATGTCAAAATGAGTTGAAGCGGGCGGCAGTTGAAAAGGCCACGAATCCGGGCAGGCGGTTTTTATTTTTCTCGCGGCTTCGCCGCTCGTTCTCGCGCGCTTCGCGCGCGAATTTCGCTGCTACGCCGCTCCTGCGCCCAGCTCGACAAAACCGCCATGCTACGCAGGCTAGGCTAGTGGAAATCGAGCCTACCGATATACGAGCTCGTCGCAAAACGACTGCGTGGAAAGTTGATGACGAAAGAGAAAGCGAAACGTCTTTCTCATATTGATTCGGATTCATCCGCTAAATTGCACGGAAAGGTTGTACAGCTCATACTACTGCGTACAAGGATCTGTGCCGGATCTGTTTAATACGAGGCAATGCAATTGTGGAGGTATAAAAGAAAATTGGTTTTCGTAACATTGTTGATAGTAACAGTTGTTTATGTGAGCTTCATTGTCCACAAACGTGATAAACCCAGAAGAGGCAGTGAGGTACCGGTCTTTCCTCCTTTGATTTCGCATCAGAGAGCTGGACCTTTGAATGTAGACATTTGGGAGGACATTTGCGGACACAAGATGCAATCACTAAAACATTTTCCACTTTTTCCGCACTGGCCATCGACACGGTTACGAACGTCAGATCTGCAACTCCATTTTCGGCCAGAATTCGAACATTTTGGACTTCGAATATTTGGATATCTGTCCCCCATTGAATCCGGGCTTTACAGTTTTCATGTAGATACAAGTGAGACCTCCGAACTGTGGTTAAGCCCAGATTCAAAGCCAGAAAACAGCGTGTTAATCGCAAATACAACTGCCGGGATAGCATCAGAATTAGACAGCAACAGAAATGGGATTTCGCTTCTTGCAGGAAAACATTATTTCTTGGAAGTTTTACTGAAGCATGGGAAATATGAAAAAGGGAAGCTTCATCGCTTGGAAGTCAAATGGAAATTATTTCCTGGAAGAGGAAACGACATGAGGAAAATTCCCTCTGATGTGTTTGTTCATGATAGGTTTGGTCAACTTGATGGAAAAACAAATGCCGTTCTTCCTATGCACACAAAACGCCCGGATCCTAGCTTTGCAACACATAATCTACAGCACCGTTCAGAGATGTATCTCCTTCCTTTCATTACTGAAAGTGATTCTAAAGATCTTTTTCCTCCATGTGACTACAATCCTTCATACTTGATGAAAGGACCTTTAAAGAGGTACGGGGCCATTTGGGAGATGCACTATACGTCCATTTATCCTTTTGACTACAGTGATGTTCTTGACAAGGAGAAAGATTTTGTTTCGTTTGGCAATGACATGTTGGATGAAGTTATCGCAGAAGCAGTTGCTTCCCAAGTCTGGATACAGCTCAAGAAAAAACAACCAGGGTAATTGTGTGTGCTCGTGTATTTCAGTGTTGAGGGACTTAATGATTTCTACCCAACTTTCATGCCGACATGAAAAGCTTTCCATTACAGTCTGGTTTCAACTGTTGGGGCTCATGGCTGGCTTGCAGGGATTACTTTTTGACAAGTACACTTTGAGTAACTTTGGGGAAATTTAGGACATTCCCAAATGCAAATCTAAGAATTTCCTAGGTGATTGGGATTGTTTATCTTTGTGAACGTCCTGAAAATGACTGGTATGGAATGGGGTTGGGGAGATTTGGGTCTGAAATAGAGTAAGCATTCAAAGAAGTGTGTTGCACATTGCAACCAGGGCTCAAAAAAAGTGCTGTCTGGTAGTCTGGAAAAGTAGCTTTTCTTGTTGGGCAAGTTACTTTTAACCCTTTAAGCCTTAAGAGTGATCAGTATCAAATTTCCCCTTGTAATGTCAATGCTTTGTAAAACAGAGTGGTCGTGAGAATTACAGACATGATCACACAAGATGAATTTTCTTCATATTTTATCAACTTCTCCCCACTACTTCCGTAGGAAATGAATAGGGCAACAAATGAGAACTCAAACTTTGATCTTAGGGTTTAAAGGGTTAAAGCTTACCTGCCCAAAGGGTAAGGGTCTAGGCAAGTCAACCTCTAAGAAATGCATAAACTAATAGGAGCAAGAAGTGGCCTCAGGTGAGCAAAATGTGAGAGTTTTTTTCGTGTTTCTTGCAAGCCCTTAATCTCGTACCCAGATCTCACTCCGTCTTACACTGAAAAGTGGCTGCGGAAGATCTGGGTATGAGATTAGCGAGCCCTATCACCCTTCTGGGAAAAATCCCTGAGGGTGCGAGAGTCACTTTGATAATAATCAGATTTTTTCCTCTTTAATCTAGGAAATACTCTTTTGTGCAAATCCTAAATGTGGAGGAAAATCGTGACCCAGGAAGAGGATACAGGTATTTAGTGGAAATGGAACTCAAAGAAATTTTGAGTGGAACATCTGTGAGATTCTCAGAATATGTATACAGAACTTGGGGTGCACAAGCCCTCTGCACCCCTGTGGGCGTGACATGGAACAAAAGTGCTGTTGTCAACATTTTGCTTACTACTGGAAATAACCAGGGACGGTGGATTCTTCACTTCCTTGAAAACATGGCAAGAATTTACCATAGAACTAAAGATGCCAATTTTAATGTAGTTATCGTCGATTTTGACAGCAAAGACATTGATATTGGTAATGCCTTGAAGAAGGCAGCAATTCCATCTTATCAATATACTAATACAAAGGGGGATTTTTCAAGGGCCTTGGGGCTACAGAAAGCTGCTGAAATGGTCAGAGATCCGAATTCAGTTCTTTTTGCTATCGACCTTCATCTTGATATTCCTTATCATTTCCTGGATGATGTTAGAAAGGTTAGTGAAGCGTAGTTGTTCTGGCCATTTCATATTACTGTCTAGATTATATAAGAAAGGTTAGTCAGCAGTGCTTGATGTTAGTATCGGTGCATTTGAAAACTTTTAGTTGAATTTGCACTATAGAAATGAAAAGAAAAAAAAAAATTATTATTATTAACTGGGCTTGCTGCAGGCTGGCCCAGTTCATAAAACACCTTCGATTTTAAAAACGTCTTTCAAGCTATCATTGGCTTTTTTTTCAGTGCCTTTTTCAAAAGATGGTAGGATGGGTCACTCTTGAGGTTTCTCTTGCCTCGACATTGAAGTTTAATCCCTGTAAAGTATGACGTCCAATGTCTCTTTTTATGTTATTGTGATTCTTGCTCTGAGTGAATGTCCTGGGAAATGTACTGATTGTAGATCACAACGTTGAAATAAATAGCCTGAATGGGCTCTGAGTCAATAGCCCATGAGGCCGAAGGCCATGAGGGCGAGAGCAATAATAAATTATTGTTTAAACCCAATGTCAGACAAAAACAAAACTTAAATTTAATTTGCTTTGTTAGTGTTAAGAACCAGAATTGAGAAATGTACTTCTTGTTAACAGTGTTTTATGACGCGTAGAATTAGCGACAATAATTTGTGGAAATTACGGTTAGGTCAAATTAGTCACTTTATACTGTCACACTATATTTTGGCGGGCAGTGGGATTAGGAGAGGGATACGTGAAAATAATGCTTATTGTTTCCTGCTCAGAATGGCTAACTTGCTTATTTTTATTCATAATGGTGGAATTTGAAAAGTTACTACACAGCCCCGACTTAAAAATGGTACATATTTTCCTTGTTACGAAAGTCTTCCAAAAGGATACAATGTTCAAAAATGAGTTTATGTTAAACTCTCTAGAGCAGGCCCTTGCCCTCCCTTGCACCAATCCGTGTGTGGAGAACTTACTCTAGGCTTTTGCTAGAAGAAGTTCCCAATGGGCTGGACCACAGTAGGGGTGCATGTGGGTGTGTGCGTGTGTGTGTGCCATTTGAAGTTTGCTTAAAATCCAAATCCCGACTTTAAAAATGCGCTGGCAATTATAATTCCCTGTGACTTGAATTCCATTTACCCAGTCCAAGAAAAGACAATTCCCAGCCCCCAGTCGACCCCTTCTGGGTCCTCCTAGGTAGAAATAGTTAAGGTCATTGAATTTATCCTGAGCACATAATCTAACTTTTGCTATTTGTCCTCACACCCTCTTTCAGCACTCTGTTCAACACAAGATGGCCTACAGCCCTGTTCTGGTTCGCTTAGCTTGTGGCACAACATCTACTGAACCCTTCGGCTACTGGGACTTTAATGGGTTTGGAATGATGGTTTTGTACAAGAGTGACTGGGATAAAATTGGAGGAATGAACATCAAGGAATTTAAGGATAAGTGGGGTGGGGAGGACTGGGAATTTGTGGATCGGTTACTGGAAGCTGGAATGGAGGTTGAAAGGCTCAAAATGTTGCATTTTTTTCACTACTTCCATTCAAAGAAAGGCATGTGGAATAACATCAACAGCCATGCAAAAGGTGAGATTTTGAGCAAATATTGGTATTGACGGTGGATCACTGTGTAGTTGCCAAATAAAAATCTCAGGGCTTAAAGGCTGGTAACTCAAACCAAGTTCGAAGTTTAGTGGAAAGAATTAAAATGGTGCATTTGTTTCACCATTTCCATTCAACAAAAGGCATGTGGAATCGAAGGAACAAACAAACAAATCCTAAAAGTAACTCGAACACATATTGGTATGAATAGCAGTCATAAATATTGGTCAGTGTGGGTAAAGTGAAACGTTCCTTTTGTTAACACTGCACTGCACACATCCCATACAGTGCAACCTCAATATAACAAGGAACTGGGAAAATGTGTTTGCTATAATGAGAGGTTTCATTATATCAAAGTCTTCTTCCATATCTTTTACTTTTTTAGTGGGAGAAGAACTTAATTTGTTATAGTGAGGACTTCATTACACAGAGGTTATTAAATCAAGGTTCCTTTTTATTTTGAGGTTTCATCATAAAGCACAAAATTTCTTCAAAAGAAACAGGGCAAGAAAGTATCAGGAGCATGCTGAGCATTACCTTTATTAAGTCAACCACAAGGTTCAATATTATTATTGCCTTTGACAAATGCATACTTCTAATATAAAAATATTTGGAGAAATTAATATCATACTTATTAAATCACTTTAAGTAGGCAATCTGTGTACCAGCAGGTCTACTGCTACAAATAGAGACTAGAGTGAAACCGCAATAATTATTAAGCGGACACCCTCTATTAAGCGGACAGTAAGCTGGGTCCAGAAATTCATGTCTTATATTTCCCTTTTTTACGAACCCCTATTCAGCGGACACCTCCATTAAGCGGACGTAGACACTAAAAGAAACAGTATTTGGCTAATTTCTATTGTTAATAACCTCTATTAAGGGGACACCGGAATGAATTGACAACAGTAGTATTGAATTATGCCTTACGTACTGTAGTCGATTAATAAAGATAAATCAATGCATTTAGCTGTCAATAAACTGTAGATTAGACCGAAAGTCTTGCACAAAGTACAGTAGAGCTTCCTTATCTTCACAGTACAGAGCAACCGTTATGAGTTAATTGTTAACAAACATTGTGCAATTTTTAGAAACCTCTATGAAGCGGACACTTGAGAAGGTCCTAATGGTGTCCACTTAATAGAGGTTTCAAAACAATTATTTTAATCACACCAAGGGCTAAAAACAGTTTGTAAAAATTGAGTTTTGTAACATTTAAATCTCTAGAAAAATTGTTTAATTTATGTATAGTTCGACCAATCAATAAAACCTCTTCGTCAGTGCTTTCACTGTTTTCGATATCTTTCTGTGAAACTTACACAATCGTGAACACCAGAAATATTTCTGGAATGTTATTGTGTTGCTAGGAGAAAGCCTGTCAGATGTAAGAAATGTAAAGCACAAGCAGCAGCAGAAGTTTGTTGTTTTGGGGCTTGCTTGCATGTTCTGATCTTTTCTGTGATCAGGTTTTCATGGGTTTTTACCGGGGGTACTTTAGGAATTTCTGGGTGGGGAGGTGCCGCTGGGACCCTGGAACCCTCAACCTATTCTCGGTTTTCACATGACGTCATCAAAATTCAAACTAAGAAACAATCGATTCTTCTGAGATTCTGAGTTTCATGAGGTATTACAGCACCTAAACACCTTTATTTAAACAGAGGTTTGGTTCGAAAGGGTTCTTCGTTTTGCGATAGAGGACGTTTGAATTTCTAGGCTTTTGCGTGACGCGGCATTTAGCTGGCGGCCGGGACTGCTCTTCTGTGGGTTAAAAACATTACCAGTTTTGGGAGATTTTGCTATCTAAACATTCCTTCTGTCAGAATAAATATCACTTTAATAGTTTATGAGTTTTTTAAGCGATGAATTAACGCATTAGTAGGAAAACTCAAAAACAGATGTTTTTTGGTTTCCGGCCATATTTGTGCCCCTCAAAGGGACACAAACATGGCGCCTCCATACAAAGCTTTATAAATTTGGGTAAAACGTTTTTCCTAATATCTCGCATATGAAATATCGCACAGACCTGATTCTTGGCAAGGTCTTTTGCTTATTTATCTTCTTTTATTTCCAAGATTCGGGACTTTCTGTATCGAATGGTTTGCAATTTTATTTTTGATTGCGTGACAGTGAAAACCGAGAATACCAGAGCTAGTTCAGCTGAATTTTGCTACCCTATACTAGAGTAATCTCCCCAAATCCCCACTATCCTAGAGTAGCTGTTTTCCAGAAACTACTAAGGTCACTAGCACAGTCTAGCCAAAACAAAACCTTGTACCACAATCCCTAGTCTAGATAAAATCTCCAACCAACTGATCAGTTTCCTGAAAAATGATACCCTAGTCTAGACCCAAACGCTCTGATTTATATACCCTATCCTAGAGTAAACTGCTTGAAAACCATACCCTTCACAGCGGCACATACCTATATAGCCCTTGTATGGAGGTACCCCCCCCCCCCCGGGCGTTTTTGGAATTTGACAGTAACAAAACTGATATTTAATTCTTAGAGAATTTGAAGTTTGGCTTCCATAAGGACTGAAAGAGCTTAGGGGTAGTTTTCCTCGTGTTTCACAAGCAAATAAAAGGCAATTCGGAAGTAGACTTATAATAATATGATTTTAGTTTTTGAGGAAAAAGATATTTGTTTATGATAATCACTATAATCGTAGTTTGATAAAACCATCTGTTATAGTATTAATTTTAGATTCAGATATAAAGTTTAAGAATATCTGCTTGTCCAATACTTGTGGAACTTTCCAAATACCAAAGTACAGGTGGGGAGATCACACAGTAACCGTTACAGAATAACATCTAACATTACAGTTACGAGCCAGGAGCAGTCTAAATTTACAAAAAAAGAACAGGAAATAATAAAAGATATTAATTAAGCTTTGTGTTTGAGGTTAGTTATTGTTTGTCTTGCACCAATCACCTTGCTATTGACTGCAACATTGTAACCGCATAATGCTGGGCCCAGTTGCTCGAAGCATGGTTAGCGTTAACCAGCGTTTAATACCTTGACAACGTATTGGTTTTGATACTGCTTAACCAATGGTTAAAGCTAACAATGCTTTGAGCAACTCAGCCCTGGTCTTTATTTCCCTAACAGCCAACTGACTCTTTCCCTGCTGGGTGCCAGAGACTCTTCATGCAAGGTTTCTGGTTTCAGTCAAGCCACTCATGGCTTTGGCCTTCAGGTTGACCCCAAAACATCTCTACTACACTCAACTGCTGCATGTGGTACTCAGGGAAAGATTGACTCCATGACTGATGAAGACTACAAAATGTTGCAATCAATAGTAAAGTAATTTTTGTGAGAGAAATCATAAACAAACCCCATCATGAACAACAGAGGATTTATTCAATTGAATCAGGGGGTCTCTTTCATCCCATTTTATTGACCCACCCCTATACCCTAAAGGAGAAGGTGAAAAAAAAAATGGGGGTTAGAATGAAAGGCACATTGGGGGGTTGCCTCCCCTTTATTTCAATTTTGGAACTTCGAAACATTCAGTTATAATTTTAGCGCCATGAGGACCATACTTAATCTATCCGCATTTCTTTTTTATTATGTTTACTTCTACAAAATTGCCGAGAAGAAAATATCAAGGATTTATCATCCCTTTTTGAAATTGAGAATTGATACGACAAATTACGTCATTTGTGCCAAAAATGCTCGGTGATTCCGATCGACGTATATAGCACATAAAGAGTTCATATTTAGCCACATTATAGCTTAAATTACAGTGGCAAACCATAATTTATGAGGAAACGTTGCATGTTAACAGTAGCTCAAAAAACGCAAAATATTTGAAATTTTATGGTGGGAAAGTCGAGTCTACAAGAAATGGCAACTTTGGCGATTATCCGGGAGATATCAAACTCTAATCTGGAGACCGAGAGATAAGGTCCAAAATCTGGAGTCTCCCGGATTATCCGGGAGAGTTGATAGCACTGCGTTTAGGCGTGTATGAATACACGAAAACCAAGGGCCTGGATTCGGGGGAAGTTAGATCATTGCCAAAATGCCAACACGTATAGAAATGATCGCCGAAAATAAACTGCATGCTGCACCGTGACTCCACTTTGGTAATGACCCAATACTGTTCGGTCTAGCCGGCAAGCAAGCTCTCCTATTCGCGCGAGTGAAGCGAGTATCTCGAGAACGCGCGAGCGAGCGGCCTCTCGCTCGCGCGTTCTCGCGAGGCTCACTTCGCTTGCACAAATAGGAGAGCTTGCTCGCAGGCTATGTTCGGTCTAGTTTGTGACTTTTGAGTGATTGACGTTGTCATATAACGTTGGCCAGAAGTAGCCATCATTGTAGCAATGCACAATTATTACCTCAACCTCTGATTTCTCGTCCTCTGTACACCGTTCATATTTTAAGTTATATTGAAAAAGCTATCCCGCTTGGTCCTTATTTTAATTTGGTTTTCAATTAAAGTACGGGTGGTCCCGCGCAAGTTTTAACTCTCTTGCTCTGCTTACAAAAACATTAAAACATGAACGACTGATTTTGATCACGAGCAAATTCTTGCCTTGGCACGTCACAGACTTTGTAAGCAAGATGCTGTTGACACTTTCAAAACTTTTTAAAGCGTAAGTAATCAAGAGCTGGATGACAGGAACTTTCGATAACTTTCTGTATTTGGTGAGTGTACCTTCTACTGGTTTGCTCACTGTATTTTCCGTGAAACGTGAAATGCCCAGTTTATTTTTCGTGAAGCTCACTAAACCATATCGATGTTAACCACCTTCCAAAAGTGTTGGTAGGAGACTGGGTATAAAAAATTATTTTTTAAATGCGTTTGCCTGGCGTATGATATGTGCTTCCTCGTTCGCACGGCCGCAGAATCAGAGGCGCGACCACTTTTTGGCTCTCTTTGGTCATTTTACGAAAAAATGGTTAGAAGAGCTAACTCTAATGATCTAGAGATACCAGGTGGAGAGAAAAGTCGTATTTATTTTCTAAGATTAAGCTATTCAAAGGTAAAAATTTTTGAATGTAACTGCAAGTAGCAAAGTAGATGTTGGTGATGTACCAGTGTCAGAGGAAAGCTCGACAGCTGCCAAACAGCTCAAACCAAAAGAGAAACAAACAGAAGATGTCACTGGAAAATTCAGATATGATCGTTTTGGACATCTTTGCATGGTATATTTTTATGTTACTGTATTAAAATAATTTGTCATTTTCAAATGCGTAATAAAGTTCGACAAGGTTTTTGTGATTAAAAATGTTTTTATGTAGGACTTGTTTGTTGACAAATTTTACGCTTCCCTACAATGCACATGTCACACATTATATTCTAGACTGTTCATATATAGTAACCTTAACGTGAAATTTTACCATTGATCTCCGATCACTCTGAACCCGTTTTTGCTGATGGTGCAATGGCTGATTGGCTGTTCTCAACTCGGTCCGTTGGAAAGATATCGGTCAGGCTCACGTGTAATTCTTGCTGCCTATCGTTGCATCGAAGAACTTAAGCTGAATTTCGACAGCAAACTTCCAGGAATGCACTACCTTTCCTGATCGCTTGCGTTGTGAATCCATTGCGTATTGGCGGCATTTCCTCGAAGCGTCTGTAATTGCGGTATTTTGACCCTCTGCATTCAAAAACAATTGAATTGAATTGAATAAAGAGGCAGCGAAAAAATTCCGCCATAACAGCTGTCTGTACACGTACTCTACTCGCTATAGCCTCTCCCTGGTCTTCCCTGTCTCTTGTTGACAGCTTCTTCTTCGCTGGGCCAAGCTAAAGCGATGCTCTCTCTGTTGCGGGGTTTTTCGCTGTCGTCGTCTTCTTTGTTGCTCCCGCTAAATTTCAATTCGGCGGTCTGTTGTTGCTCCGGAAGAGTTCTCCCCGGCGAGGATTTGCATCCACTTCTTGAATCCAGAATTGTAGTGCTTGCTCTTGTGGGTCATTGGTATTGAAGGAATTTGCTCGTGATTCACCGATAGTCTAAAAATTTCTTTCATAGACGATAAATAAAAATCAGGTCTTGAACGTGAATGCAGCACGAACCGGAAATGCATATACTGCGAAACGTCACACTGGATGCGGATACCAACTGGAAATGACCGATATATATATTCAAAAAAATATATATAGATGGGCCAGCCAAGTTCGCACGCCGCTAAGACCACGCGCGGTCAACGCGCTTCGCGCGCGACGAGGTTATAAACCTTGCGAAGCGAGGCGCTGTGCGCCTCGCTTCGCTCGGAATTAGATCAAAACCTTCTGACAATATTGAATCAATAAACTTAAAGTTAATTTGTTTTGCTGCTTAGTGAAGACTAGCATGCAGTAACAGTCGAAACATTGTGATCCAGAAAGAACGACAATATAAAATTTGTCAGTGCGACACTGAGGAACAGTTAAAAAAGCTATGGTCATAATGACGTGGTTGTACGTTTTTGCAATAATATTCAAGCTAGCATTTAACTGTATTGCAAGCCTAAATAGGGATATTAGCCTGAATGAAAAATTGTGAAGGTGATGCTACAACATGACGATGACACTCACCACTTCCAAGTCACCTGCTTGTCCCTTTTTGATCAACAATTCGGAGCTGAAGAAATTAATAATACGGTGATAAAATTTGAGAAAAGAAGTAAATTCTTTTATTCAAGTGCTGACTGAGTGGTTGCTTTAATGAGAACTTGATATTTTACTTACCCATCGTAGAATGAAATTGTTCCTGTCTTGTTGTTTGCCATGTTATGCTTTATTCTAGGGAAAAAATTAAAGTACTGGTCAATATATTTAATTAATGGTTCCATCATCACTTTTACTTAAGCCTTAACTGTGGACTACAGTTAGTCCCACACCTTTAATCCTTGCATCTGTCAATTTTCATCCACGTTTACTTACTTTACTTGCTCCACTGAAATCTCTGACGAAAATGAGAGCTTGCTCGTCAAAAAAGTCACAACATTCTCACAACAATATGTCTCACACACCAGACTCTATTTTCATACTCATCGTTTTGCCATCTTCGCCCGCAAATAGCAAAAGCTAGACCACGCGGGCGGAGAGGAAAGGTTACAGCCGTCATAAGCAGATTATATTGTAAAGTAAACTATGTGGACAAATAAGAATTACAGGAAAACAAGTTTAAGCTACAAAATAGTCTTACAGAAGGGAATTACGAGACAAATTTACTGACCGCTTGTTAAGAGCCAACATATTAATGAACTGATTGTTTGATGCACTCTAGCCCGCGTAGCAAGCGTTTCTTTGCGGTTCAGGAGCAAAGAATGAGGAACAAGAGTCAAAGTCCGCGCGAAAAATGGCTCTCGTTTCATTTCTCGCGCGGTCAAAACCGAAAATCTCCCTCCTCGGTCTCTCTTTTTGCTCCGAAACTAAACGGAAACGCTCGCTACGCAGGCTAGATGCACTCCTACAAGATAACTTGATCAATTTAGATTTCTGGGAAACTGCCCGCCGACCCCTCCCCTAAAAGTGAGAAGTGAGTGATAATGTTGGTTTGGGGGAGGGGTAGGTAGGGAGTTTCCCAGAAACCCAGACTGATCCAATGACTCCTACAGGATCATCACACAATGACAGTATTGCAATCTTGAAAGTAACTGCTCAATGAATTAAGTCATGGTAGTAAGTGGAAAGACAATAAAATCTTCATCCAGACTTACTCTCCTGATTCAATTTTGAGAAGCTGGTTGTTGTTGAGAGCTGAGAGGATGTAAACTACTGTTTCAATGACATAAGTGCTTGTAAGAATAATATCACCCTAGGGAGGTTTAAAAGATAAAATAATTAAAATAATGGGAAATGATTTACGTAATGGTGACAAGGGCAGATCCAGAAAATTCAGCACGGGACACTTGCCAGCTATATAGATACTATCTAGTATTTTTTATACAATTATGTGAATGCTACTCCCGCTGTGATTGGTCGTTGCCCATAATCTATTAGAGTACAGATACAAGGATGACGTCACGGGAAACTTGTTTTCTTTGTCTTGTTCAACATGGCGCGTGGTTTTGAAAATGTTGGTGAGATTATTTCGGATTAAGCCAGTGAAAACCTTGTAAAAAGTTTAGCAGGAGGTATTTGCAAACAAGAAATTATGGAGAAACGGAGACAAAAAGAGTTCTTGACAACTTGAGAATGTCTGAACTGCAAGAAATCTTCACAACAGTTGCCATCGTGTGTCATCGCCACGAAAGACTCGCTGTTTGCAAAATGTTTTCACCATTACTCTGCTTTGAGCACGAGAAGACGTCGAAAAGGTGAATGCAAGTAAGATGCAAGTAAGATAAAGAAAAAAAGAAGCAGAGACGAAAAGTAGCGTTTGGGACTCCAAAAATGCCTAAACTAGCACAAATCCTCGAACAGTCAAGTGGTACGAGGCAGTAAGTTTCTTATGTGTATTTGTCTTTTTTTTCGTTTCTGATCATTGTATAAAACCAGAAGCATATGCTTCTGATAAAACAAATAGATTCCATTTTGCCGTGAGTCTGTGCAGTAATAGATCACGCAGGACGTCAAAATGTGGTAAAAACATCAGAGACACACTCGCCTGCAGCTCTGTGCCACTTCTTTGTTTTTACCACGTTTAGAACATGTCCGATTTAAGACACTTTTTGGTGTGTGGACAGCAGATACAAAGAGCGTCCTCACATTAAATACTTCAAACAAACCTTGTCAGCCTTTTCATCAATTGGCACATGAAGAACGAAGACTCCATCATTTTTTGAACTGACTGAAATACCTGAAACAAGTGAGAGCATTAAAAAATAAGAAGAGGTGGGAGACTGTTGAAGGAAGTTGCCAAGTAACATAATTTCAAAATATGGTCAGACTGATAAATATAAATTTCAACTGTATGCACCTATGAGACTCCCATTGGAAATTCTGTGCTTGAGTTTGTAGTTCTTGTCATCAAGGATATAGATGGCCTACAAAAAACATATACCTATCATTTCAGGTTTCTGGGAAACTGACCACCTACCCCTCCCTAAGCCAACATTTTGCCCTGAGTGAGAAGTAAGTGCTAATGTTAGCTTAGGGGAGGTGTAGGTGGACAGTTTCTCTGAAACCTAAATTACTCCAAAAACATTACATTTAGCATTAAATCTGATTGTTGATTGTTGAATTTTTCATACAGAACAGCATTTAGTGAAATGATGAGTTCCAATTCCTTTAATAACAATTGCCGGTGCAAGTTACATATGATTATGTATCAGGAATAGTTTACTACTTGCATAATTTTTTTGGCAGGCAAAGTTGTGGCAAAAATAAGAAAGGAGGCATTTTTTTTCGTATGTATCTCGGTGGTGGGCCACAGAAATTATATACCAAATTCCCACTCATCTGTGCATAGATATCAGGGCAACAGCGTTCTCTCCAGTTAATACTGACAGTTGGTCTGTAAACAACATAAATGTTTCATAATTTATTTACCTGGTCTGTAAGTATAAGGATGCGTGTCCTGAGTTTATAGCCATTTCTGTCATACTTGTGTACTCCAGTGCAATACTAGTAAGAGTAGGGTGAAAAAAAAAATGACAGAATTATGAGACCTAACTACAAAAATGCATAAAACAGACCAGATTAGCTCTACATGCTGATTAGTGTTCCTTTACTGTAAATTGCATGATACCAGTACTCTCTCATGAAATATTTTTACAGCTTTTTGATGAAAAAATGACTAATTTTTTTAAAAGAAAAAACTTCCTAAAGAACAGCCACATGACATAAAATGGAGCAACAAGATGAAAAAAAAAGAAAAAGTCTCATTGATAGACAGCACATTAATCATATTTGGAATAAGACTGAATAGAGTCCAATTCAGCGTGTAATGATACGCGTAATTAACAAAATCGGACAACATGAACCTCTGTTACCATAACTACGACAAAATTTGTGATATTTTAAGCTTTTTGTAAATAAAAACACAAATAGACTAAAAACTCAACCCCTAACAAAAGATTGACAGGTTTTAATTACAGGTTAGGCACACTAGACAACATTCCAATCATAAAAAAAAAGATAGGAAATTATTTAAGGGACAATATTACTTTATTGCATGATCTTCCCCTCACTAATACATGTGAAAAGTTGCATCACTTCACAGTATTTCACCACATTTCTTCAATTTTGCTATTTGGCTCTCAAGGAAGCTGTAGAGATTAGCGATTACCTTGATTGTTTCTGATGATGGCAAAATCTGCTTATCTGCACTGACTTTTTGTTTGAGCATTTCTTGTTCAATGTCTAATTGGATCAAAGGTAGGATGTTATTGGTAAAATATTTCCTTAATATTAAAAACTAATATTACGTATATATGTCAAATAGTGATTATAACATTGGAAATGTAAAATAGTAAATAAAAAATTACCAAGTCTGTATGCACTGAATGCTCGTGGAATACTTGACTCATAATTAGCTTTCTTCCCTTTAAACACTTCACTGGCTGTCACTTTCATACTGAGCTAAAAGAAAAAAAAACAGAAATTTGTTAAATTTAATTTTAGTAAAATTTACGTTGCATTGAAAAATTAAGGCAGCTACAAACTTCCCTCATCAATCAGCACACAACCATTCCTGAAGACAAGACAAAAAGGAGAAGACTAAAATGAAAAGGCACATAGTTACTTACCTGAGTTTTTCTCTCAACAGTGATACTTCTTATATACTTCCTCACCAGCAAGCGTGTGTGGACCTTATGAAGCTGATCAGAAGCCTGTAAAATGAAATGTTGAAAAATAAAAATGATCAAACACTCTGCTGGCAAAAAGGTACCCAAAGTTTAACACTAATGTGATAGAATGGAATACATTATCATTGGTTGAAGGAAATATGGGTGTTCATAATTATTTATGGGCAAACTACAGTACTGAAATTTCAAAAAGAGGAGAGAGAGAATGACATACTAAATCTCCCACTGGTAGCCTTATTCATATAGTAAACTTTATCACCGATGTCACCGATTAAAACTTGATGTGTGGTAAAAAAGCATGCTTTCTGCTGAACCCGTGACGACTCAGTCAAGCGGTAAAAAAAATGCTGTAACCTCTATCATTGATCCAGGAGGCTTTGGCCATTTCTTGTCCAGTACAGTAGTGGGTAGACTTCTGGCCAGAAGTAGAAGATGGGATTTTCTCACATATGCCACAAACTAAAACAGATGGGACAGTTAATAATAATATAATTTGCAATAACTTTTAAAAGTCACATAACAGTGGCCATTTTCACACTAGAGACGGATAATCCATCTTCAAAATTGACCAAAAAACAGATGGATAAAGTCACGCGAATTGCCCATCCAAAATTAAGACTGTTCCATTTTCAAATTAAGACGTAATATCTGTCTGACGCGAATTATCCAACAGATAATCCATCTCTAGTGTGAATACAGCCAGTCGTCAATAAACATTAAAGATATTAACAAGCAAGAACTAGTTACTGTAACAATAAAATTTACCATCTTTCATTCTTTCACCAAGAATTAATTAACACTACACTTACATCAACATTATCGTCATTGGCAGGCTGGTTTCTTGTTATGAATCCCTTGATAAACCTTTACAAAACAGCAGATAAAAAATATAAAAAAGGTACCTAGTAGCCAATGGTAAGCTGTGAGTAACCTGTGAATAACCTACATGTACAGTGTAAGCAGTTTCAATATAAACCATGTCTGAGTTAAGCCACCCAACCTACCCCTTCCTTGCTTGCCTGACAGGAAAATATAAGCTAGATATTACAGCCTTCAAAAAATATTATTTGAAGACTGAGTAAAATAAACACAAACCAGTGCAAGAAAAAAGGTGAAATTTTAATCTTAGAAAATCTGGTAATGAGACCTTGAGAACTCTAGAACTGTTCTGACTTTAAGATATGCCCTCAACATCATGAGACATTTTATTACGCAAGTATACCCAATATTGCTTCTACTGTAGGAATCATGAATTTTGAGTTGTGTGAACATAGAACTATGTTCACTGGTACAAAAAGGAGGATTAAAAACACCCACGGTGTTGTGAGAGAAGCAAAATATATCAAACAATACTTACTTGCGAATCCGCTGTGTGGCCTTCCTTCTTCTCTCAAGGAGTCTTTGAGCAAGTACTCTTCTCCAGTGTGTTGCTATGGTGAGAGCTGCGACTTGCAATCTCAGGTACTTCTTGCGCTGATAGTAACCTTTAAATTGTGCTTGGATAATTGTTGCTGCAAGAAAAAATTACAAAGTTAATTGACTGACAAAATCACAGAAGAGAAATTAACTTGCAGATTTAAAAGTCTACAGATATAAGGTCCAGAAACAAATTTAAAACATTCTTACATTCTAAGAAACATACCAAGAGCAGGCTTTTTGGCTTGAAAAGCATCTTCAGTAGCAAACAAAGTTTTTGGAAATCGAATAAAAATCTTCGTCCTGTCAAGCAGAATATTGGGTAATTTAATATCGCAATTTGCTGGTTAAGGCATAATAACAATATTATTGGGAAAAATAATAAAAGCAGTAATAATAATATAAGCAAAAGCAGTTTTCCCCCAAATTTCTTTTGGTAAAAAATATATTATTATATACATCAAGATATATGTGTCCCAGGACTAATTCATTATAATAGCTTAAATTTGCAGCTTCACACTTTCCTCTTATAATTTTGTGTTTTATGTCTCCCCTCCCCCTCAAAATTTCCAATGTGGGGGACCCTCCTTTGTTTGGATATGGTGCACAATGCAATCAGAGAGAGTGAGTTCAAAGACGAAATGGTGACCAAAAGACTACCCACTTAATCAAGCTAATATTTAACTATGACAAGGCTGTTTATATCCCTGTCTCTTTAAATAACCTTTCAAAGAGTTGAAGGGAGAATACTACTTACTTCCCAATCCGGTATTCATCTGGTTTATAGTCCAGATGCTCACAGATTTTTTTCACTCCTGCACCAGGATCATCTAGAAACAACAAAAAATATTGCTGGTTTGCACATGAGGTCACAGTGGCCATGTTGGTGGTCAAGAACTAAAGCATTTCTCTCCTCTATGAACTACTTGAATACAAGCATGTAAGTGACCTCAAATTTGATTTCTTTTTAAACATTTTGAATAAATAAATAAACTTTTTTTTTACAGCCAGCAACAATTCAAACCCAAAAACTAAGAAATTTACATACCATACCAAGTTGGCCAAGTATCTGGACACAAACACTTGTATCTGTGATGTTTACAATGAAAATAAAATATTTATTTTGAGTCAGAAATGACCATAGCAAATGATAACCAGAATGCACTGAGTATTTTTTACAGCAAATATATACTTCCACTAAAGTTGTAGCCTCTAGTACATCACACACAGCCTACCTTTGAAGGAAAAATGGAAAAGGTCTGCGATAAGCAAAGCCTGCTCTTCTAACTCTAAGATTCTCCATCAGACCCAGGTATTTTACCTGATGTTTCACAAGATCATCTTGAAACACAGCTGCAAAAAAAAAAAAAAAGAATGTGAAAATTCCAAATAACACATGTTTAAAGTTTTATTTATAACTAGGCCAAGGAAGAATTTAAACTTTTTAGCCTCAGTGGAATTGAATGGGGATGCACATTTAAGTGAGAACAAAGTTGGCGAGTTTCGTTTTTCAGAAGAGTAACACTTATCAATGTTGTTAGAAAACACCAAGAATCAGTTGGAAGATACTGATTATGAGAATTCATGCGCCATAATTAAAAATACAGTACTGGTAAATTAACTGATCAAGCTTGAATCTCGACATCCAAGTTGCACTGTTATTGGCATGGCTGCCGACACCTCTTAGAACTCTGTAAGTACATTTACTTCCAAACTTTAACTATTGGACTACTATCTTCCATCTCTCTTTTTTTTTTTATAAAAATTATTATTAAAACCAGGAGAGAAGGCTATTCATATCAATAGCACTTGCCTATATGTTGGGGGGTAAGGTGTGGCTACAAGTAGGCTACAATAACACTTGACAATTAAACTGAGGTAACATGACTAAAATTCTAAATAAACCAACAGGGATATATTTAAACCTACTCTTGACCTCAAAGTGAACAAGAAAACATGCATTGTTCCTCCTTGACCCTCAAGCTTGCTTTCCAAGGTCAAGGCTCTCACTTGTAATGATGTTTTCTAACTGTGACCAGGAATCCTAACCTGCTTTCTTTGAGTCATTTGGTTTGATGCATCTCACATAGGATGGCTGCTTACACATTAAGATTGTCATCAGATTGTTCAAACTTGTCTTGAACTGTGTTCCTGCCTAGAGAATAACAAAATCCAAAACAAAAATTAAACACCAATAACTAAAATGCATGGTCTTCAGTCAGTAATTTTTTTTTTCATTTTATGTGCAAGACTTACTGTTTCTGGCCTTTTCAAAGACAGCATTTCTTTCTTTGGAAACACTTCTGATGTGATGCAGTTTATACTGTTACACATTGCCTGGTCCATGAAAAACAATTAAAAGAGGTAATGTGTAACTGAAAGTTTAGCATCTTTATTTATAGAAAGAAAAAATACTGCGTAGTGATGTCACACAAAGACAGTGGCATGTGGCAGCTCATACGTTTTGGCAAGGCATGGCAGATGCATGTACTAAAATAACAAATTAATACAATTTGGAAAAACACTTCTGAGATGTAAGATTGAGTTAAGATTGACCCACCTCTTTCAGATCTCTGAACAGAAGATTGTTATTCTTGTCTACAAAACCTGGGTGAATAATATAAGTATATGAAACGTGAAAACCACAAACAAAACATTACATGTTCTGGTCTTAACATTTCTGTGAATTATTTCTTGTTTAATTTTTATCCTGTGAAATCAAGAGCCTATGCATGATCATAAAAAAACCCCATGAAGCATTTGCTGATCAAAATTTAATAATATTAAGACAGTAAATTTACTTAAACTATACGTTGCATACTTGGAGTGAATATAGAGAGGAAAATAAATCATGGCATTTTTATGAACTTTTGCTGGATGGGTGTTAAGAATCTTTACCATTAACATTGTATGTGACATCTCCAGCATAGTGTTTCAATCTGAATTCCTGTGAGAAAAAAGAAGGAATCAAATCAAAAAGCATATTATACAGATAATTGTGATGGTGAAATTGTCAGAGGACAAACAAGCAAACTTAACAATGTCTTGGTGTTGATTAAAATCACAGCTGTTTGGTTGCTTCCTTGAAGCAAATTAATGTTTCAGAAATAAAAAAAAATCTTATGTTGAGGGGTTTCATGGTCCAACACCAATTTAATTTATCATTCTGATCATCATCATCATCATCATTTTTATTATTATTATCTTTCTATTATTATTATTATTATTATTATTATTATTATTTGACTACGCTACAACCATATCTTGGATAAGGGCGAAAGTATCCTTTGCCATCCTACGATCAGCCTTGCTGTGTCTCAGAGGAACCAGGAGCAAGAGAAAAGCAGCCAATATATCTGACATTGACATTACATCGGAAAGTGCGCAAGCCAGAATTTAAGTAGTAACTTTTTATCAGTTTGAATTATTATTTTTAAATAGTTTTTTTTTAATTAACTTTTTGATGCTTTTTATAATTGTTTTATTAGTAGTCTTTAGATAGTCATTTTACGATAATTCTCTTTCGTACACAAGAAGAATGTACATAGGGTATATATTTTAATATTTCATATTCTTGAATCTGTAAATAGTAAAATTTAATAATTATTATATTTATCATTGCGATGAACATAGAAATTTTCTTTTTTTTTAGTTTATAGACAGTTGTTTACTTTTGCTCTGTTGAAAACCACCAGACCACCAAGAAGTCTTTTTTTAACTATAGTTATACTAAATTTGTACTTAATTTTCAATTTGAGAAGAGTTTAATAAAGTATCATTTCTATTATTATTATTATTATTATTATTATTATTATTATTATTATTATTATTATTATTTTCATCATTATAATTATATTTTTTTTTTTGGCAGAACTTGTACAATGTCAGCTTGAGTACCACCTTGCCACTTAACAATGAAAATGTTATTACATAAAAATATTATAAAATTATAAATCATGGCTGTCAAAAAGAACAGTCAACTGAATGTGTGCACAAACCCACAAGTAATAAACATGGAGTGGTTTGTCTTATGCTTGGAAAAACTACAGAAGTGAAAGACCAAACGCAATGACACACACCTCTCGTTGGATGGTTTTCCGCTCACTGTACCCAGATGTAGCATGACTGTCAAAAGAGAAAATAAATGTAAAATATTTTGTTCAAAACTGTTAACAGTATAAATAAAAATACTTTTGGACTAGGTAAACAGAAAGAATGAAACCTGCATCTTAATTCTATAAATAAATACTTGTTATTAAAAAGTGATTGTATTGGGTTAATCTGACAGTCATGTTATTTATAGCAACACCTCTACGAAATAACATGAGGAAGCATTACATCCCTCAATATTAAACATTTTGCTGCTTTATACTAGCAACTGTGAGGTTAAATAATATGAGCTGTTAGTAGCAGAAGCATTTTGAGATAAAAAATCACAGGGTTTAAACAAAAACAGTCACCAGCTACCTGATGAAATGAGCATGCTCTCCAATTGTCTTCTCCATCTTGTCCAGAAATGTCATGTCTGATACTTCTCCAGGTCTAAGGCATTCCTCATCCTATCCATTAGAATAAAAAAAAAACTGAAAGTGTACCTTCTGCTTTTATATCTGACCACATCCTTGGGTAAGTATTCATTCTGCCCTCAGGATCTCTTAGGGTGCTTGGAAGTGGATTGTACATAGCTCGGTTGCTATGGTGACCTTCTTGCTGCGGAGGAGAATGCTGCCCTCCTACTTTGCTTAGCTACATTAACAGTACCTACTCTCCAAAATTTCTGTTGGCTTAGAGTTTAACCAATATATAGCTATCCCTTTAAGCCCCAGTATCAGACATACAAATTCTCTAAACTGATCTACCTACATTTCCTTAAGAACTAGTCAAGAGAATTTGATAATAGATCAAGGGATTTTCTATTGGGTGAACATTTTGTTAAGTCTCATAACCTATCTCTTGACAGTTTATGGATATTGTTAGGAGAAAATTACTCTTGGTCTCTATTGGGACTTTAAGGGATAGACTACATTACCATCACAAAATTTCGCTCTGTTCATAAACAAATCTAATGTTTGCCTCAAAAGTATGTGTACAAGCTGCATAAGATAAGAAGTTAATTAAGTTGCATACCAAAAGGGCAATAATTCCTTGGTGCCGGGCTTCAATAAGATCACATATCACCTTGTTGTCAAAGAACTGTACCTCCTCCCACTACAACAAGATTAAACAATTGTCAAAGCTATTCAAAATAGTCAGATACAGTTCATAGCTATCAATAAGAAAACACAAAACGCCTAAACTTGTATAGTCCATGAGGACAACAAGCTTTCTCAGGTTTGTCGTTAGTATAGAAGCAACCAAGTTTCTTGTGTGTGCCTTTCAAATAATATTATGGCTAAGACAGCTTTACATTTAATTCAATTTTTTTTTCAAAATAAAATTCTCATCAGGCTAAAAGGCTTTTTAAAGTCTGTGACTCAAATCCTATTCCTCTGACATCAAACTTCTTTGAGAGCACTTTTGAATGGTAATATCAGTTTTTTGGCCTCTTACAAAATAAATGGAACATGTTTTTATGAATGGGGTATGTCACTCTCAATATGAACTATACTTTTGTCTCGTGAGCCAGGGGCCTATTCACACCAGCAGACAAAATCGAAATTGTCTTTGAAACATCTATACCAAAATATTGTATGATGACAATTTTTGTTTTGAAAAATATTATCCACACTGGAAACTATTGACTCTTATTAGGCTGTTACATCTGACAACACCTGTATTTGTCAATGGGAAGAATAATGGCTTTACGACAAATGATTGACAAGAAAAACACATTTCTGTTTCTTTGGTTAAGTTTGTCTGTACCTCCTGTGTGGGACAAAACTTTTAAAATCGCAACAAACCATCTGTATTTGTTAAGTGTTGCTGATGACAGAAAATTGTCAAAATAAACAGCTTCTTTGCTAGTGTGGATAGGCCCTTAGTCTTCTTCATTAAAGATGATATCAGTAAAAAAAATAGGACTAGTAAGGAGCAGTGACAAATTTGATGGTTTGGGCAAATGGTTACAAGTGCTAAGATAGTGTGTTAATGTAAAGTTACCATTATTCCTTCCTTTCTGTACTCATCTTGTTCTTCCTTCAATGTCAGCTCAATGAATAACTGTTGAAGTTTCTCATTACAATAATTGATACAGAACTGCTCAAAACTGAAAAAAAAAGCAATTTCTATTATTATAATGCAAACGTTTTTATAAATAGATAAATAAATATTAAAATTGATTAAATGAAAAATAATGATTTAGTGGTAGGGTTTCCCAAAAATGGTTTTGTCTTGGTACTAATTTCAGATTGCATTGGAATTTGGAAATCTTGGTTTTTGAGGAGAGGGGAAAACCAGAGGGCCTGGAGAATAAAGTCGAGAGCAAGAACCAACAACAAACTTGACCCACTATGTGGCAGCTAATCCTTGGTTTGAACCCTGGCTTCATTGGTAGGTAGTGAGTGCTCTGATCACTGTACCAACCATGCTGCCCTGTACATTAACTCTTTAAACCCCAATATCAAAATTTCAATTCTCATTTTTTGTGCCTATACATTTCCTATAGAAGTAGTGGGGAGAAGTTGATAATGTATCTGCAGTTTCATTTATTTCTTGTGTGACCACTGACATTCTAAATAATTAAGGACCTGGTCACGCAAGACTACTTTGTTTTGTAGAGCGTAGATACATGTATTACAAGGAGAAAATTTAATGTTGACCACTCTCTTGGGGCTTGAAGAGTTAAAAAAAGTGTTTTCGTGCTGTTCACATTTCATAAAGGGATTTAGAATGTCCAGTTTTTTACAGGTATAGCAGTTACAAAGTACCTGTTTGCTTCAAAAATTTCAAAGCCATAGATGTCCAGTATACCCATGAGTGTCTTCTTTCCTCTGTAAGACTACAACATTGGCAAAATAATAGTTACAAAAAAAAAAATAAATAAGATCTTAGCAGTTAAACAATTGCATGTCTCCAGACATTGTTTATTTTTTCTACAACATTCACCAGGAGGAGTGATTTCAGAGAGCAAAACACAAAATTGTTCGGCAGGGAAGGGTGAATTTTTAGGGAGGATGGGATCAAATAGACCCCTCTGCATTTTTTTCAACTTTCACTAGTCCAGTATTTTGGTGTCAAGCTGGGTCCTTTTCCACAAAGCACTCAAACTATGGTGCACAAAAGCTGCCAAATGGAATAAGAGACAAAATAAGATAGGTAATGAAGTGGTATCTGAAAAAATGGATATTTAAAGCCTTTATTAAAAGCTTTCTTGATTATTGTTATAAGAACCTATTTTAAAATCTTCGAGCATTTTATAATAATTTATCCTTTATAATACCGGTGATGCAATTGTCCCTTAACTCTGTAACTATTTATTTAATAGTGTATGTCTGGGCCAAATTACCTGGCTGACAAGTGATGTATTGATTCGCTGAACAAGCCAAGTAAACATACGGTCATATACAGCCTTAGCCAGTGCATCACGGGCGTAGATAGCTTGCTCACTGGTAAGTGGTGTCCTCACCTACAGGCAAGACAGTGATGTATTAAAAAACATGCATTTAACAAAGAAAAAATTAAGCTAGTAACCCACTGGAAAGTTTAGTCTTTAATTGTAAGTAAAAATTTTGGAGGTCACACAAAGTCAAAAAGTTGCTAAAATTTTGGGTCCATTTTCACGGAAGCAGCTTGTGGCTCTGAGCCCATTTTGGATAATTTTATTGAAAAACAACTAAACTAACCCTTAACTTGTGCCAGTGTTTTTATTTAAGAAAAACAGTGTACCCATCATTTAGCTGCCTCTCACGTCGACGTACTTTTGGTTCGTCATGCAATCCTACCATTCACTGGGAAGGAACATGTGACAAAACCCTTAGAGCATCTGCATAGGCGGCTACCATTGAGCACAAAACAAAACGACTTAGTTTTATGGTCTTAGCTCTGAGAAGTCAGTCTGAGGCTTGGTGGTAGAGCATCTTAACTAATATATAGACAGAAGGTCATAGGATTTTGTTGAGCCATAACAGAAAAGGTGCCATTACTAGGATAATGTGAATGCCAAATGTTCCTTGTCTGGTGTAGAAAAGCTGAGAATTTTATCAGTACCTTATCTCCTCTAGTCTCTACTGTCCGACTTGTGAGAGCTTTCTCCAAAACCTCTTCTGGACAGCCCAGAAGCTATGAAAGATAAGTGATGGAAAGAGTGAAGGACAAGAAATAAAATTGTATAGGATTTAAAGTAGAAATATTTTTTTATTTTACTATCTATTTTATTTAGATATTTTAACACATCATTACATAAACATACTAGCCAACTTTTAAATAAATAAAAACACTAGTAGGCCTAACAGTAAAGGGTTTTCCTCCCACCGGAAAAGTGTGTCACTTTAGTGAATGGATAAAAAAATTAAACACCAAGGAATAATATGATACCATGCATTTACATAATGAAACCATGAATGCCTAAAATATTTTTTCAGTGTCACTGTCTTTTAACAAAACACATGTAGTTCAATGAGGACACAAACAACGTGCAAACCACAGTACAAACTGTAGCTTGCTGTCATCTTGCAACTCAATAATATTCAAGAAATATTTATTTTCTGGTGTCCAATTAGGCATTCTCAGCCAATAAACTCATATAGCAAAATGTAGCTCACCAAATATAATATTTGAAGATAAAAAAGTTGCTGTCATTCGAACCTATACAGTTCTAAACACTCATTAAGGGATTTAAGTCATAAATAAAACTTATGATTTCTGTTGCTTATGCACACTTTAACAAGTCTAAGGCACTGTTTATATAGCTCTAACTGAAGCATTTTCTGGTAATATCATTTTAGCATAGCATCAGGTCAAAATTTTTGGAAAATAAGTCTCATATGAGCAACTAATGTTAATCAAGGTCTCATTGACCTCTTAGCAACTCACTCTTTCATATTAGTTATATATATTTCAGTTTTTATTTTCCGTACCTTTGACACAACATTGACAGGTCGACCATTTTCCAGTTTAACTTCACCATGTTCAATTTCTGGGTCTAGAAAACCAATTGTTCCCAGATGGATGACAGATGCGATGATAGCAAACAATGCATTTTGCTCCTCTTCAGTGAACTCAATAATAGATAAGGCTTCCTTCACATGCTTGAAGTTGGCCACATCATTAAGAGACTCCACATGAGTGTCACCACCCTAAAATTTGAGATCACAAACACAAGGGGCACCCAACGTCAATTTTCGGAAAAATGTCTGTTTGGAAGACGATTTGAGATCTAGAATTTTCAGAACATTTGTTGTAAAAGTTCTTGCTTGCCTACCTCTCCTAGCATTTTCGAACATCCAAAAACTGGTACAATTTATTGCCCATTTTTAAGGGATTTTTACCCTAAAAAGGTCACCTAGAATTTTCAGGAACCTTTTTTCTGCCTGAAATTTTCGACAGGGTAAGTTTTGATCCCTATCATTTTCGGATCACTAGACTTTCAGCTAGGAAATCCAAACAGATGAAAAACTTTTAGGAGATGAAAATATGCCTATATCTACCGTTTAAATACTAAAATATGTTTAACAATGCTATGTTTAAGTGGTTTTGAACTATATTCTTGTTGGGTGCCCCTGAAGCACCTCCTGCTCTAGAATGAATCACACTGATACCAGTTTTCTGATGTTGTTCTCAAACTCATTGAATTATTCTTGCTGTTGAAAGCCAATAAATAACAACCATAATTTTTGGGTCAGGTGGATGAATCTTGATACTCAATGAAACACCAGATCTAACACCACAAGGTTTTTATCTGAGATCAAAACACTTGCAGTTGCATTTTTATTGTTTCATTTGAGAAGAAAAGGCAAAAACTTGGTCTTTGTGCTTCATCATGGGCTCCAAAACCTCAGAACAGATGGCCTAAACCCTCATGCTTTCATCTGTTTCTCGGTGTTTGGCATATTACATTATGTTCCAGGGGCGAAAGTCCCGATAAAAACCATTAAAATCGAGGTTTCAATAGTTTTCCATCTAGCAGATAAAACTATCAGTTAGTGAAACCTAGCCAGGACCCAGCTCTTATTCTTTCGATTTGAATATTTGTTTCTCGAAAAGTTTTGGGCATATTACATTATGTTCCAGGTCAAATGTGATGTCAGGTTTATTTTAATTTAACCTCAGTTAAATCTCAATTTCCTTTAGCAGGCCAAAAAATTAAGAACAAACCTGGGCTAAAACGATTCAACCTGAAATCAAATTTGACCTGTAACATTTACAGGGTTGCATGTGTACTAACAGCATAGTGGTGTCATCTTAAGGTGGCGGAGAGATATATGTCATTTGCCAAATCACGGCAAGAGAAAGGTTATAGCTCACAAGCTGAAACTTGGCAAGTGAATAAAATACTGATGAAAGATTTTGATTGACAAGTAAAATTTGACATTTTCGTAGTTTCCATGGCAACATGAACGATTGAATGCAACTTTCAAATTTCACTTTTGCTCTGTGTAAGTAAAATTCACCCATTAGATTTTCCTATAAACTTGCACACAGCTTACTATAATTACTCATTACCATTTAAAACTTATTTGACCAAATTTTGAGAGACGGGTTTTTAGATAATCAATAATATAATTGTATTGTAATTATTAAAAAATGTGTCACAGATTTGTCTGTTTAACTTCCATTTTAAAGTTCTCATTATTTAAAATACAATAGAAGTAACAAAAATTATAAAAACAACAAATATCACAAAATTCTAATGAGTAGATTTTGAGAAATCGTCTTCTGTGTACCATTGTTTTTTCGCCACCAACTTTGTTTGTCTAATTTAAAACATGTGCCATCATGCCAAATACCGCTGAGAGCCTGCAAAACTGTGTTCAGCCACCTTAATAAGAGGTAAAAATGAGACACATCTATAAAGGCATACCTGGTTGAGATAAAAATACTTTGAAGTGTCTCGTTCCAAATCAAGAATGTCCAGTAACTCATTACTGCCACCTTGCAACAGCTGATAAAAGATGTGAAAATTTCTTTCACCTAAGGTGAAACAATAAAATCAAGAATCAAAAAACGTTGTTGGTAGTTTTTCTGTAGGAAACATACTGCTGTTCACATTTTAATTCATCTAAAACATGATGCTAGCTGTGTCTGTGCAGTCAATTAAATCCTACAACCAGTTGCAAAAGTACTTGAGACACTCTACCATATTTTGGCTTACATGGGCTCTCCATGATCTCGTGCTTGTGATCCCCCTCCACCCCTTATCAAAGTTAACAGCAATACAAGATCATGCTCAAAACTTGGAGGAACAACTTTGAATGGAAGGGAAGGGGGAGGTTGAGTATTATATCTCACAGACCTGTGACTAGCAGCAATTTGAAGCAAGATCGAAGGTTGTGTTTTCTTCGGAGTATCTCAACACTTTTGCCACTGGTTTTAAATTAGAGAGAATTACTGAAGCCTAATGGTTAACAAAATGAGGACTAAATTAACCTTTTGCTTGATGGACAACTCTGGATTTTTCCAACAGATAGTTGATAATATGCCCACCAACAGGAGATCCCTAAAATTGAAACATTTTAAGTGAGTTAGCAGGTAATGTGGTATAGAAATACATGTAATATTCACAGCATTTCTACACTTAATTACATACTCTCACCTTGAAATCAAACTGAATATCCATGTACTTGCCAAAGCGACTTGAATTATCATTTCGATTGGTTCTTGCATTGCCAAAAGCCTTTAAAAAGGATAGTTTTGGGAAATATCAAAAACCAAGAAGCTATCAGAGAGTACACTTGGAGGTCATGGTATCATGCATATGTGAGGATTTTTTGTGTCAGGCATGTGTGACTGCCACAGTGTTATTTATTGTTAACGGTTGGTTGAAATGGCTGAAAAAGGAAATGTGGAGCCATAGTGGACGTTGCTTAGTATGTAAATAGCACAAATTTGTCCTCGGAATTCCTAATGTAAACTGCAGTGGCTCACCGAATAGCGAACACACACGACTACCAAGAAACATTATGGACTGGTAGCAACGTCTCTATTTCGAGTGGCAAGTGAACATGCGAGTGAGCTCTCACTTTCTTTCCCAGGCTATTTCAAAAAGGAAAACCAAGGAACAATAAACCTTGAACAGGTCATTTTTTTAAATTTATTTCTTATTTTTTCATAGAAGTTCTTTAAGGCTTAGAATTCTAAAGTAAACCTTTCCTGGATCATTAATTTGCTATTATCTAAACACTAACAGATACTTCAAATTTTGTAGCAACAGCTTGGATCAAGTAATTTTAGGCACCAAGCAAACGATCAAAATAATATTATTATCCTATCTGAGTTCCTCAAAAAACCATACCCTAATCCCACTATACATTGTCCCACCTGCTGAGAACTCACCTCCAAAACGGGGTTACTTTCAAGGAGACGATCTTTGATTCTCTCAACATCATCTGAGGAGGTGCTTATCGCTGCTAGGTATTCCAAGATTTTCTTTGATGCCTCTAAAAATATGTGATACAATAATAGCCATAATTACCATTGCATCAACATGATAATGACAGCCACATTGAAAACTGTCATAGCAAGTTAGGCTCACTTACTTATAAAATAGTAATAATAGAAATAATAATAATAATGATAATAATAATAATAATGATGATGATGATTATGATGATGATGATCTGAAAAGTCATTGCAGAGCAGTATCAGTCAACTTTAAGGAGTAGATGAAGCGAATCGGCATCAACGTGAGGTTGGAAGTTATCCAGAAAATAGCATTGTTGGGGACAGCGAAGATACTAAGGAAAGTACTGTCCCTGTGAGAAGAAGGAAAAGAGAGACCTGGGACCCATGGTGACTTGTTTTAACCCGCTCACAAGGACCATAAACCAGGCAGAACATCCTGCCTGAGTCTACAAGGAATGGAGATAATAATAATGATGATGATGATGATAATAATAATAATAATAATCAGTTTAAATTCCCCAAAAAATATGACAATTGCTTCACATAAAAAAATAAAACAAACACATCCCAGTCACATTTAGAAACCCAAGGCCCTTTATGAGCCAAAATACTCAGTGAATTTACACTTGCATTGACTAAATAACAATATAATATTCCTATACTTTCTCTCTTCTGCTAAAACATCAGTAATCAAATTCAATAATGTTACTCATCCAATCAGTGTGAAATGGGGTCTCTTAGCTTGGTTATATAGATTGAACCAGCATCTGCCTTTGCCACACCCATACAAACTGAACTTGTTGCTGAGCATTATTTTATTAGTCTTAGCTGAAATCAGACCACCACATTTGACCGCACCTGTCTTTCCTGCTCCACTCTCTCCAGAAATTAACACACATTGATCAATTCTCTCTTCTTTCATCGAACGGTAAGCTGCGTCCGAAATAGCATAGCTGAAACATTACATAAATAGCCGTTATGCACTGAAATGTGGATTCAAACTAGACCATGATAATCCACTTACTATATTTTAAACCCATCAACAATAGATAGGTGTGGGGAAGGTGCCTGAAGAAGCAGAAGGCGGCTGCAAGCGATGTTAGAGGGTAACCATGACAACCCTGAGAGCGGCACCCTCCAGGCACCGTCACACTGAGAACCTCAGCAGAGAGAGGCACAGATACTTACCAAAACAGTATCCAGAGAGGAGGGAGGGTTGGGGGCAAAAAACAACCATAACTACTGCACGCAAAAGCACTGTAAAATCACTAAGGCCCTGCTAAACCCCGAGACTGCCCCACATACGATTAGTGAAGGAGACCTCTGGCCAGCACTGTCTCGCATTTAACTTAGCCTAAATTACATTTAGCCACATAATATTACCACGACGGATTTAGATCTATAAGCTAGGGTGACAGCCAAGAGCAACACTAGCTTCTTGAACACCTATCAAATCTCCGAAATGCATCCATAACTTAACAATCGACACAAAATGGGACATGGTTTGGGATTTAAAACAAACCTAATGTCAAGACGAAATCACTCACTGCTCCCCCAAAATATTCAAAGAAAATTGGCCTAAACATTTTGAAACTATAGAATAAATAAACAAATAAAGAAGTAAATTGTGAAACTATGAAATAAAATTGTGAGGGGAGTCACAAAAAAGAATTAATACTGGCAATACTACCACAAAGCGACATGAAAATAACAGTCAACAGAATCAAAGTCAATAATAATAATTAACCTTCATGCAGATTATGGCATGAAAATCTTCTTATATTTGACATCTTGACAGTCATGTATAAGAATACACTCAAAAAAACAAAAATGTGTGGTTGATACTAAGACACAAGATCTTTTTAATGCTAATCAGCTTGCTACAGGTTAATCTACTAAGTGCACTTGCTCCTCTATTAAGCATAACATGTTGTGCTCTCGAATCCTTCAAGAATAACCAGGATCATAAAGATTTCTCTCTCCTCACTTTCAGAGGCAAATAATGTTTATGATAGGTTATTCCTAATGATTTTCATTTTATTATCCAATTCTTGACGAAAAAATGGGGAGACCCACATACAAATTCTTAAAACTGATCTCAAAACATTTCGTTACAAAATTACCATAAAATTCCGAAAATAAGCCCCTCCATGTATAAGCGACTCCAAATATAAGCCCCCCAAACTGGTGACACAAAAATTCCTCCGTTAAATAGCCCCTCCAAAAATAATCCCCCCGGGGGCTTGTACTTGGAAAATTGCCCTCAAATACGAAGTAAAACAAAGGAAAAAGGGTAAATTTACTTCCAACTATAAGGCTAGCCCAATCTATTTTGAAACACAAATTTCCCTCCGTAGATAAGCCCCTCCGAATATAAGCCCCTCCAAAAATAAGCCCCTCAAAAAGGACCTTTGAAAAATATAAGCCCCGGGGCTTATTTTCAGAATTTTTTAGGTAGTTGAGAAAAGTTGGTAAAAGATTTTAAAAGCATTTTCCTTTTAGTGATCATTTTATTGATTCTTATTACCTTTAAGACGGAATCCATCAGGAAATTGAGTAATTTTCATTTTTAGTGGACAAAACCCTTGTACCAGAATAAACAATGTTGCATTCTTTTTCACGTTTTTCAAGGGCTATAGATGTAATTAGTTATCTGTAATAGCACCAAAGAAAATTTCTTACGAGAGCCTGGAAAAATAAATGTCAAATTTCACAAATGACACCTAACACACAAAATTTTCAGCATTTAACCTCTGTTTTCACTATTCTTGTGAAATTTGACATCTATTTTCTCAGGCTCCCATGAGAAATAGTCTTTGGTGTTATTACAGATAACTAGGCCTTGAATAGTGTAAAAAAGAATACAATGTTGTTTAAATTATTCAGGTACAATGTTTTTGTCCATTGAAAACTGAAATTTTTCTTACTCAATTTCCTGATGGATTCCATCTTAATTTGACACCTTTAAAAAGCCCTATCAATAGCTTAAGAAAACAGGTGCCTACTTGTAAAATAATAATAAAAACATACTGGTATTGAGTAAAAAGCCCACAAGATGTTTACAGATTTTTTTTGTTCTATGGTTTACACCCAGGGCAGCTGCTTTCTATTATAGGGGCACTGAATATTTTAAATTTTTCAAACGTTAATTATACTGGGCTTCACATTATTGGCAATTAAAGAATCTAGCCTGTAGCAACTTCATAATAATTACTTTCTTAATAAGCACCACAAATTTACAAAAGAATGTAAATCTGACATTACTGCTTCTTATATTAAGTTGAAATCTTCTGACTAAAAATCATTTTACAAACCAGTGACGTCTATAATACCATTTTATTATAAATTTTATAATATTAAAAGTTATCATATTATATTATGATTTGTTATTGCCTCTTAACAAGAATCGAATTTTTTTGTCAAATTTTCACAAACTTAGAGCATAATAAAAATCGAGGACACATAAACTTACATGTGTGGAGGCAGCTCATACAAATTTTCCCCTCTGTATTTCTCTATGACATCCTGGCTATAAATTGGCAAGTTCTTATATGGATTCACAGACACTACTACAGTTCCTATGTAAGTCTGTTGAAAAAGAAGGATAGGTAAAGGAATTCGAATAAACATGTTTAATGCGGTATGACAAAAGAATAACAATTTACATGTTATAGCCTTACAAAAAATTGGTTGTTTACTTTAAGCGAATTAACTGACATGGAATTTTTTTAATAAATACTTAGCCAAAATAGACCAACAACAGGATCGCTAAAAGAGAAACCATTACTATAAAAGCCTTGATAACTTTGAGTAGCTAAAAGAAATAAGTTAACTACACTCGTGCTTTACAAGTTAAGCTTAATTGCTTGAAAGTGACACTACCCTGTGTGCACTGCCGTTTGACGAATCGAAATTTGAACAAACTTTAAGTATTCCTAGTACTCACATAAATCAACCCAGAATTGTAACGTTTCTTTAGGTTTTCCAGAAACGCATCCTCGCTCTGGAAGTCCTCGAGAAGGACAAAATCTTGCACTCCAATGCGATCTCTGGCCTGGAGCTCGCTCTCCATGACGGCAACTGAACAACACCGTCACGCACTCAGAGGAAGAGAGAAAACCTTCCTGTTACAGCTGAGCGATCAACTACAAAGAAATAACGATAGAAAAATCATATGAACGTCATCTTCATTCAAGAATTTTGTATTCACGATCGAAATATCACAAATCGCCCTATACGGCGCGGATGGTAAGTTTTTGGCGCTTTGCTGAACGACCCAACCCACTGTCGGAAGTCGCAGGCGCATGATTAAAGTGACCCCGGAAAATGCTGCCCGGGTGACTGCCTGGTGACATCGAAACATTGATATTTTCTCACCGGCTTTGCTGCTGTTGACAATATTTTTCTTTTCATGGAGCTTTTGGTAGAAAGCTGTGACCAAGAGAAAGCCAGGGAACAATATATTCTTGCGGGCTGATGTAGGGACGATGTATGTTTGACATGTAAAACCAATCATAATCTATCGCTAAACATGACTTCCGGTGTACATGTCAAATGAGCATCGAGATCACACTAAATATGGTTATTATTTTTTTAGTGTTCTGAAAAGGTAATAGATATTGTTATTTTTAAAATACGCCAAAACAAAAATACTTTTTCGGAAGTGCGAGCTGCAAGTGGGGCAAACCAGCCGGAAGAAGTTAGTACCTCTCATCAGGAGAGAATTGAAAAACCGGAAGTCTCTTTCTTCCTATATTTTATATTTATTTGCTTATTATTCCTCTTGACTTTTAAAATGTTAGCTATTCTTTTTCTGGACATCCGTATCTACTTCGATCATCCTTAAAGATGAACAGTACACTAGCAAAAAATTCACCACGAGACAGCTGGCCTTTTTGTGGTACTTTGTGGCTTTTCGCATAGAATCAATTCAGAAGCCTGTTCAAAGAAGATCGTCCAGCCAGCAAGCCTGTCAATGAAAGGCAGAAAGAAATGAACAAACGTCCGTGGATCTAAGTGGATAGGCCCGGGTGCCGTGCCCCGGGGAACAATCTACCTAGGGATCATGGAAGCCTCTTTGGAGGAGGTCTGGGACGACTGACAAAAACAAACATGGCACCATAAGGATAACAGTTATTGCTTGTGTTTCTTCTTCGGTTTTCCTCAGAGTAATGGAACAGCTACGTCATCTTGAACTTTGGTTAAGTTCCTGGAGCATTTGGCTTGATCCTATGCACATTTTTTCGAATGCAACCGAGAAAATTAATGGACTAAAGGAGAGTGTTAATGAACTTTGGCGGACTGACGACTGGCAAATTCGTTTGTCGTGGCTTCTCTTGATTTGTACGGCTTTTAACATTGTGTTTATTGGCATAGCGTGGCATATTTATAGGGAAACCATATCGAATATGCTCTTCAACAAGTCAAGAAGTCCAGTGCATCAGAGATCGAAGACGAATGTTTTGTCAAGTAGTGTGGAAGACTTGATAGTTAAAAAGATCCAGTAACTAATATTATGGGGTGAAAGTAGTTAATTAACTCCTGGGCTGACTGTTTCATGGGCCCTCGGTGCTTTGGTAATAAGTGAGAAGTCAAGCAGTCATGATGGTCGTGAATGATGATGGTGATAATGATGATGGCAGCGATGATGATGATGATGATGATGTTGATGAGGAGGAGGAGGAGGAGGACAACGATGATGATGATGATGATGGTGATGATGACAATGACGACGATGATGATGATGATGAGGAGGAGGAGGAGGAGAAGGACAACAATGGTGATGATGATGGTGATGATGACAATGACGACAATGATGATGATGAGGAGGAGGAGGAGGAGGAGAAGGATAACAATGGTGATGATGATGGTGGTTTTGGTGGTTATGATATTAATAGAACTGTCACTGAGTGACTGGAGGCAAAACAGCAATTGTTTCCATGGCAAGAGTGGTGTTGTTGTCATTATTGTATCCCACAGGTTTTCAGGCAAAAATACAAAATTCAATAAAATCATTGCCGTTGATAAACACACAAGGTTTAAACAGTCCTCAAAACATGTGAAAATGTTACCTAGTGACAAAGATATTAAATATTTTATCAGACATGTGACGAATATGGGATAAAGCTAATACTTACTGAAGGTTGATTGGTTTAAAAATTACTTAACCTTACCTAACAACAGTTTAAACAATTAGAAATGGTATTCTCAGCTGAAGAAAGCAACACTATTTTGTCTACTGAAATTTAGTTATTTATAAATAACAGGCCAATGTATCTGAGGTTAAAAAAACCCTCCCTTTCAAAATGAGACCAAGTGCAAACCTTTCTTGTGAAAATGAGTTTATTTGCATGTTGATTTGCCTAAGAAAGCCAACATTTTGCAACACTACCAACTGTTTTACCACAAAATGTCTGAGGAACGAGCACAGAAATTCTTTACTGACCACGTGTCACTACCCAGATCTGGATAGTGCTTTGGATTTGGTCAGGAAAATTTCCCTCGTGACACAAAAATCTGGGTAGTGACACTTTATCAGTGTGGAATTTCTGCACGCATTTCTTAGACATCATTTTACTGGAAAACCAGTGGTGGCATTGCAAAATGTCGGCTGATTTCTCAGACTATATGTTAATAAATAAAATCATTTCCCAGGGTTGTCATTAAGAGCCGGGGGCCGCGAATTTTCCCCGGCTGCTAAAAGAGTGGCCCCTGGCTACTTTTATTGGAAAATAGAAGAAAAATAGAACCAAAAGAAACCCCTAGCCGTTTGATTCCCCGCCTACTTGTTGTATTTACCCGGCAACTTGAAATCTTAGTGACAACCCCGATTTCCACAACAGAGGCTTTGCACTTTGCCTCGTTTTGAAATAGAGGCTTGGGGCATTTTGGAAATTGCCTTTAGGAATTCCAGGTAATCTGATCTCTAATAATTTTTAAATTAAATTTGGGGAGTGGGAGGCCATGGATATCTCGGGTTGATACCAATAGCTTAAGTGGCAATGATGGAGATGACACGATGGTAAACTGGCAATGACAGCAGGCAAAAATTTTGCAAACTTGTGTTTTCAGTAACATGCTTGACAAACATTGCAGTGTATGCGTACTATTCATATCACACAACCTGTATTTGCCAAAAAGTTTTCATTATCATGAGAGCGCTCAAATCAAAAAGACAAACCAGAGGGAAAAAAACAGACTGGAGTTGCAATACTCTAATTCCTGTTTTAGTTATGCACGTTCGAGATCTGTTAGTCAGCCATTTTTGTAAAAGATGCTGCAATCAAACCAATGACTAAGTAAATAATTCTACTTTCTTTATTTTCTTTGATTACCTAGTAAATTTTATGTACAAAATAAAAAATTATTAACCCCTTCATAACAACGTTTACAGCTTCATATATTTTAAGTAAGTAGGTAACCCTTCATTTGATAAGTGTACAAACTTTAGTGCTCCTCATTGGGTCAGCCAGCATTCATCTGGCTTAAAGTCTAAACATGTATCTTTCCCATTTAGGAATGCTTGCAGATCAAAGGACTGACAATTTAATGTTTAAAATCTGGCTTAATTTCTTTATTTCCAGGTCCCTATGATTGGTCAACTCACAATTATTTTCATTGATACTAGTGAACATACATCTATGGAGAAGAGACTTAGAGAAAACAAAAGTCAATCTCAGTGATTGTTGTCATGTAGAGGCCAGCCTATAATACCTAACGAGGAATAAATAATCTAAGTAATCGGTGACTGCTGTATGAAAATGTGTCATTTACTTTTGTTTACAGTTTTTTTTAGTGTGTCACGTAACAACCATCACAATACTGTGAGACACTGGAGACCAGAGGAAGTGAAATACACTGCCCCTCACCCTTCTAGCATATCTGTTTTCTAGTCCTACAACCTTAATGCATCTTCCAACTCAATACAGTATCTAGCTCAACTCAGCACAGTTCCTCCACTAGGATTTTAGGGGTGGGAAATCTGAGAAATCACAGCTCTCTAAAAACTCTTGATCAAATCTCAAAGTCTCAAAAACATTGGTCATGAGTCAAAGTCTTGATTTTTCCATCTAGGTGTTTAAACAAGTAACTCTGGGCTCTTGGATGATCCAAACAGGTCTCCAACATCTTGGTGAGTCTTGTTATATTTTTACCATTATTTTGTTCCGACCCTAATATTTGCTTTTCCAGGATACCTGCAATCATGGTCCTCAATAATTAAACGTAATTGTTTACATTTAATTAATGTTAAAAAATTATACTTGACAACTGATACAAATTAATAGTATCTTGACTCCTACATTCCCTGCAAATTGCATAAGATAGTAAAAAACCAAATTTCCCAAATCTGTGATTAATATAGACTTTAAATACTATATATTAAATAATTTTATAAATAAAATACAGTGCATTTCCAAATCTACAAATTTTAATATATATTTGTAAGAAAATAGTTAATTATTGACAGTTTCGCTACAAAACTTCTAAAATCTTCCTGACTGTCGGATTTACCTGAAAAAATTAAAATATGAAATAAACATATTACAAATCAGCAAAACAGTTTATAAAATCACCACTTGTAGGTAAAAAGGGGGAAACAACTTCAATTCAATTTTATCTGGATTATAACACCAATATTATATCTAGAATGCATTCAAGTAGTTTGCATCTCCTATAAATAGATCTTTGTTTTATTAATATCAAAATTATTATTTACTTTATTATTATTATAAAATTTATTATTATCATTATAATTTATCACTATTACAATTTTAATATATTTTTAATTATCAAGGCTTAATTTTTATATATTTTTCTTCATTTTTGTGAATATTTCAAAAACTTTTACACACAAGCACACAATTCAAAGCTATCAATTCCTACTTACAGGGAATCCACTCAGCTTAGATTTAAGGCCACAGAAGTCTGCTTCCTCTATAATTTCCTTTGAGCTATATATGCTCTTCTTTTCTGTGATTCTAAAAGGAAATTGATACACATTCAATTGCTTGTTCGGATGCAGTTAGTCAAACTTGCTTAACTGAACTTCCCTTCCTCCCACACAAACTATATTTTGTTCCGGGGGGGGGTTACTTTAGGAATTTCTGGGTGGGGATGTGCCGCTGGGACCCTGGAACCCTTAACCTATACCAGAGCTAGTTCAGCTGAATTTTGCTACCCTATACTAGAGTAAACTCCCCAAATCCCCCCTATCCTAGAGTAGTTGTTTTCCAGAAACTACTAAGGTCACTAGCACAGTCTAGCCAAAACAAAACCTTATACCACAATCCCTAGTCTAGATAAAGTCTTCAACAAACTGATCAGTTTCCTGAAAAATGATACCCTGTTCTAGACCCAAACACTCTGATTTATATACCCTATCCTAGAGTAAACTGCTTGAAAACCGTACCCTTCACAGTGGCACATACCTATATAGTCCATATATGGCAGTAACCCCCCCCCCCCCGGATTTTGTTTCCCTTAGAAGTTCTAAGTGTAGGTCATTAACACTAAAATGGTAATAAAAAGATCTACCACAAAATTATTTCACTCACTGTGTTTCTGAGAAGAGTAACCTTTCTGAAAATGCAGCAATTGCTGAGAACTGTGCCAAATTAAAAGTAGACTTCTCATTTCCTTCAACCATCTGTAACAGGATGAGGCAAAGTGATCACTAATACCCAATAATTAAGTTGAACGTGAGCAGAAACAAAAGTAATAATATTAAAGTAAGTCCATTCATAAAGTTAATGCTTGTTACCTCTATAAGTTTCTTGACTTGTTCTGTAGTTATGGAGTCTACATGAATTTCCTTCAAGCCTCTACCCATTTCCTTTGACAAAACGTTGCACAAAGAACAGCATGAGTAAATTCACAATCACTTCTCAGTATTCATCATCATTGTGATTTTTTGGGAAAAAATTTATTTGTTGGGTCAGCAACATTGTAATAATCCGAACAACACCAAAGATACTAAATGGGTTGACGTATAAGCTTATTATATCCATTTTGAGATCACTGGTGATCTCTGCAATCTGATTGGCTCTCAGCAGTGTGATTTATTCACAAATCACACTTTTTTAAGCTCTAAATCACATCTGTTCTGAATCGCTTTATTTTTGCTCTATATCACGTCATTTCTGTTTCGAATACAAAATGAGATGTAAAGGCCTTTTTGTTTCCAGTTTTCAACTAACCACCTTCTTGATCAATAAAATATCGGTACTGACTGAATTCTGCGATTTCAAAATGGCTGTAAATAAAGTGGTAATTGAACTTTATGTCTTGCAATTTTGGTCTGAAATCATACTAGTGATTTCAAATCGTATTCGTGGTGCATGCTTGTGCAATTTTGAAATCACGCGTATGATTTCAGACCACATTGCAGTCCACTCAGTTCCATTACCAATATATACATAGACACATACCCTGAAGGTTATTAAATTATCTCTGTCTTTATCCACCTTCAGAAATATGTGCTTGTAAAGTGCTTTCCTTCTTGTGCTGAAATTGTCAAGAAGAGGAAGTTAAGTTATTTTATGTCTTATAAATGAAGACGTTTTTACACCATTAAATTGAACAAGAACCTCAAATGATATCTGCACTCCTGACCTGATAATGCAGTACTTGGTTAAGTAATCCATTGGTGTCATAGCTTTACAGGAAAGAAAAAAACGAAGAAATCAGATTTTGATCACAATTGTCAAAGAATACAAAATCACCTATTGAAGTGGTGAATATAGCTAGGGAAGGGGCCCCTTACTTTAAGGAAGAAAGCGAGGCCCACAGGACAGAAGATTTTTTTGAAGGCTGTGGACTCCTCTTCATTAACCATCCTTGATAGTGGGACCAATTAATGATTTGTTTTTCTAAGGTGCTGTTTTAATATTTTGTGTCCAACATGATTATTATTAATTTTTACACATTATATCAAATTAACTTTTAGTACAAATTACATAGATGTATGTACAACAACATGTACCTTCAAGTAATCTAACATCCATGGGAAGCTCAAAGCGACTAGTTTGTTTAGAAAGTGCCAATCTCCCTTGCAACCATGGCTTCATGCCCTCTCTCTTCCGCTAGAGAAAACAGACAAAAATACATCTATAAAATTAACAGACCTACCTCAACATGGCATGATGCCATGCCTTTTTGTAACATTTCCTTTCTTTTTCTTGTTTTATATTTTGGTGGACTACTAAAAACAACTTCATAAGGAGGGCTTTTACCCACTTTTTAAGCTTCAAAATGTTGTAAAAATCAAATTCATTTCAATACAAGCTAGAGGGGCACTTATAATGTATATATCTGGGGGGGGGGGCTTATGACGGGATTATTTTTGGTTTAGATGCAGGTACATATAAATGGGCCTACAACTTGGGGGGGAGGGGCATATAAGCAGAACTTTATGGTAACTAACTACCCTTTGTACTTACCTTCTGTTCGTCCAAGATGGTTGTCATGACTTCAGTGCTCTCAGGAGATGGTCTGAACTGAGGCATAACTGTAGGATTAGTGAGGGACTTCTTAACAGGCTTGGACTCTCTTTTTTGTTCCAAATGATACTCTAGAAGGTCCTTTAGGAAAAATAGGTATGTTTCAATTCATTGAGTGCTATGATGCATTGTAGTTCAAAGAATAACACCGAGAATTAACCCCCTTAATCTTAGCGTTGACCAAAATTTCCAAACAATTCGATCTGTAAAATGCTGAGATGAAGGAGTGCAATGTGAAAATTCTACTAAAGAGAATTCCTTTGAATTGTAACAAAATGGAAATTCATCCAAAGACTCAAAAGTTAGAACCACCTTAAATGACTATACCATTAACTGTGGTAGTAAAAGGGTTAGTTTCAGTCTGATTATTGTAAACATGTTGTGTGCATGAGTTAAAAGAAAAATAGACTGTGGAATTATGATTGGTTAAAAGAGAAGAGTAAATGAATTAAATACCGCAATGTTAAAAAAAGTGAAAGCATTTTTTACCTTTGTTAATCAGAAGGCAATTTGATGATTGATATTTTTAAACCTGCCTTAAGTCTCCAAAATATGCATGGTCATTACCAGAATATCAACATTAGTCAAGAGAAGGACATCAAATATCACTTTCCATGCAGGTGGCAGGATAATTATGGAGTAGAAACTTTTTAGAGTAATCATACGTCTTATTTGTGCTTAGAAAAGCATTAATCATTTTATTTTTTCAAACTTACTTTTTGTGCGATGACTCATTAACAGTGGAGACTAAAACTTTTTATTTTTGTCATTAAGCAACAAAATGCAACAAATTCAAAACTTCACCTCACAGTTTGAGTACTTTTGGCCACAATAAACAACATGATTTTGGAGTATAGAAGAAAAATGTCATAGAAAAGAGATCAATATTTTCTACTTCACACATTGAAAAGAAAAAAAAAGAGAAGAAGCTGTGACCATCTTAACTAAATGGATAGTTTTGGCAAGTCAAAGGGTATTCTGTCAGCAGTTCAATAATTCATGCAGAATGTAGATGTTTAGCTGATAACAAGATAAATTATTTACAAACATCTGGAGAAGTCAGGTTAGCTAGTTCCCTTCTTCAAGCAATGGTGATTATAGTCAAATAAAAAATGTTCCAGCAGGAAACAATAATTCAAGTTATGTTCTGAATGTTACTGCTTTCCATGCCAAAAGTACTCATGTTTTTAAACCCACTGACAAAAAGATGACTTAACTACCTATACCCAATAATTTCGCAGCCCAAAATGCATAATAGTTCTGTAGTACTAGTAATTAACATTAATGCAAATCTACCTCTCTGACAAACTTCTGAGCTAATGATGACTTTCTAAATGATCCAAAATATTTTCTTGCCTCATATTTTCAGAAAGGGCAACAAATTCCCGCCACTCCATGAGAAAAACATGGAGCAAATAAAGCTAACTTTTTTACCTCCTCAGTTTTGCTCTATTTTCTTCCTGCGACTTATATTTCCTGTTTTTCCCTAACAGCAGCCTATCTTTAGACATAAAGATACTAAACAAAAGCTACAGCTTAGACTTTCATTTGTAAAATAGCAACATATTTTTGTGTGTGTGTGTGTGTAATCCGTACCTTTGGATCATACATCCTGTATGCACCAGGAGCTCTAATATACTCTGGCTTGGGTAAACTATAAAAACAAAAATAAACACAAAGTTTACGTAAGATACTGACTCAAAAAAGCAATTTCCTTTAAAAGTCATGAAAACCAAATTACTCACACTGAATTCATTTTAAGCTTAAGAGCTAAGAAACTCATTGTGGCACTTATTTAACCACGAAAACTCTCTTGAGTTGGTTAGGCAAAAGAGTACATGTAAGCTGAAGAACAAACTCACAGAAACTAACTAATGGGGGGTCTTTTGTTTGGTAATCATATGACATCTTATGCATGATAAATTGCACCTTCATTCCTATTAATTTATCAGTCACAAAATATCCTAGAAGCTTTACATACCTCTAGCCCTTATGAGGTCAGTCATGTAAGAAGACTTGGACTGATTTTTTTTTCTGTTAAATTTGTGATCCTAGCATAGTGTCAAGCATTTTTATTTGAATCCGAAGCAAAAGTGAGGTTTCCTAGATGACATGCAAGTGGGCCATGCCATGGAAAAATGAAAATGAAATTTGGCCTGTGGCAAGTTTTTTTACAGTGTAAATATTAACATTTTAAGTTATTAAATTAATATAAATGAAGGAGAGCTTACACTTCAGGGTCCAGTTTAGGTGGTTCTTCAGTCTTTTCTTCCACAACTTTTGTTTCTTCCACCAGAGCTTTCTCTTCTTCTGTTGATACCGTCTTTTCTTTAACCTCTCCTTCTGGTTTAACAGGTAGTGGTTTTACCAGCCTGAGTGGTTTATCTGGCACCTTGCGCTGAACAGGTGAGTCTTTCTTCAATGGGGAAAGCACTGGGACTTTAGGTGTCTCAGGTTCATTTGATGGAGACTCCACTTTACTTGCAGCAGGCTTTAAAATTGAAACAGGTTTCTTGGGCTGCTCTTTCTTTTCTTTTTTAAGCGGTGGTGGTTTATAGCTTGTGAGAATAAGAGAATCAGCAAACTTAACTTGATTCATTTGTGGTTTTGTCTCTTCTACTTCACAGTCCTTATCCTCAACATCGTTTTTAGGAGGTCCATCTTCCACCTCATTAACAGGTTCCACAGGCTCCACAGGCTCCCCAGGGTCCTGGGTAGGCTGTGGTATAATCTCTTGTTCCTCAGGGACATTTTTATTTTGTTCTTCTTCCACTGATGCTACCTCTTCCTTAGTTGCCCACTGCGGAATGTCAGGAACAACTATTTGTAAATCACCATCAAGTTCATTGTTTGGCATGCCTGTTTCAGGTTCTTGTTCTGTGACATCAGGGGATGGAGTTTGAACTGGTGAATGTTCCACTTTGGTAATGATGACTTCAAATCCCTAAACAAAGAAAACACAATCTGGGTCGGATTGAGAAACCAATTATTGCAAAATTAAGTTATTAAAGTTAAAATTGTACAATGCACATTCACATGATTAATAATAAGAACAACACAAAGAAAAGAAGCTCAAATCTTTCATACCCAATCACCACCCAAACACTAAGGGGACAGTAAACTAACTGAGCAGCAGAGAGACACATGGAAAGCAAGGCCATACACTGAGTTCATACAGGAACTCTTTCTCTATGTATCCTGCATATATGTAATTAACAAAGAAAGATGGTAAATTTTAAGTGGTGAATGAAAGATGAACTTGGGACATAATGATTATAATACATCTTTCCAAAGTGTTAACCACTGATCAAATACCTGATCAATAGGGTCAGTTTTCTCATCAGATTGAGATTCTTGTGTCTTTAGTTCTGGTGTGGCATCAGATGTCACAGGGTCACCAATCTCAGCTTCCTCATCTCCTATTAAGTACTCATGAACAAGATTGATTGTTGGACTCATCATTTCAGGTTCCCCAGCTTCACTTGGTTCCTTGACGTCTACATCTGCTAGTAATCAGAAACAAACTTATAAATAATTTTAATATTTTTGTCTACCAGGTAATTTTAATTCAATGATTTTTTTTTAGCTAGGACTCTCTTACTTTTAACCATTTAAGTCCCAATAGTGACCATCATCAATTTTCTCCTAACAATATCCATATGTTGCAAAGAGAAATGGTTATGAGAGTTAATAAAATGATCACTAAAGAGAAAATGCTTTGATATGTTATCAAACTCTCTCAACTAATTCTTTAAAGAAATGTATGAAGATCAGTATGGAGAGTTTATATGTGGATATTGGGGCTTAAAGGGTTCATAGTAAACTGACAAATATGGCTGGGTTGTTTTCATTATTTTCATTATTTTGTTTCTGCATTGTTTAAAATGTTTGTACCTGTGTCTCCTCCTTGTTGTTAACAAATCAAAACTTTACCAAGCTTAAAAAACAACTCAGACAAGGTCAAGTCCAGAAGAAAAAGCTTCATAAGGCCATATTAATTTTTTTCTCATTTTAAAACCTCGCCAAAAATCTTGAAATCCAGGCCCAATAGGTAGGCCTTGGGATATATTCCCGATGCAAGAGAATATCCACACTTGGCCAAGCTCACCCCAGCTTCCAGGAAGGCCTTAATTTGGCCCTGTTCTGGCCAGGCCAGGGTCCAAGACCTTCTGATCCTGGCTTCCCCATATGTTTTTATCCCTTGACAACCCCGTCCACGGCTGGGGTTACCCTGGATTTTAGGCAGGCGGCTATGACTCTAATTTTTCCCCAGTCTGGCCAGGTAAGGTAGAGCAAGAAACTAAGGAAAGGTAGCGCATGGGTGGATTTAGGGGTAGACTGAGTGGACTTGTATTATTTTTGAAGAATTCTCAGTAAAATAAATTAATAATATCTAGCTGGCAAGTGTCATGGTCGCCCCCTTTCTAAATTTTCTGGAACTGCCCCTGTAGTACACTACTTATGTACATTAAAACCAAAATTTAATGAATAAAATTATCCCCCTAGAGTATTTTTAATCAGTACCTTTTGAATCTGGCATTTCTTCTTGATTTTCAAAACATTCTCTCTCTGAAACAGATGCTTCAGAAGGAGTGGCAGGAATTAAAAACTGCTCCTCATACAAAACTGTTCCTTCAAGGTCATCATCTCCATTAAACAGCAAATCTGCTCCTACAGAAACATCGAAGGGGTCATCTGTTCTGGCAAGATTATCAACTGGAGATGTACTACGACGAATTTCTTCTCCTTTTACCCAAAGACCTGCTGGCTTCACAAAATGAAGATACTTTGGAACATCTCCTCTGTGGAACTGTGGAATGAACAAAATAAATCCTTTGAGTTATGTACAGGGGTACAAAGGAGACCATTGATGTTAGCTGTTGTGATAGAATGTTAAAGATGGCCGCAAATAAAAGGAGAGTATCTCAAAGAAAAAATAACAATTTTTGGTGGAAAAAAAAATACATCCAAGGTATGTAGCTCTTTCTAATAAAAGCTTTTGATTTTTTTTTTTTTAATTTTTGAATTTACTGGTATTCCTTTCCTCTGAAAGGGTTTGAAGAGCAATATAATAAATTATTGTCTTTTTTGATAACTATAAAAATAAATGTAGCAAATCCTGATGACACAATAATATTTTATCTAACCAGAATGTCTGTACTTTACTATCTTGTTGGACATTCCTTTGGGAAATTAACTGAGAAAACAGTGGCAGTATTTTAGCTTACCACTGCTGGTCTTGTCACAGGCCAAAACTGCTGTCTCTGTCAATTCAGGGAAAAGAAAGAAGCATAGTTAAAAACTCGTGGCAAATTAAAATCAAACATACAATGTATTGCAAAGGGTCATCCAGTGCAGGTATTTCAGACTGTGTGGTAAATTATAAACCACAGCCATGAAAATTATACAGGTTTCTAATCAAATTCCAAACCATTATTAATACCCTAAAGAGATATGTCGAATATTTTTTTCATGCATTAAATATCTCTTTCATGCGTAAATAATATAGTCGCCTTTCACCATCTTCCTTTGAAGCAGGAACTTTCAATTACACAATTTACTTACAATTTAACAATTACACCTCAGGTACAGCAGTTGAGCTGCTACCAACCAAATATCTATACACAGTGAGTCACCTGACTAACAACCAATACACCTGGTCCAGCTTAATGTACACTGGTCAGGCAGCTCACAAATTTTACTGTTGTGGGGTAGTTGCATGTTTTATTTTACTTTTCTATGATTTAGTTAGAAGACTTCTTGTCTTGGTCCAGGTCAATCAGGCAAGTGGGCATAAAATACCTGTTTGAACCCAGCAAAAACTCTTTATGTCCTTAACAACTGACACTGAGGACTTGAAAAAAGTCTTGTCAATCACGAGAGGGGAGTGATTTACAAGCTTTTCAACTGTTTTCCCAACATCCCAAGTGGGTTATCGTGCAGGTAAACCCATAGTCATCATAGAAAGTGTGGTCTATTGCTTTTATAAAATAACTTTAAGTTTTCTATGAGTTTACTGGCACAATTATGAGCCATAGGTTTTTAACCAATCAGAAAGCGCGTACTATCTTAGTTATTTTATAAATTAAAATAGTTATAGTAAATTTCCCTTAGCATGGACAGTGATTGTAAATGTTATCCCTTAGGCCTATATTCATACATTTTCTGCCCAAGTAAAAAAATAAATTCACAATGTTCGCTTATAAGGAGGATGGAGGGGGGATATTAATTGACAAACACTTTCAAAAATTTAGGATCCACACTGTAACTCCAAACTAACAATGACATTTTTCTATAATTTTCAGGAATAAACCCTGCTGGAGACTGAGCATCACCGCCACTGGTTTAGGCAGTTTGAGACCTACCGAACTAGAAGCTGTTTTAGGTCTAGGTTGATACGCAGAGCAGCAGTGTCTTAATCCATTGTGTGAAAGGACATTCTGAACTACATCTGGCATACACGTCAAAGGTCGTGTAAAAGCTTTCAGTCGTTGAATGTCGGACCCATCTTCAGGCACAGATGTCACAACATCAATAGAGCTAAAATCATAAGGAAGTGGAGCTGATTTGCATCGCTCCCGCTGCCGTTCCACCAGTACTTCTTCTCTTGGTAAAAGAGAGTGCTGGCTTTTTGCAGAACTCGTCCTATTTTGCCAAGCACGTTTTGCAGCAACCCTAGAAGATGCAGATGCACATCCTCCATGAGGTTTTGCAGTTTTAGGTCTCTGGGGCAGGTAATAATCAGCTGGCCTTGGTGGAGCAGATTTGCATCTTGCTTTATGAAGTCCACGATACAAAGCAGAAGGTGACATGCTTTGAGTTGGTTTAGCTTTGTGTACTGATCGTGAGCTATACGAACTTATGCCACTTCTTGATGATAATGGCCGTGATGTTGCTGGTGTCGGCGATGGATCCCTTAAACTTGCAAAGCTTCCCAAATGACTTCCAACAATACTATCACGTTCCCTTCCACCAATCCTGGGAGCTGCACTTTTAATGCGCTGAATGGGCCTTCCATGACGAGCTCTTGCCGCATTTGCATTGCTGAAGAAATGATAAAGTGACTGAGGATCTAAATGTTGTTTTGACGCAGTTTTCTGTCCCGTTGTCGTCCACAATAAGTGATGATCATGGGCCATTGTATCCCAACAAGCGCCTTGACAAAAATACAAAAAATGACTACAGCTGATGCAGTAAAAGTTCCTTCCCTAAACACTGCCTGATTCAAATAAAGAAAATAGCAGTGATGAAAAATTCTTCAAGGCATGTAGAGGTTATGATCTATTATTAAGACCTTCTCCAAATTAGGTGGCACAATACAACATGCTTGTCACTCATGTTACTGTCATTATCAAAGGGTTCCATTGCCGTGGTGTAGAATTGGGGTGGTCTAGAAAGAAAACACAACAATTATCAGAAAAATAATGACAAAGAGATTGACATAAACTAAGGGCGCTTTCCATTTGTCAGAACTGGCCAGCCGGACCATTGCCGACCAGTCATTTTAGCTATGAAATCGTCTTTTTCCGAGGGTTTTTGCTGAAAAACTATCTCCTTCGTGCACACTGTTTAGGATTTGACTGATCTGGATGGATAGTTTTGATCAATAGTGAAATTCTCATTACGATGGGAATGGTCTGGCCAGTCAGTTCTGACAAATGGAAAGCACCCTAAGTGAAACATAAATTGATCCCATTTTTATGGAATGAGTCAAAGCTCAGGAGGGATGGACTGTGTCTGGAAACCTTTTTCCTTACTATTTATCCCTTCTTCTGAACCGTCGGTTGCATCTGCAAACTTTGTTTAAGACCTAAATTTGACTCGCTCAGATTTATTAAAACTCCTTAAACAATGCCTGAAAAGTCAGAGAATTCTATACAGTTTATTGTTTTTGTCATCACAATTCAATTTTAAATTGAAGTGGAATTTCTAATAGAAGACATGTCACTCAACTTTAATTTGCAGATAAAAAAAATACCTTCAGTGCACAGTATGTTATAGCAACGTTCACCGTTTTAAACTCCTCTAAAATTTACTGTGTCAGACAGTACGTACAGTCACTATTGCGACAAATTAGATCGTTATGTCTTACGTGCTTGAGATTCCATTTACGTAAGGTACAGATGAAAAGGTCTGTTTGTGAACTGGTCTCGGTGACTCATAATTATTGTATATAGCATTTGGATATCATTAAATGGTCATGGATAACGCTTACTGATAAAAATAATTGAACGTTTTAAGAAGAAGCAATTCGCAGTTCAATGAAGCCTTTCTCAGTTTCTGCAATTGCCAAACCGGAACACGCGAACTCTACCCTGCTAGCAGGGTATTACGCGAACTCCAGCGACAGGCTTAAAGTCTTTGCAGTCGAGATCCAAACTAATAAGCTTTCCTTACATTGAATACAGTGATTTCAGTCGAACAGGTTAGTAATAGTACCAAAATTTCAAAACAAGCTATTAAAAAAAGTGCGTGGAAAACTCACCTTGACTGCAGTCTCTCCTGTCGCCACACTATCAGCAATAGTTTTCACACGATAAAATAAATACTTTCACCCCATGTCGTCAAATGACCATTATTCAAGATCAAAGAATTAGCGGATTGAGACGAATATCGTGTGGTTTTGGACGTGATTAACTGAGCTTCACAGCCAGTGAAAGGTAAATGTTATGTTTCACCGAGTCACGCGTTGTTTGCCGTTTCCAGCCGAAAAACCCGATCAGCCAACCATAGGCGGCCTTAGATCACGGTAACCAAAACCCTGCTTCTCTCTCTGTCGTCATGACAACCGACGTAGTTTACTTGTGAAGGCAGAAAGAAGGCGCAAATCGTCATGTCAGGAAAAAGCACACCATCTCAACCGAATGTAAATGTCAGCTCGCTCTTACAGACAAATCATCCCTTGCCAGAGCAATGGACATTAGTCAAGGAATGGCACATCGAAAGAAGAAGTCCTTCTGAAGACTGGAGAACCCTGGCTAACTCACATATAAGTCACATGTACAGACAAATGAAGAAATCTATTGAACAACATCCAGATGCACTGTTACATTAAAGGCAACAAAAGAATGTGAAGAATGGCTGAGAAAATGGACTTGAAATTCAATATTGGAGACGATTTCTCTAGTTCGTAACCTTCTTACAGCATAAGTGAGTGTGTGCCGGTTGTTAATAATTGATCACTTCTGGTCGTTTAAACTTAAGATTCGTCTCCGTAGTGTTTTGCTAACCAAGACGAAGAAAAAAGCTGACTTGCTAACTTGCAAAAAAGTCAACAACCACAGTAAAATTGAGGGCAAGAAAAGGATTGGCAAACATTGCAACTAATCTACAAAACCAGCTGCCCTTAAACCCTTGTCTGCGGGCTTCTTGACTGGGATTATGTTACGCAATCTCGTGCAGGTGTAATCAGTTCAGCAAAGTTCTCTCACATTTTCTTTCCAGTATGCGACTTGCTAAACTCCCTATCTTAATATTCAAAGAAGCCGAAGAACCAACACGATTTCATGCTGTACGTTTTTGAAAGTTTATGCTTTCCCAAACACTCTCTTAGGAGCTTAATTTTCAATACCGGGCGTTTGTGTACAATACGATTATAAAAGCGCCGTTTCCGGTCTATACAAGAAAAAAAAGAAATCCAATCGCTCGGCTACTGAGGAACTAAAAGAAGAAAAATGGATCACGAAAAGATGGTGAATGGACGAACTATAAACACATTAAAAGATATGGCAAAAATTTCATCTTGTGCGTGTGTGTGTTGTCTGTGTAGCTGTTTCACAAAAGACAATAAAGTTATTCCTTTGGAGAGTCTGTTGTGTTACAGTACAATACCTTATCAATATTTTGATCCCTCTTTAATCATTTATTGTTTGCCGTTACAAGCTACGATATTTGACAAGTTCCCTCAAACAAATAAAAGTAAGAAGGCCACATTTAATTACTCTGTCGTAAAGTGAAGCTACTTTTAAAATATATTTAATTTCATCTTCTTTTTGGTATTGGCCCAGAAACTTCCCTGATAGCTTAGGCTGGCTCGAGTTGAAATGTTACTTTCTAGAGGCGAAGTGCCAATGAACTTAGCCGCTTGAACCCTGGTTTAATTGTAAAAGAAGGACGCGGAATTAATATATTGGACACTGGATTTAACTTACAGTTTGTCAATGATTTTTTTGGAAAGTCCTATGTACGGTGGCCACTTCGGACAGAATCAAATAGCAGTGTGGCCGAAGCTAAGCGTACCTCACCGCACAGTCCATTCATTGCTCTGTTAACTACACTAAAAAAACCTTCCAAGTAATTGTAACATAGGACTCTGCCCCTAATGCTAATGACAATTTTTTTTTTTTTTTAACATCATTGGGTACATCCCTTCATCCCCCTCTCTCTGCAATGTTGCGCCCAAAAAAGGACTCGTTTCCTCCCATTTTGCTTAAAATTCATTGTTTGGCCGGGGGTGGGAGGGAGGAGGTCGCTAGTTTTACTTATATCACTGGGAAGTTCCAGCACTTTTTTACCTCCACTGTTGCAAGCGTAGAGGTAGCCTTCCGTTTGAACGTCAAACATTTATCATAATAAGTTCTAGTGTTAGGACAGATAAATTTCCCCACTGAAATCTAAGTCGTTATACAAATAGTCCAAATAAAGGGGTATTAAAAAATTCGGTGCATTCATCAGAGTACGGGGCGGGGGGGCTGTAGCTCCCCTGTCGGAAAAAAAAAGTAGTATTATTCGGGCAAAACTGATGCACCGTTCTGGCAAAGACACAGTAAAAAAAATTTTATTATTTAATATCTTGATTTATTTGTTTTCATCCCACTTTCGTATCACAGTTTATTACACATGCGGGTGATTGACAGAGTCGTCAGTGAACTTCAATCAAGGTTTGAGGGCAATGACCAGGAGGTTTTGTGCGCATTGGGCGAAATCGTATTCAGCCGTTCTCCAAGCATCAACAACATCCAAACTGTAACAAATTTCTATGGTGTGCATAGTGAAATGCTATCAAGTGAGAAGTCAATCTTTGAAAACTGCGACTTGGGGACCCATGCCAGAGAAAAAACGCAGCCGTGATGGTATAAAGCTAAGACCATGCATCAAAATGGTCTCCATGACATTTTACCTGTTCTATATAAGTTACCTCCATCCTGGCCACAATTCCTGCAACCTCGTGCTCTGCTGAAAGGTCTCTCAGCGCCCTTCGCCGCATCAAGACATTTTTAAGATCCACAATGGGACAAGACCGACTTAGCAGTGTCGCCGTTATTAACATTGAAAGAAAGTATGCAAACAAGACAATGCAGAATGACATGCAAAGGATTATTGACATTATTTGGGTGTCGAAGTAATCGTTCTTCATACTTCTTTTAGAGCTCAAATGGGTACGTTTTATCTCTCACTTCATGGTTTTGTATTTTAGAAATGTTCAACTCGATTTACCGAAAATAATTGCACTATTTTGAACGCCCGTGCTCTCACGGCATGGGGAAGAAAATTTGACGTCACGAAAGAATCATCTTGTGCATCTGTGACCAACAAGTTTCATTCGGGCAAATTATGTTCAGCGCCCCCAACAAAATTTTTCCCGTACGCCGATGGGTGCATTAGAAATACGCCCCAACAAACGCTCCTCCTTCGGCTACTGGCGAAAAGCACAACACAAAATGCAAAAAGGTTAACTAAACACAAACGGAACCGAAAACAAACCAACTGTAAAAACCGAATAAACAGGACAGATTTTTCGGGCTCTGCCCTTCATCGGTGAAAGTCCATGATGAAGGGTATCATCTCCTCTCTCTCTCTCTTTCTTTCCGAAAAGACGTGACATTCGATATTCGTGAAAGTGGGTAGCCTAGAAAGTGGGCTAAGAGTAGTCCCTAAGGATTGTCGCGACTGCAAACGTATGAGGGAGGAGTCTCAAGTTCCTTTCTCGAGTCGAGACTCGAAAGAGTGAAGTGCGCGATTTTTCAACCCTCTGTCGTGTGCGATGCTTCTCAGACCTCTTCCCGCTTTCTCTCGCGCGCAATATAAATGGCGAAATTGACATGTGCGCTACCAATCGCAATTTTAATGACATAGGTACAGGCAAGAGCATCGTGTATCGATTAATTGAATTTATGGTTTGGTGATTTGATTTCAGTTCCGCAAAGAAAACGAAATGCCTGGAACAGAATATACAGAATATAATGCATAAAGGGATCAGACAACAGTTCTATTTAACTAAAATTCAACTTACAGTTCTACATTATTTTACCATATTCCTTCTAGTATAAACGCCCACTTCTCACAACTGGAATAATAGAAAGAAACAACGGAGTAAGAATGAGTGAAATAAACCCTACCTTAGACTTACTGTCCCTTGTATACTTCGATTTCAAACCAAATCTTCCCGTACTGTCTGAATATTTTGTGCGATCAAGCGCATGTGTGCATTCATCGCAGTGTGGCCATGGATCTCGATGGGCATTATTTCTCCTCTGAAAATGGACGTGATTCAGATGATACGAAAACCAAAACGTATACTGCTCCCAGGCGCGTTCAGAGTTCATGATTCGTCGACAAAATTCCTCACCTCCCTAATCTCCTTCACATTTAGTCCAGAGCAAACTGTTCAAATTTAACTTTTGGAGTTAAAAATTAGCCTTGACAAAACATGTCCCGACTTTTAAAAAGTCTAGACAGTGCAAACTTGGATACAAGTGCATAAAAAGGAAAAAAGCCAAACTGTCTAGTTCATAAGAACTCAGAAAAGAGGAAATATAACGGAACAATTCGCGTGTGTTATGGAAGCTAACGATGGATATACTATTGTCTAATCGGAAGCAAAATTTCCAAGGATAAACTGAAGTGCCAAAGAAAAAAAACCCGCAACAAACTTGATAAACAAACAGCAAAAGTCATTTCAAATTCTGGTAGTTAAGAATACTTCTGTTTTTTTTGTGTGTTTTTTTTGTGAATTCTTAACCATGTTTGTTGCTAACCACATCAACTACAATTGGCAGATAAAATCGGAACACAATACGCTTCCATTAAACAAAGCAGGTGCAATTCTCTTCTGTTGTAAATAATACATTAACAACACTGAATATAAGTGAGGAAAAATTGTATTTATTAATAGCCTGCTGTCAGAGGGCAGATTCGATGCCTCGAATTTTTCTTTCTAACTTGAAAAGCTGGGCTGTGACCTTAACCAGAATTCTACCTTAACATAATGTGGCGAAAAGACTTTTCAAAATGTTTGTAACCGCTGTTTAAAAATTGTATTACAGAGGGCACAGGGACGATGTTTTAACTGCCCATGCTAAGTAACGAAAAACTCTTCTAAGTATGCAGGTTCATAATCTATATCTCTTTCACGTCAAGGGATAGTCTGCTACACAGCCATGACACAGCCCTTTTTAGCGTCGTCACGCAACGCTCTTTTTTAGTGGGGAGGAGCGTTGTGTGACGACACTAAAAACGGTTGTGTGGCAGACTAGTCAAGGGACTGACGGAATCTGAGCCTTTTTTACCGAAGAACTCATTTCGTGGAGAAAAAAAAAAACGTCGGCAGGGAATCCAGGACTTCGACATCATTTCTTCTTAAGGGATTTTATCTGATTTATCCATAAAAAAATGCAAGTTGAGAACATTTAACTTCTTGAAACAATAACACAACTGATGTGAAGGAGAAATATTTTACTCTCATCCCTTCCCAGAGGCAGCATGCCAATAATGGAAGTGAAACATTTGTTGGTTACAAGAAGGAAAATTATGACCCTGAAAGTGGGAAGGGGGACGGGAGAACGTGGATAATGTTTAGATAGAGGTCGCTGGGGAGCCGGCACTCCGTAAAATGTAACGGGTTAGGGAACTTTAGCAACGAAGGCGACATCAGTGACAACGGCAAAAATGCAAAAGGTATAGATTGGCAAAACAACAACGCTGCACGTGCATCACGCTTTTTTGTACATTTCTTTCCCGTCACTGCAAGACTGCGACGTGAAAATGCCTAATTCCACGTTTTGTGGAGGACGCGAACACAAGAGAACGGCTCTCTTTTTCTTGCTTGAACTTCGATACAGTCTCTTAGAATTCGTCAACTCCAGAAAAAATTGCCAACTCTTGACGAAATGAAAGAAATGGAATAAGCGCCATGAAGTTTGAAGCAGCGAGACTTTACCTTTTAAGTGACGTTTTCGTTGCCGTCGTTGTTGCTCAAGCTCACTAAAGCGTCCGAACGGGTTTCGGGGCGCTGGCGTAAAGCGCGAGACAAGAGAGAGAAGGGTAAAGAGAGCTTCGTGCTCGCGCCCCAAAACCTGCCTGAGCGCGAAAACTTGGAGGATATTAGCCAGGATATTTAATACCGAAGACACAGTTATTTTCCATGATTCGTTCTAGAGAAATAGTTTGGAAGTCAGTTTAGGCGAAACTAGAGAAAGGATTGATTCACTCACTTAGCTTTGGAAGGAGAAGAGCTGAGTTAAACGCTGACAAAACCAGCGGAGACAAAGCGCTTTTTTTGTTTTAGTTTCTGTGTGCTCTGTGGATTGCGCTTTTTTCCACCGCTTAACACAGATTACAGTCTGCAGGTGGATTCGCCAAGACAGCATAGTCCGTGATGCTGAAAATGACCCCTCGTAAAAAAAATCGTCATGCAAGTACACGCAAATCTGAATAGAGTAACGTTTAGTATTTAATGAATCCACCTAAAAAGACATCACTACATAAATTTATAGAATTCGTTTTCTAGCTTAACTGCGTTATATGTTCTACAGTATTTAAGTAGTTTATAAAAATAAAACCTGGCTCCTCATATTATAATTTTTTCTTTTTTGAATACGGATTAGAATATTGTTAATTCTAGAGTGTCACTCTCTTGATGTTAAGACGCGTGTTTTAGAATTCTTGACTGATCAATTGAAAGATTGTGTAAGTGCACTTGTTCAGTCTAGCCTCTCTTTATTATCTCAGAGACACCAAACTTCATACAACCACTTTTCTTTCGTAATGCGGACACTTTGCGCTACGCTGTTTGTGTCTGTATCACAAATCAGAGTGCTGAGGTCGGGTAGAAACTCGTCAGGAGTTTTCAACCCCTATTAGTAATTTTCTGGGTTAACTTTCAGGGCTGCAAATAACGGCCGGTCAACGGACAATGTCCGGCCTGATCGCGGACTTGACCGGTCAAACTCCGGTCTTGCCGGTCATTTTGACCGGTCATTTTTGGATACAAACACTTACACAGTTGTCGCTTAATGCTCTATAACGCTGTAATGATTTCTTTTTCTTTGGCGTTTTTTGCTGCTTTGTACTAAACCCTTCTAAGAAAAAGAACGCCGCAATAAATTAATTTCATGTCGTCATGTCGTAATCTAACGCAGCAAAGTGAATAACAAACTGAGTTGGAAAGTAACGCAACGTTGCAAGTCGTACTGTACTTTCGGCTTTGCTGTAATCAGCAATGTGACCTTCTTTGGGAATTCGAAGGAATTCAGGCAAATCGATCGCAATTCTCAACAGGTCGTCCTGTGTTTCTCCGGGAATAAATGTTAGCGCATCGATTTCTTTTATGTCGAACATGAATCTCGTTTGCAGACTCGATTCCAGAATGGTCTGATAAAAATTTAAACTACTCAAGAGGGAAGGTCGTCGTCTATCGCGGCGCTAGATTCTCGTTCTTGTAAACAACTTTATGCAAATTTCTGTTGACATTTGACCCCTTCGCGATAAAATGTTGCGCGATGACCCAAATTTATTTATGGACTTCTGATCATCAACACGCTGTTTGTGGAACAAACTTCTCGCCAATGCAAATCAACTTCTTTGCCGAAAATATCAGTGACGATTCTTCTTTGAAGAAGTGACTTTCGATCACATGCCAGGCAAGGAAAAAGATCAAGTTTCACCGATGTTCATTTCGGAACATCAACGTAAAACAAGCCTGTGCAGATTTTGTAAAATAACCCAATTTTTTTTTTTTTTCGTAATTTCTAAAGTTTGCTGAACTGTATGTGTATTCCGTTTCCTGAACCTTGGGAGTTTGAAAAGGATTTACGCTTCACTTTTTACCTCTAGAGACTTCAGACACCGCCATGCAATGATACTCAAGGTAGAACGTAACATTAAAACGCCCGAAAACCGCGGAAAGGAACTCTACAACGTGCGAATGCATTTTTCACTAATTTGCTGTCAAAAATGTGAACGTCAATGCAGTAATAACGATCTATTGCCAGCATAACTGGATATGGCAAAAAAGAATTATTAGTATTCATTATTTGACCGTCCAGAATCGGGGTTTGTCCGGGCTAAAAAATATTTGGCCGGTCATCATGACCGGCAACCTGTTGTCCGTTATTTGCAGCCCTGACTTTTACTTAGAACGTTACTAACACGTTACGTCGCAGAAAGTCTAACTGATGAGTCGGTTATTGTTGTAAACTGAAGGAACTGTATGTGATCACTCTGTCCTCCGCAGAGCAGCCGATAAAACTGAAAGATCAATCTGCCAATGTCTACCACCTTACCCAGCAAGACAAAAACCCCTTTAGCTTCTGTGGAGGAGAGATTTGAGTTAATGAGCAAATGTAGTCAACTCTACAGACAACTCCACAATACAGACACTCTCCCGCCCCATGTAAAAGAATCCGTACTCTGAAATCTGGGAAATGTTTGCTTGTAGAATCCGTAATCCGGGAAATTTGAGTTGTGGAATCCAGAATCCTGGGCACTGGAATCCAGAATACAGCTCAAGGAATCCGAAGTCCAACTAACTACTGGAATCTGGAATCCACGTTCCCCTATCAAACAATCCAAAATCCAGTACCTGGAATTCAGAATCCACGGCGTGGAATCCACAATCCAAGACTGTCTTGGATTCCTTACATGGTGTAATCTCTCTATTAATAACAGTTCTACTTGTCTCGAAGATACCACACTTCATACGCGGGCGATTTTATCTTTCTGGTCCCCTTAATGTTAAGAGGGTTTGATATTGTAGCACTTTCATAATAAAACTGGAAAAAAACGACATCACAAGTTTCCTTCCACGACATTTAAATCTCTCAAAAACTGTAGTAACAAATTGAAACAGAAGCGGAAATGTTTGACATTAGCACTATTCAGGCTGTTTACCCAACTACAACTTGGCTTGGTCCTTGAAAAGTTGACCCAACTTTGTAGTGAGCATGATATTACCTTTGACTTTCAACTTACTCTTCATGAATAGCTCTTGAGGGTTTGCTTTTCCCATGGCAATAGCAGCCAGATCATCATCCTCAACAGTTATGGTGCAGTCGGCCTTGCCTTGCTTGCATGGACCTTCCGTCACGGAACCAGAGCCAGTTTTGAGGTCCACAGTCCACTGACCAGCGGTCTTTCCACCCTTTGTAATATTCCACTCAAATATGCCCTTGACTTTCTTAACAAGTTCAGGGTGATCTGAGATGCGTTTGCCAATCTCTTTGAAGAGAGCTTCACTCTTGAGGCCTGATTTACCTGAACTGGAGACTAACGCATGCACATCCTGTTTCAAAAAGACAATAATCCAAACCATTAATATGTCAAAATTACCTCAAGTAAAGACTGGGAAAATTCCACACATTTCGGCTCCACTACGCTGTACAACATGAATAAAAAACCATTAGCTTTATTTTGACTATTTTGGCCGAGCACCGTGAGATATAACAAGTCAAGATTTTTTTGTTGCATGAATTACATATTAGCAACTACATGTGAAACTATTGTTCACATGGCAGTTGTGTGAAAAGGCATAATTACGTGATAAGAAATGCACCAAATGTTTGCTCCTAGAGATTTGGCCAAGCAAACACTTTTTGTAGCTAGCGCAACAGGTAATATTGGGCACTCAGGCAGGTTGTTGAGTGCAAGCGCAAAGTGCGAGGCACACTTTTCCCTTGTCCCTTGTGCCCTTTCTTTTATTCTATTATTCTTGGGGCAAAATTGCGACAAGTTATATGGCCTTGAAACAGAGACATAATTCTAGATGAAATGGTGACAAAGATGAACTTGAAGATGGGTTAAACACTGACAGAGGAATGGCCTTCTCCTCAAATCATGAAACAACCATATTTAAAACTCAGAATGAGGACATATGTACCCCGCCTAAGAGGGCTTCGTTAACAACCTAAAACTCACCAGAGTACCCTGTTGTGTGTTGTGCAGACTTCACCTTTTCATACTAGTGGTCAAGCCATTTTCAGTTTACTTTCTGGCCAAAAAGAAGCAAAACCACTTAAAATGTTGTTAACAAGAACTTACTGGCATTGTTGTCTTGGCATCATCCATGTCCTTCAAGTCAACATATCCTCCTGACAACACCAAATGCCCACTTTCTACCACTTTACACTGGAAAAAGATTCTGTTACCCTCCCTCCACATATCTGTCTGAATTGTTTGTCCAGGATAGACAGGCTTTGAAAACCTTGTTTTGATGGCCTTGAATTTAGTGACGTCATTGTTCGCATACTGCCTCAGAACATGACGAGCCCCAAAACCAAATGAACAAAGGCCATGCAGAATAGGAGATGAAAAACCTGTTTGAAGGAGAGCAAAGGATAACTGTATTTTTAGTGCTAGTCTAGCAAATCATGGTTTCAGGAGCAAGTATTTCAAAATAAGAAACTTTCATATTTTGTCATAGCTTTGTAACGTTTCTAATATAATTTATAGTCATCAAGATTGTTGAAGGACTGGACTGGACAGATGCAAAAAAGCTTACAAAATATTTCTCCACCTCCAACTGATTAGAATTAAGCTAGAATCTCAGATAAAATTGCTGGAACCCTTCCTTGATTTTTCCTGTTTCCAGCTTAAGAAAGTTGACAATCATTAATTTTATGCTCTGTGAATGGATACCTTACACTTTATCAGAGGGTAATAGGGTCTACACTATATTATGCAGTCAAACAATGTGAGATTAAAGTTCATGCACCCACTGACAAAATTATTCATAGGAGATGGATCCCTGCTACCCTGAGAGCAGTTGATCTTCCAAGATCATTCCAAGAAGATTGAAGAGCTTTTGCTCATTGGGTAAATCCCTGCTTTTTCCATCCAAAATGGACTGTACAAACTTTGTATTTTGTTGATTTACTGATAACCCAAACAATGCTAAACCATCACTAAATTTCTTTTTATTTGCAGATGTATCATGAAAAAAAACCACACACACACAAACAAACATCATATTTTCACAGACAAGTCACCCAAACACCTGCAATAATACTGTACCTCCCATCTGTGCAAAATTAGGATCAATGTGAATTGGGTTGTAATCTCCACTAAGCCGATAAAATGCTGCTTGGCAACAACTTGTCTTCTCTCTAATGCTAGCATCTGGTGCACGACTGGGCATGGAAACAAGTGGCTTGGCATGTTCTGACCGCCTTTTCCCGCCAAAACCTCCAGCACCACCAATATAGAATGAGAACTGATTAAAGCAAACAGCCTCTCCTTTTTCATCATTAGTGGTGACGTTGATGAGCACCAGAGCTCCTTTCCCTTTATCCAGAATGTCAGCAACTTCTGCCCTGCTTGTTAAGGTGGCTGCTGTTGGCAGAGGTTTGAACAGTTCCAGATACTGCTCCCCATGAAGAAGCTGTGAAAGTTAGGAGAATACAGGGGTGGATTAGAAAAATAATTGTCTTGAAGACAATATAGCTTAAACTTGTCATAACACGTACAGACTGCAGTTTTAACAGTTTACTCATAACAGTAACAAAATTCTCTAATCTGATTTGCTATCTGCAGCACTGGTTTCAGCATTAAATGGTCTTGTGTAATAGGACAGTATGTGTCATGCCTAAGTACCTTCTGGGAAGGCACATGCCATGGAGCATGGGTGCACATGCACTTGGATTTTTTTTTCACTTCTAGCAAAGGCTCTCAGAAGAACTCATGACATTAGCAAGTATGACTGTCATATTTTGTTGCTTGCAAAAAGAGCATATGGGGAAATTCTTATCAGGGCCCTCATAATCTTAAAAAATATCTTTTTAAACCTTTGTTGGGTCAAAAGGAAGTCCAGCTGCCTCCAGTGCTGCTGCTGTAACAGATCCTGTAGCACTCTGGAAAATAAAGAGAAACAAACAAAGCATATATTAAAGTGATACAGTTAGACGTTTATATCTAAGATCAGCAAGGCTGTCTCTAACGAACGTTTTAGGGAGGCCAAAACCTATAATTTGTGAAAAGCAAGGTGACCTGTATATAAGTTTTAACAAACAACAAAGTACATTTTCAAAGCAAATGTAAGTTGGTAGGGATCATCATTTGTTACATCTATTTTTGGAATAATTCTTTAATACAGATGCTTTTTTCTACATAAAAAAGGTTAACCAAATGGAAACAACAAACAACTTTAAAATGGGCTGAGTATAAACAATATTTCTGCACACTGAATACACTAGAGACTATTTTTCTGATCAAAGCCCAGTTGATCCTAGGTTAATTCTCATCAGCACCAATCCACCAACTTGATAAAATTAAATGAAAATTAATCTGCAACAACCATCATGAGCTCCAGATTCATATCACAAAGATGCCGCTGACTAAAGCCTCTCTCTCTGGAAAAAAGGTTGATCTTACCTCTGCCCATTTTATAAATCATATATTACACTACTTACATTGAGTATCTTACTTAGCAAAGAAATTATGCATCTAGGGTTTCGAAGCAGAGTTGCAGATTTTCTTTCACCTATAGATTTCATTGCCTATAGCATTTTGATGAGGGAGAATTCACCATTTTCACATAGACCATAATGCACCTTGTTTATGCCCAAAATTTTGCATAACCATTGTCTTTGATTTCTATTGGAATGACTGTAATACCCTGGAGAAGTGGGAAACAACGATTATGCAACATTTTCGGGGGAAAACAAGGTGCACTGTGGTCTATAAGAAAATGGTGAATGCAGCCTAATCTTCTGGAGCCAGTTGTTCAAAAGTTGGATAGTGCTATCCACCAGGTCCCGGTTGTTCAAACGTTGGATAGCGCTATCCATCGGATAAATCACTATCCAGCGGATAAGTATTAGGAAAACCGACTACAATATCCACGGGATAAACATTTATCCACTGAATAGCGTTATCCACGTTTTGAACAACTGGGGCCAGATAAATCACTATCCAGTGGATAAGTATTAGGGAAACCAATAAATATGGCACTATCCACTGGATAGAGATTTATCCAGTGGATAGCGCTATCCACCTTTTGAACAACTGGGGCCTGAACAGAAGACATCTAAAATTTGTGGAGACCTTTCTCTACCCCATCTCTCAATCCTTTTTGTGGCATATTTTTCAGCCAGAAAATAAAGTAGCTTGTTTCCACATGTTAAACTGGTCACTTCTCTATGGGCGAGATAAACATGACTGAAACTGACAAGATCAGACAGTTGTATATATTACCTGGGCTGCAATTACACCAAATGTTGGCAAAGTGCTAAAGTCTTCATGGCCTTCATAGAGAAACTTTAGATGGGAATCGTCTGGAACTGTCACTCCTACACCCAGTGCATACAGGATCACATCTTTGAACCCGTATGTAAACTGTATCTCTTTTCCTTTCACCAACTGGACCTTTTCTTCAACGCTTGAGGTTCCCTTACTTTCTGCTAACACTGATGCTTCTTTGGCTTCTTGCAGCTTTCCAAGAAGCTCTGCCATAAAGTTGCCACTGTTACTAAACTCTTTTGCGGGACCTGACCAATCCGTTACCTTATCCCAGTTATCTCTCACCATTTCTGGGGTCGGCACCTGACCACCTTTCCCAAACAACACCACCCCGGCAGCCTGATGCCACCTCAACTCCGCAGCCCAACCACCCGCGAGCTGGAAGACCCCTCCAGTCTCTGGACAGCTTTCATGGCAGAGGTACACGACATAAGGTGCTACATATTCAGGTTTTACGACATCCATCACATCTGGGGGTATAATACCTTGGGTCAGCCTAGAGGATGCCAATGGGACAATAGAATTGCAATGGATATTGTACTTGGAACCCTCTATGGATAAAGTGTTGCTAAGTCCCACGAGACCGAGTTTAGCTGCACTGTAATTTGCCTGACCGAAATTTCCCAAGACGCCAGAGGTGGAGGAAGTCATGATGATCTTGCCGTACTTCTGTTTTCTCATATGGGGCCAAGCGGCTCGAGTTACCTTGAACGCCCCACGAAGATGAACCCGATGCACGAGATCCCAATCAAGATCGCTTATGCGTCCGAACGACCGATCTCTTAGAATTCCAGCATTGTTGATGAGGATGTCAATTCGACCGAATGCATCTAAAGCCGTTTGGACAACCTTCTCGCCGTCCTCTACCGAGTGGTAATCAGCGACTGCCCTGCCTCCTTGAGAACGGATTTCTTCAACAACTTTATCGGCTGCAGCGCTGTTCTTTCCTCCTCCTTTAGCATCACCGCCAAGATCATTAACCACAACAGAGGCACCTTTTGAAGCGAAAGCAAGGGCATACTCTCTTCCTAGACCTCCGCCAGCACCTGTTACGAGAACTACACGACCATCAAAACGTAACTCGTCCGCCATTTTGCGTTCACAAGAACAGTCCAAAAATAGTGTTTAGGGTGGGGGTGGGGAGGGAAAGTTTCCTTTCTTTTCCCGGAGAACAAGATAGATATTCGTTAGGTATATCTAATCTGCACTACTTTGCTCAAAAAAATTCTTGACAATGGGTATAAATTTTATTTTCAGAAAAAAAAATGGATCCTAGAAGGTCCCTTTCATGCTTCCGAAAAAATTTCGTGACCTTTAGTGACCCTTGGGGGTGTGGGACATGTACAACGGTCTGAGAAAAATAAAAACATTTGGATGTTTCCTATAAATATTTTTTGTGTGTTCCTTCTTTTCATGATTTTAATGAAATATTAAATGAAATTTTATCCGTTGTCTTTCTTGATATTAAAAAGACCAGGTAAAATATTTTTATATCTGATAATTTTTTCACTGCACTTTTCTACCTCCCTCTTGGTTTTTTTTGAAGACGACCTTTAGCGACCTTCCCAGAATTCGTGTCGGGTCATGCCATAAGCATCTTGTGACATGAAAGTCTTTTGATGCTCACTACACAAGAACAGAGGTGTCTGTTCAGTTAAACCTCGGGCATTGTTTTATAGATATTAGTGGACAGGAATGTCTGAATTAGCTCTGAACAGCAAATTACCTCAGGAACAAGTAGATATTTCTATCGAAAACATGAAAAAAGGTTTTGCTTCGGGACCTCTAGACAGCTACAGGAGGCAGGCGTCTTTCGACTGGTTTGAGATGAAAGTGTTTGTAGAGGGTGGAGAGGATGTCGTTGAATTTAAAAATAATATCTGGAACACGTTGGCAAAGGATCCACTCTTTGATAGAGCAAACGATAGCAAACTGTCCTTTGGTGAACGCCGTAGACTCACTATGAAGAGATGTACCAAGCTGGCTGAGTACAACTTTGTGACTGATGATGATGTAATGGCTAATCCTTTCTTTGCTCAGGCATTCACCGATGCGATAGGGTCTTTTGATTGGAGTTTGTCTACCAAATATTTACTGAACAGAACGGTGAGTGAGAAATTGGTCAAGCCTGTAGTTACCATCATTTATTGGATTGGGGAGAGTAGAATAGCCTGGAGGGGGAGGGGGGGGGGGGTGGGTACTCCTGGGGATTCTTGGTGGGGGTGTGGTTCTCCAAATCCTGACCTGATTTCAGACCAAAAAATGTAATTTTCCACACCCGTTTTCAGACCAGACCGCTTATATCCACACCCATTTTCAGACCTGGCCTTTAGGCAGAAATTATGTTATCATTACTTGGAGGGCAAACAAACAAATTCATTAAATCGATTTTGAATTTGCATATTTCTCTTTCTTTCTTACTCATTTGGTATTGAAACGATAAATGCGTTCATACTCTCCCGTAATTCCCCCAAAAACCATACCCGATTCATGACCACAATGGGTAAAGTGTATACCCGTTTTCAGACAAAAACGGCACAAAAACCCTACCCGATGGGGCGGCACATACCTATATAGCTTACACAAGGGAGTATCCCCCCGGGAGAAATAGCAACCATTTGGTAGGTGTTAGGGTGAAAAAGAAGGCGAGAGAGCGAAGGGAAGAAGAAAAATACAGTATTTCTCTTCCCTCTCCCCACCCCCAAGCCCTTTTTGAATTTCTCCAACTCACCAATGGGTCCATGTGGTGGTCGTGCAAGCGGAAACATTTCTACACCCAAAGAAAATGCCTCCAATGCAGGCTAGCCTGTCAATCAACCTTTAAGCATGTTAAGAAATCACCTTTCAGGGGCACCCAACGACTGTTTTCTGTAAAATATCTGTTCGGAGAAGCAAATATTACCTAGAATTTTCTATGACTTGAGAATGGCTAAAATGGAAAAATGAATGACAATTTTTGATGGCAAATTTTTCTTTTAACTGTCATTCCAAAAATAGTCTAACTTTCAGCTGTCAGATAGCTCTATTTTCATTGTTGTCTAGGTGGAAACATTTCTTTCAGGCCTCTTTTTCTGCAGTAAGTTGTATCATTTCCTTATCTCCTTGTAGATGTTTGGTCGTCTGATAAAAACATCAAGTACACATGAACACATCCGAGACCTTGGGGAGAAAGCTGCAAGGCAAAAGGTATTCATAATTTAAACTTTTCACTATAATTGATGTTGTAAATCAAAATGAAATATAGTGAAAATTGTTGACGCCTAGGTTAAATCTCACTTTCCTTTGTTTCCTAACCCTTATAATAATTACTATTCATGATCATACATACATACGGTACAATACATACATAACATTTATTTTAACTTGAATAGAGTAGCTACAAATAGTTCATGTCTTTGATGTTAAAATCATTGCAGCCATGAATAATTAGGGCTAGAAACAACCTAGGTTGTAACCATTTTGACCATGACCTACAATGTTGATAGTATTTAGAGGCAGTTTTTTACTCAACAGGTACATTCATAGTAGTAATCTATTAATTATTTATTTAATACGTCACATAATCTTTGACAAATATGTTTTTTAATAAATTGACCTGCAGATCTTTGGTTGTTTTGCACTGACTGAATTAACCCATGGAAGTAACACCAAAGGAGTTCAAACCACAGCAACCTATGACCCTTCAACACAAGTAAGTATCAAAACTCATGCAGCCATATGCAAAATGTGACACACAAAACAGAAAAAAAAACATTCTTATTCCTTCACATATTTAGGGGGCAAGGGTGGGATGGTGGGAGGAGGAGCAATAGGTTTCTTGATTTTTTCAAAAAGTTCAGAAACTAAGAAATCAAAGAACCAATTACATCACTTCAGCAAATGTGTAGAATGGTCAGAGGGGGCGTTATCCATTAATTTTTTAATTGTTTGTTTTTGTTTGTCGACAGGAGTTTGTTTTACATACACCCAACTTCGAAGCAACAAAATGTTGGGTTGGAAATCTGGGAAACACAGCCACCCATGCTGTTGTGTATGCTCAGCTTTACACCCACGATGGAAAATGTCATGGTCTTCACTCTTTTGTGGTTCAAGTCCGTAGCACCGCCAATCTCTCACCAATGCCTGGTGTGACTGTGGGAGATCTAGGAGAAAAACTTGGTCAGAATGGCCTGGATAATGGGTTAGCATGTGGCACAGTACAGTTCTGATTTCTCGAATCCCTTCTAATTGAAATCAATACTTACTTCCCAGAGCACTAAAACATAGTACATGATTTTAGCCTTATTTCCTTTTCCCTTGGAGGTTGCAAAAATACAAATCAGGGCCCAGTTGTTTGAAGGCCGATTATCACTTAACCCAGGGTTAAATTTAACCCGAGTTTCTTTTTCTTGTGTTCAAAAGCATTTTCTCAGATAATTTTGTCTGTTATTTTTAGAGCTTCCAATCATCAACCAGTAGACAAAGAGAATTAAAACTGAAATGCTTTTTAAGCTTTCAAATCTAAATTTAAATCTCACACTAACCCTGGGTTACCTTAACGCAGCTTTGGACAACTCGGCCCCGGATTCCAAAAGCACTATCCTGTATAATAATTTAATTTTGAAACAACCATGCAGTTGTTCAACAGGAAAACCTGATGGAATAGTCATTCTTCAAAAGTTTCTAGTTTTGTAAAAAGCTTTAAAGCACCACAGATACATGAAAACAAATCTAATTCACCCCATTAAGATGGCAGTCTTACAAGATGCAACCTCCTTAGTCGGGCATTATGAGTATAATCACTTGACACCCAGCCAGTATATTAAGAAAGGGAGAGTTTCAAATATATTTCAGACCCTGTTCTTGTTTTAACTGGAGTAATCGCACTACTGCTTTTTTTTACAGTAGTGTTATTATGGGGAGAGTCAAGTTGCATTGTTACCATAACAATGTGGTTATTAGCAGACCGTGTGTCTGAGGGGGATTATAGAGACCGATAAGTTTAGGAGTGATTGAAGAGTATAATAACATATTTCTTTTCTTTTGTCAGTTTTGTGTCATTCAACCATGTTCGAATTCCACGGGAGAACTTACTGAATAGGACAGCTGATGTCACACCAGCGGGAAAGTACGTGACACCTTACAAAGACCCAAACAAGAGATTTGGTGCCTCCCTAGGTGCACTATCTGGTGGACGAGTAGGGATTACCAGTATGAGTGTTGTCAATCTGCGATCCTGTATACCCATTGCAATAAGGTATAGCAATATATATATATATATATATATATATATATATATATATATATATATATATATAGCAATGAATGCAACTATGTAATTAAATCAATAAAAATGTAATTAATTTGTCAGTTACACACAGAGGCATAGCATAAAATCGAAATTAAAAAGTTTAGTGGGCATAAATTTTACTAACCAAACTATAAAGTCTATTATCCAAGAATCTGTTCTTGAAATAACAAACTGGGGCAAACTAATGAATGGATGGACTGTTGAGGTATCTTTTAGAACAATAAATTGATCAAGATAGAACACAATGTTATGCAAAAGAGAAACAGATGTAAGATTTTCAATGACATAAATTTTTACTAACCCGGGATAGTAGGCTCATTTTTTCAAATGTAAAATCTACTAACCAAAGTTAATTTCGAGCCCTTTGTAAACAAAGTTTTCTTTGTACAGAGCAAAGATGACAACTTGATGGCTATTTTCAAATACGTGTCAGGGAAACAGTTTAAACTACTGAGTTTCACAAAGCCAAAATGTTGACTAAGTAAACCCTTCTTTTTCAGTCATGCTCTGTCTAACCATTTTCATCTCTTTCTTTCTTGATATGTATTTGTAAGTTACAGAACTTGTTTGGATGCACCATAATTGCTTGGATGCACCGTAATTTAACCAAAAAAAAAACAGTTTACACTGTAGAAGATGTTGCCAGATTTGCCACAAATTCAGTAAATTTGGTACCAGATTTGTGCTGCATGAAATCTGAAATAAAAATGTCCTGGCTGTAATATTGGTTGCATTTGTGAGGATTTTGAATCTGGAATCTGAAGCAAATACTTTTTATCTGAATGATGTTGTTGTAATAATAGTACTGATGTGTGTAAATCCTTGAAAAACCAAATAACCTTAATGGTATGAAGCCAGAAAAATTTCCTCTTGCATAAATGTAGCCTTACAGTACAGACAATTAACATATTAGGGAGATGTACATGTACGTTTTATTTGTTGTTATTTTTAGGTACTCTGCTGTACGAAGGCAGTTTGGTCCACCTGGAAAAGATGAGATTCCAGTCTTGGAATACCAAATGCAGGTTTGTTTCTCTCTGGACATGTTGTCAATAATTTATACCAAAAATTGCCTCTTCAATGTTACTCGCACTATGCAGTTCACCTCGTATGTTATGAGAATCATGTACCGCGCGAGACGATTCTTGTTGCGCAGGAAATGAGACGCGACTGGTAACTTACTTTTGAGCAGTACTGTACAGCATGGCTAAGTAGTACCTCTGCCTGTATGGAATTGGCATCAAATGAGGTTCCAGTCCTTGGGTACTAAAATATACATCATCATGCATATTCTCCATAGTCTGCACTACGTATTCAAATGTACAATTTTGTCTCAGAAGCCTTTTAACTGGTGATTGTAGATGTATTCTTTATTCCCATGGTGTTTAATTGAGCAGTGACACTCCAAGATTAATTAACCCTTTAAATTCCAACAGTGACCAACAACAATTTTCTCCTAACAATACCCATACACTGTCAAGAGATAGAGTTATGAGAATTAATAAAATGATTGCCATAGAAAAATTTCCATGATCTTTTATCAAATTCTCTCAACTAATTCTTAAAGGAAATGTATTGAGATCTGTTTGGAGAATTTGTATGTGGATATTGGGTCTTAAAGGGTTAATGAGATTCTGGTCAGGACTGAAAGGGTTGATTTGCAAGACAAATTCTCTATTGCATCTAATTCCTCCCCTCCCAACCGGGAAATATTTCAGATGTATAGCACATGAAAGGTCTCCTTTGGGACATTCCTGAGTTGAAGTCCTAGTTTCTCTACTTGTAACACTGTTTAACTTCAAATGGATGGAATGATCTTTCCCAAACAATTCAGTTTACAGCAGTTATGATTATGCATATTTATATAACTTCAACTTAAATTTCTGTAACTGAAAAAAAAATATCTCCTTTTCGCTTTTCATGGTACCAGATTTTTATTTCTTTTCTTATCAGCAATGGCGACTTATTCCTAAGCTAGCAGCAACTTATGCTCTGGCCTACTTTGCAAGGACTTTCTTTTTGAACTTTGTGGAAATGGAAATTGGCGCAATGATGGGAGAAAAAGGTGAGGCTCAGGTAAGAAATGATAAATTTATGAATAATTTATTATTGTTATTGTTATTTTATTAACCATAAATAATAACTACAGTTGAGCCAGGTCAAGGAAAGGTACCCTCCAAGATTCCTTTAATAAATTTATTATTTGAAAGGTGAGCCTGCCATTAGTTGTAGATTTCAGATTCATCTCTGCATTCCTGCATTCACAATGAGCAATGAATTGACATGCGAGGTAGTTGAGAAAATTGTGACAGCTCAGTTTTCTTGAATTTGAAAAAAATGTCTGCGGAGCTTATTTTTATCCATTCAAAGATTTTTCCTTCTACAGTAGAACCTCAATATAATGAAGAGCCAAAATATGTTCGCTGTAATGAATGTCAAGGTTCTTTTCCATAAATTTAACCATTATTGGGGCGAAGAATTTAGTTCACTGTCACCAAGAAATTGAAGCCAAAAATTCACTGTTCATTATGCATGCGGAATGCAGATTTGAATTTAATAATAATAATAAGTCTGGTTTATTAATAAAATCGTCGTGCTTAGTAATAAGCGAATTGCAAAATTATTTTACAAAGATATAGATATTTATTACATCCACTTTGAAATCACTGGCTATCTGTGCAATCTGATTGGCTCTCAGCGGTGTGATTTATTCCTAAATCGCACCATTTTTTGCTCTAAATTGCATCTGTTCCGAATCGTGTCATTCATGTTCTAAATCGCATCATTTCTGTTTTAAATCGCACCATTTTTGTTCTATATCGTATCATTTCTGTTTGGAATACAAAATGAGATGTAAAAGCCTTTTTGTTTCGGCTTTTTAACAAACCGGCTACTTGATCAATAAAATATTAGTACTGACTAAATTCTGCGATTTCAAAATGGAAGTAATAAAGTGGTAATTGAACTTCGTGTCGTGCAATTTTGGTCTGAAATCATACTTGTGATTTCGAATCGAAGATTATGAAATCCCGCGTATGATTTCAGACCAAATTGCACTGCACTCAGTTCAATTACCATTATCAATAAAAAAAAATTAATTTTAACTAATTAATTATTACATCATGTTCAAAATGGACTGGGCCTTACAATTTATTATGAGAAGATATAAGAAAATAAATTAGATAAAAAACTAGAAACTAGAAATATATATCAAGTTATACATTAAATTCCCATACATGCCATGAGCATAAAGGCACATCGCTGGAAAAAAGCTTAGTTTAAAGCGTTCAGTTTTGCAACTTATAAGGGATGGTTTTGATGACTGTAACGGATTCATTTTTCATGCTTGACCTGGCGTAATTGGCTTGACCTGGCCTAACTGTAAAAGATAAAATAATTTACACTGTAAATATTATTATTATTATTTCTATGCATCAGGCTGCTTTGGGAAGAGAAATCCATGCCCTGTCATCAGCAAGCAAACCTCTGGCAGGTTGGATGGCCCAGAGTGCTATTCAAGAATGTCGAGAGGCTTGCGGAGGCCATGGTTACCTTGCAAGTAAGACACTATTGTTGTTTTAGTAACACATTTTACCATTACTTATCAAAAATGATTAAATACAGTAAAATATACTGTTAATTATCCTTATTAAAAGTTTATTTTCTATGACGTTTACTTTGATCATATGTTTTTTTTGTGGTTGTTGTTGTTTTATTGAATTTGTATTATTGCTGGAGAACAAAACTTTGTGTTCATGTTGTACTTTGACATTCCATAGAACACTTGAATGATTGCTGATGGTTTCTCTTAATAAGTTATTAATTTTGTACAGTGCTAGAAGAATAGGGAAGATTTTTTGTATGCTGTAAAAGTTCCATTTTTTTCCACAGTTAATAGGTTTGGTGAATTAAGAGATGATAATGATCCAAACTGCACGTATGAAGGAGACAACAACATGCTTTTGGGGCAAACCAGCAACTATTTGCTGTCTCTTTTAGAAGCCAAAGAAAAAGGTATTCTCTGCGCTCTGTGTCAGTGTTGTGTTTCTTAATTTTGAATTCTTTTCTGTCCTTTTCCCCTCTCTTCGCTGCAGCAGAGTTAGTTCAGATGGTATTCTTAAGTGGCTTGTAATTTAACAGTAAATGTTACTGGCAGAATAGTAGCAACAGATGTAGAAAATAGTAAAACTAAATAAAAATGAATGTCTGATACCTTAAGTTTGAATTAATGTGCACTGAGGTCTTAAAAACTAAGAATTGTGTCATTGAAAGCCCTTGAAAAATTCTTTGTCCATAAAAGAGTACACACCTTGTAAAGCCGACAAAGCGATTACTGCTTTTTCCCTGCAAATAGCTTGTCCTGGGTATGACTTGAAATATCTCAGCCCCATCTCCCACAGTGCTGGCAAGTTATACCTATAACTCTTAACTTGGTTGACATACACTGTATTCAAATGGTGTAACCACTGCAGTGGCTGGGTAGTTGCCTAGGCGATAATATTAAGTGTGTTGTACAAAAGGGATTTATGGTTATAAGTTTATTAAAAGGAATTTATCGTTAAAGAAGGAACAATTTCAACACAAGCTGTCTAGTAGTAGTAATGCAAGAGCTGGCAGAAATGTTTCTGTTATTATTTCCCAAACAGGAGCAACAATATCCTGTCCACTTCATTCAGCGGACTTTCTTGATAACATCGAACAAATCATGTCAAACAAATTTCATGCAAAGACAGAGCAAGAATGCAGAGACCCTGACTGTAAGTACATTGCTGCTTTTATCTCTGTGTAGAAAAAAAGTATATATAGGACATGTGTTTGACCAGTGTCAGATCTAATTCAAAAGAAAGTATTTCATAACAGTGCAAGGGCTTTTTAATTACTAATTTTGAGACCACGTTTTACTTTGAAAGGTCTCTATGACAAGTCTTTTACCACAGGAAACCCAAGTTAGAAAGTGATATTTCACGGTGTGACCTTTTGATGAAAGTGTTGTTGGGTTTAATATTCCTGTGTGTATTGGTTGCCTGAGCGATACTAGCATCCTAGCAGTGGTAGTATCTTCTAAACTTCAACAGAGACTTGGGTAAACATTCCTTAGCAAGCATCTCAAACAACCTAATAAGGAAACACCATTCGCCGGGTCTGTGGTTACTAGATACAGAGCCAAACAACATTTAGTGCCTAAATCGTATGATTTCGTGTTTAGATAACCATTCCTACTGAATTTATAATGATGCAGTAATTTACTAGACCATGTTGTTGTTACTCTTTAGTTTTAGTGGGAGCTTTCCAGTGGCTTGTGTGCTATCTGTTAAAAGAGAGTGCTGCCAGGCTTAGACAACAGTTGAGAAATGGAAAGGTACTGGTGATTTTTGAACCCTTCTGCTCTGAATAGTGTTGCTTAGATGAAATCTCAAAGCAAATCCTGCATGGTCTGAAAAAGAAAGTTATGTGGGGAATATTTTTCAAAAGTCCAGATAAGGCTATATCAATGACCTGGCCTGTTTTGTGAACTCCTGAATTACATTGGATCACACAAGTTTTTAAAACTGAAATAGTTGTAGGGTTTGTAAATTATTAGGTACTCTGAGGGATGGGTCACACTTCCATGTGGATTAGTGGTTGATATAAGGTTGTTTCAGACTTACCTCTAATTTATTGAGGCAGTGGCACAAATCTTTGTCACACTTTCCTCCAATGCAAAATTGAAGCAGTTGTAAAGTAACAGTGATGTCTATAACTGAAGCCAGCTGCCTATGCATGGTCTTTGTCAACCTGTTGATAATAAATACTTTTGGTGCTTTTTCAGGACCCTTTTACTGCGAGGAATGACAGTCAGGTGTTTTACTGCAGATCATTAGCACTTGCTTACATTGAGGTAATCCTTTGAATGCATTCCCCACCCCTCCCCCTCTCACTTTTCGTGTCAAAACCAGATTCCTCTGTTATTCTTGTGCAGCTAAACAGTTGACCTGGAGATTGTTGTATTGAGGCATAAGCTCGTTGATCGCCTAAATTTTAGCTATTAACAAAAGACCCCCTTAGCCAGTATCTGCAAACACATTTTTCAAGCACACTATGGGAAGGAAAAGATAACTGTGGGACAATCCATATAACTTGTTATCATTTCAAGGGCATGGAAAAAAAACCCTCTGTTGCAGTAGAATTTTGACCAAGATCTACTTTGCACAAAAAGAACAATCTTGCTCTTGTAGCAGTCTAAGTATCCATTCCATAGCTTTTCTAATTTTCTAATTTCAGTGCACAGTTTTACAGAGGTTCAAAGAAGCAATTTTCGATGAAGAGGAGACTCCCCAAGCCCTGAAACCAGTTCTTCTTAAACTATGTTCCTTGTATGGTCTGTGGTCATTGGAGACACATCTCACTACTCTATATCAAGGTCAGTTTATTACAAGTGGTGACTGCTGACTGAATAAAACCCAGTCTTGTTGCTTTACGTATCAGGCCTTCCTAGGAAAGAACCCTACTGTGGAAGCAATGAGCCCCTTTCTCTCTCACCTCCCCCCAAATGGGACGCTTCTGCATTGCAAGATTAACCCCACCCTGTTGATATTGGCGTTTCCCATGAGAAATAGTGGAGAGAATTTAACAATCGTCAAATTTTATCCATGGTGATCATTTTCTTTATTCTCAAGACCTCAACGTTTGACTGAAGAGTGCTATAATCAGGAGAATTTAGGTTCTTTCCACTATATCCCTTCCACTCCCAGAGTGACTGACAGAAGTCGTTTGAGGTGGTTGTTAACTTTCTGTATTCGTTTTATAGCATTTTGCAACCAGTAATTTGGAAATTTTGTTGGATTTTAACTTTTGTGAATTTTGGCTACCTTTGGGAATCAAAAGATGTCCCCTAAAAATGATCTTTAAAATGTTTGTTCATATCTACGTACTAATTCGCTCTATACTTAAAAGTCTTTTTTTTTATATCTTGAGAGGGCCCTTTCATCATTTGGCCTGGTATTTGTATTAAGCTGCATTATCCACTCTTCTAACCGTCGGGCAGTCTCAGTACAATAAACCAGGGGCTCAGATGGTAACCCATTATACCCACTAATATTGTAACGGCACCTATATCTACCAGTGTGTGTCTAAGATCAGGGAGTTCTAGCAGGTGGCCTTACAAGTTTTTTCAAATTTTGTTAGTGTTAAATATTTTAAATGTAGCTATTTTATTTATCACGGCTAACCATCCTACAATTTTTCCGACTGCAAAAGGGACAATAAACCGAAGTAGTATTTTTTTATTTAGATCGTAAGTCTGTAACTTACAGTACAATAACCAGGGCTAGTGGAATTGTAACGGCACCCTGTGTGCCTTAGTTTTTTTCGTAAAAATTTTCTTTGTTGTAACGCATTTTACGTGCGATTTTAGTACGTCACGTGATTTTTAAAACTCACAAAAAACTTTTTTCAAAAAGGTAACCATCTCAAGAAACGTCTTCGTTGCTGTTGAACTCAGAACCCACCAAAGCGTTCGCCCCAACACGTCCTACAACGGGATCGCTGTAAGAGTTGGCCAATAAAAAAGTAAGCCTTGCGGAATCTGTGAGCTATTTTAGTTTTCTTAGTCACGAATCTCACCGCCACCGGAGCTGGGGCCTGTTTCTCGAAAGTCCCGGTAACGTTTTGGGCCTGAAAAGCTATTTTAAATTTGCCATGTTTGTATTCAAGATCAAAGTTTCATTAATTTTGAAAATGAGACAAAGAAACTATCAGTTTAGTGTCCACAATTAGCTTTTAGCTAAATACCTTGACACTTTAATAACGTTTATGTATGTATGTATGTAGCTGATGAAGCAAATTAACCAGTTTGTGAGCTAGGAACTGTGCTACTATTCAACAGGTTTTGATTTTAAAGTTTGTCTTCGGGCCCGAAAAGTTACCGGGAATTTCGAGGAACGGGCCCCCGACGCCGCTACAGGAATGTTTGCTAAATATCTTGTTGGCCTAGATTGGATTCACGTTTTCATATAACACTGCAACCCACGCTATTAAAACTAGCTAATCCGGCTTTGTAAGCTTTTCGGTTTTAATTGCAAAGCTGTTTATCTGCAGGTGGATTCTGTAGGTCAGTGAATGATGCCAGGATTGTGAGAGGAGCTATCCTGTCACTTTGTTTCGAGGTAGGTTTTTAGTAATCATTCCCCAATACAACGTCAAGCTGCAGCCATTTAAGAAATATTATTAGTTGAACTAGCGATGCTGCGATGGCAGCAATCCCAGCGTCAAAGGCTGTTTTACTCTGGCCAAGGTTTCTGAAGAGGAGTACGTTTAATGTTACTTTAGTTTCCCAGATTACATTCTACATGGCTTCTTAGCCCGAGCAAGCTCTGAACGGTACGTCGTTTGCATAGTGTTCATCGTTGATTTTGAAAGCAGAGAATGAGTAGGAAGAGCTAAAATTGCGATCAGGAGAATGAGAATAAGGCTGAAAGAACGAAGTGGAGAAGGAGGAGGGTAAAGCACCGATCGCATCCCCACCAGAAAACCTACACCCAGACTAATGGGTTCCACAAAACCATTTAATCACTACTTTGTTTTAATGTTACAACATACTGAAAGTTATGGTCATAGTTATAGTTATAAGGAAGACTTATTTTGCTCGCCTTCTTAAAACTATCGATTAATCGAAATCGGGCGACTGAAAAATGTAAATGTACCCCTACCCTTTTCTACCACGTGATGTCACCCAATGCGATGTCATTTGCAAGAGTAGCAGGAGCAGATCTCATGATCTTAATGTTATCATGTTCGGTTCTTTTTCGTTTGTTAGTTGAAAGGCGAGGCAGTAGCTCTAGTAGACGCTTTAGCTCCTCCTGATTTTGTCCTTAATTCACCGATCGGTCATAGTAATGGAAAGGTAAGCTAACTTTACAGCTATACAGTATATCCGACTAACTGTGGTCGGATCAGTAAAGGTTTTTTTAATTTTAACTTTTTTGTAAGTGTAACGGTCAATGGAAAATATATGCTGCAGACCGTAATTTCCGAGTTGTCGCGTATTACGATCTAGAGCTCTGAATGTTTGGTCGTAAATTTGTGCATGGTTATTGCTGCAGCTTTAAATACACGTGACATTCATTGTCGCTCGCTGAGTATGTCTGCTTTTTTGCCTTTGCCTCGGCTGTTGAAGGCCGTTGAGCGTACTCTTAACAAATGGCCGGCCCTGATTGGAAACGACAATTATAACACTGTTACAATGTATAACTACTTAACTACTTAGTATAACTTTGTTGTATTAGTGTTGTGCGCAACGCAGAGGTGTTTTTGCCAGCACCAACAAAATTGCCATGAAACAGAAAGTTAAAAAAGAGAGAGAGAGAAAGCAAACCAACAAAACTAACGTCGCAAAAACAGCATTTTGTACCTCGTCGTCGAACAGGCGGAGCTGTTTTTCAATCATTGCCTTTAGGCTAAAAGTATTACTTGTTGCTTTTCCCAGGCTCACGAGAACTTATACGAAGCGATTATGCAGAACCCCGGAAACCTAGAGCGAGTTTCTTGGTGGAAGGAATGTCGTCAAATTCCAGTCATCCGGGAACGAAGCAAATTGTAAAAAATTCTTCCCGCTCTCAAATACGTCACACATCTCTAGTCACGTGTTGAGTGACTGGACTCAACACATGACTCAGCACGTACTGCCTATCCTGTCTTCCAATGTTGCTCACTTCTTGAGTTACCTACCCAAAGGAAGTTTCATGTCATTTGGTAGAGCTTCGCAGCGGCAGCAACATTGAGCCTCAGTAAGACCTTGAATTTTTCCCCTGACTACTGATTTCTATTTGCACAATTAATGTGGATCATGAACGCCTTTCCTCGCATATCTATTGTTTATATTTGATTTTATTCTTATGCAGTATTTATTGTTATCACATTCGTTCTTATATCTGTGAAGCACCAAATACTTTCAGGAAGATTTAAACTTAAAAGGTTAAGGATGAAATCCTCAAGTGTTACTTCTAAAGTTTTGTAGTTAGAACATTGAACACGAAGCGTCAAACGCACGAAAAATAAATAAAGATAAGTGTTATAAGTGTTAGGTTTTACACAGGTCCGTCCTATGAAGCTCTTTCGTGAATTTGCAAAGCGCAAGGTGAATAGCCTATTTATGGTTTGATGTGTGTTACCAACAGTAGTTTACTCTTGGTGCGTTTGAGCATTCCCCCTTTAGCCTGCGTAATTGGCGTCGAAAGGGGTAGGGGATCGGGGACTGTCGGGGATCGGGAGGAAGGGAAAAAGGAATGGGGATCGGGATTTAGGAGAGGCTTGCCTTAAGGGTCCCCAATGGGTTTTTCGGGATCCGGGATTTCCCGTATTTGAATCTCGGGATTCAGGATTTTTTAAGCAAAATGGGGGTGAGATACGGCCGGATTGAAAGTATCGCGGTGAGTAGGATGCCAAAAAAGAAAACATCGGGATTACGGGATTGCACGAAATTTGGGATAGCCATTGCGGGATTGAAGAATCCTCTTGGGGATCTTCAGTGTTTTGCCTCTTTTATTTTCCATGAAGAAAGGTAAAGGATGTTAGGTATACATCCTCTATGGGGCTCTTTTCGAGCAGTTTCGTTAATCAGTTCCAGGCAGTTTGAATTTCAGATCTACAAACTTTTGGCCTGTAGAGTTGTGAAACTTAGAAGCCTCATAAAATCTTCTGACTGTGCACTCTTTCTTGATAAAGACCATTAAAAGTTAATTTTAGAGAAATAGCAGTATCACGAAGCCTGTTATTTAAAAAAGGCATTGATTTTAAGCGACAAGTGTATATATTTGCGCAAATACTTCTTGCCATTATTATGCTCAGTATGGGATATAATATTATTATGATAATTACGGAAGTGTTTGTATCGGAGCCCTTGGGCTCTTGGTTGTATTGATTTTACTCTTTTAGTTTATAAAAAGAACGTAAAATCTATATCTAAGCTTAAAGGTTGATGTAAACTGAGGGTTCCATCGTAGAATCGCTCAGTAAAGCTATCGGATTAGCCAAAGTTGGACTCCATCTTCGATATAAGAAAACGACTTTAACCAGCCTAGCGGCCGAAGATAGAGTTTGTCCAGCATCTGTGAGATTTTGCAACGACCAGTAAACCAAGTTAAATAACTATAATATATGCAAAACAAGAATCAAATGTTCAGTTAATTAATGCTCCTCTGTTATTTTTATTTTGAAATGAGGGCATGACTCTCAACTAATACAAAGATTCTACTACGAATAACGATACTCCGTTACTTACCCTGGGCAGTGTTTATAACACCAATGCTAATGGGGCCGAGCAAGTGCCTGAAACAAAAAATTCAAATTGAAGTTAACGGGGTTAAGAATCCCAACTGACCAGAGGCAAGCCAGCTGGCTATTTACAAGCGTGACCGAGGATTTGAACTCGGGACTACCGAGTACAAGTTTAGCGCTCTTACCGCTTAGCCACGCTGCCCCTAAAAGAAAATCCCCATTATAAGTGTCACCCAATCAAACTTCAACAAAGTAGACATTAAAAGTCCTAAAATAACTTTTATTCATAACTGTTAATCAATTTGGACAAAGCGAAAAAGCCAACAAAGCATTATGCTGTAGGAAAATTACAGTTGGATATTAAATATATCTGATCAAATTATTCTTTTCAAATATCAATACCATATAAAAGCCTGTTATTTTTCTGGAATGAAATATTCCGAAGTGCCGAATAAAAATAACTACATCCTTCTTGAAAAGTCAAAAATTTGTTCATGTTCCAATCAGTGGTTATTGATAATCACGTTAATATTTTCTCTATAAGTGTACAGATAACAGCAATTTTCTAAAGTTGTCGTCTCGGTAAACCTTGAGAATTGTCGAAGGTTTTTTCAATGAATTGTCTCCAATGTCGCCCTCGTTAGCGCCAACATGGAGACAAGAAATTGTCTTCACAGCATTTTTACGCGTGCAGCAATTGCAAAGAAACATCACTATCACTTAAGCTTTACATTATAACCCAAGTGTCTTTCTTTTCAATATTCCAAATTTTCATTTTTCTCCCAATCCGGGCGGACATTGATCGCGCCCGCAGTGTTGTCAGCTAAGTTGCTAAGCAACCTAAAAATGATGCATTTGTCTAGAAAGTTTAGTTCGTTTATGAGCCATGAAACTAAATTGTAGAAATGAATCCCTAGTTAGAAGATAAGAACGGTATGAAAAGTTGATATATATTTATCTCATAGTCCGGTATCCGTCCTTCTGACTGACTAATGCGCTTCCGCAAGAATTTTGTGTCGGCAGTTGAAACTTTTTGTTATAAATCGGCTGAATATTTGCAGTCGATTGTCGCTTTTATAAACAAACAGTTGTCTTTCACATAGTTCGTTGATTCTAGCCCGCGGTGCGAAACAAATTGCGGGTAACCAAATCCGAGGGTGGCGCCATTTTTATTGGGCCTCTGGAAGCTTTTCCAATTTGGATCCGGACTAAATGATTGGCTGATGTTCCGTTGGCCCCTACTGGGGTCTCTGCTTTGGTCCAAGAGCGAGAGAGTGATCTCACCCTCAAAAGGCCATTTTAAAAGTGTATCGTACTCGCCCGGGAGAAGACGGATGTACAACGATAGATGAGAACCTTCACCGCTTCCGTTCCCGTATGGAAACATGACAACCTTGAATTTGTAACCGTACGGACTTGTGTAGAAGGGCGGACTGTGAAGCTCAACTCCGGTCTTGTGCTTTGCCTCTGCGAATTTCTCCCAGAAATTGTCTATTTTCCAGTAGAGCTTGCTGTCGGCGAAAGGTTTGCAATGTTTCACAATTTCACGGAGCTCGTTGATCTCTTTTCGCTGATCAATAGCGAGCTGTGACACGAGCTCAAGGTGCTTTTTCATGTCGTCTTCGAGGTGTTGCGCAAGAATGCGCTGAGGACACTGCAAAGAAATAGAAACAAATTTCTCTCAAAACTCTGTTTACTAAAATTTTTGTAATTATAACAGAACGTTGTCCAATTCTTCGGCTTTGGTTTTAGTATTTTATCTAACCTTGGCAGAAGGAAACGAATTTAATAGACCCCTATCCCAGATTTAGAATTTCAGACCACCTACGAATATGCAACTCGGTTTTACTTGGTGTCGACACATGTCTGTGCACATGCGCATGTTCTTGCATGCTGTTGTTTTGTCATTGATTTGTATATGAAAATTAGGTCGAATACCAAGAGTTCGTGTCTGCTTTTACCCGTCAAAATGTTCTCCAACAAGTGAGAGCAATCACGCTTTCTTCCTAACCTACCAGGTGTCTGGACGGGAAGAGAAAGAGGAATTTTACAAAGCACGCGAGTAGGAGGGAGACCATTTGTCTTGTGGTTACATTCCCGCGCCGGACACTGTTTGCACATTTTCCTGCACCTAAAATATTTTGCACGTTTTTGCTCCAAAATCTTATTGGTCCATTAAATTTGGAAGTCAGGCGGCAGTTGTAAAGCCCTCAATCATAGCCCAGGTATAAAAGTTATTGAAAAGCAGTTGCTAAACTTAATATACTGTAACTGTTGTGCACTTTTTTCATAACTGTACAAAGGACTCACTTCATGTTCACAGCCGACATATTTAAATGGACAATGAATGTGATTCGTGCGACAGTCGTTAGACAGATGACGATTCACCTGAAAAAGGAACAGAGAAAACCATTAGTGGGTGGAATGCCCTGTGCGAACTGTACAAGAGGCAAACAAGTAACATGATATCGTCCAGAACATTGCTCACTTCTTCGCGTGGAATCTGTGAAACACCACAGCTGTTGGGACAGCTCAATGGAAAACGAGGACACAATTGAAGATGGCTCTAAAAAAAGAGAGAGAGACAGAAGCTCACGTCACGATCTCAAAACCAGAGATTAAGAGTTGTGTTTTTTAAAAGACAATTCGTCTCGAATATTTCACTTCTATGACTAATAAAAATCCGGTATCAAATCATGGCAGCATCCTGGGTCAGTTAGATCATTACCGAACCAATAAGGAGCGAAATACAGTTTCTAATTAAATCAAAGGAGCGCAAGTATGTTCAGCTAATCAGTAAAACGGGACAGGTACACACTTGTTACCAGTTGTGTTCCAAGGGGTTGGTGCAGAGGATTGCTAGCGAAGAAAGGAGGCTATTTGAGGAGAAAAGGCGGGGGCCATTAGCCCTCTCTCTTACACTAATTAGAGCTCACAGTATTTTGCTCCTCTCCGCACAACGCCTTCTCGGCCATCACTCCTATTCATGGGCACAAAAAATGACTTTATAGGGGTAACAAGATACTGGTAAACCAGTAGTTTTCATTGTGACCCACAAGTTTAAGAATCCCAACAGGTCAGAGGCAAACCAGTTGGCTGTTTACAAGGGTGACTGAGGAGTTGAACTCGGGACTACCGAGAACAAATCCAGCAAGCGGTAAGGGCGGGGATTGATCTCGGGGCCTCCGGATCATAATTCCAGCGCCCTAACTGCTCAGCCACCCCGTCTCTTCCTAAAAAGACCCTACGTTTGTGTATACGTTAATAATTTGGTGTCATGATCGCCAGAGAGGTACAGAAGCTACAGACCTGCATATCCTCAAACTTGACTTGCGCACGACAGTACTGGCATTTAGTCAGTCTCCTGGGACATTCCTCTGACATGTGCATAGTGATCTCACCACGTGCTATTCTTTGTCCACAAGTACAAGTGAAAATGTCAGACTGGCTTTCAAGTTCCACTTGACTTGTTGTGACCGATCTGGCTCGTTCCGACCCACGGTAAACTACAGCGCTTTCAAACTCCTCGCGCCCAACGTAATTGAGGTGGGCTGGAAACGAGACAGAGCGAAGCGGTGGCGAAGGGTTTGGGGCCAATGCTTCCTGAGAGGCACTATTGCTGCGGTTACCACCACGCAAATGTCGCGTGTCGAAACGGACTGAATTATGAGGCATGCTCTGTCGGTGGTTTCCTCCTCTTTTTAACGGTGGCGGCTCGGATTCCGACGGAAGGCGTCGACAACGTCTCAAGTGTTCCTGTACAAAAGAAAAGAAATGATTGCTCAGCGAGTGTTGCATCCGGGGTGAATTCACGCATCTACGGTCCATGCAAGTAATCTAAGCTTTGAATTCGCTTTCTTCGCTTTAAGTGCAACTAACGTAACATCGGCGACATGAGTCACATTGTTATGAGTAACTAAGCTGTAAAGGATGATTCTCCTTGAACGAAATTTTAAATGGAAGAAATGCTCTGTAAAGCAAAACTTGGAATAAGTTCCCTACTTGATGTAGATTAGTAACGGCAAAAATGACTTGTCCTTATTAGGGCGCATCCCCCCCCCATGTGGAAATTTCGTGCGCCTGCCTTTGTGGTTATGGTTTGTTCTTTGCGGCGTCTGCATGCGTTTGTTTTCCCTGGCAAATGCAAGGATTAGCGGCTTTGCGCCTCAAAAAGATGATAAACATTCGCACCTGTTTATCTTTAAAGACAATCTCTACTGAGCAGTATTCGCAGTAGACCCATCGATGTGAACACTCGTTCCTCAAGTGCAGCGGCATCTGATGCCTTTTCATTCTACTCCCGCAGCCATTACTGCACATGATTATTTCTTCATCCGGGTTTCGCCTGGCTGCAGGACAGTTGTGGTTCTATATAAGGTAGTGTAAACAGTAAGGCACGTCAATAAGGGCAATTCTGACTCCTGTACGATGCAGTCTAATCTAAGTTGTATGCTAAATAGGTAGTGCGTCTTGACCGGGCTTACCAACTATGACTGTTTAACCTAAAGCCCCCTAAAACTCCCAACACTGTTGGATGTTAAATGCTGGGTCCGTTTGCACACCCTGTTGCATGTTGTCGCGTGTTGTTGGGAGTTGTTGCGCAAAGTTTGAAAGCAATCAAATATTTAGCCCCGTACAAAAGGACGCAGCATTGCTGGCCAACAATTCCAAACATTGTTGGGAGTTGCTGCGTCCGTTTCCACGTAGCTTACATCTAATGAGATCCGGCGAGTTCTATTACAATTATACTTGCGCGTAAGGCTTTTTAACTACCGAGATGGTTGACTATAGTCTCAACAGTCACTGAAATGAAAGTGTGGAAGTGAAGGAGGGTTAAATGTAGTACTGTTTGTTATGCCGTACAATGTGGTTTTAACTCAGTAAAAGTCTGGGTAAAATCTCGAACTTAAGACAGTTGCACAGCTACTGATCATGGATTATTCAGGAGCCCGGCGTTAGGAATGTAAGTTTTTACGAGTGAACAGCTTTACAAAAGCTACTAAGCAGCGCCTGTTGGTTTGTCTCTTAAAACGTTGGGGTAGAAGCTTTACAATTATGTACAAATTTGCTTCTGATTTATCTTTTTAATATGCCTGGCGCCTCTAAAGTGCATTTCCCACGGAAAAACCCAGCTGAACGGTTGAAACTTTAAAAACATTACTGTTTTATGGAATGGGAGGCATTGCTTTACCCAACAGTAGCCAATATATTATAATTCTTCTCACCTGTAGCTTTTCAAAGGTTGTCTCTTTCTTGCACCGGGGACATTTCACCCATCGCTTCACGCAGTCCTTTTTCACATGATCCGTGATTTTTCTCCGCTGAATCCGCTGACCGCATCCTGCTATGCAATCCACCAAGGCGTACTTGCAACCAGCCATGTGATCCTAGAGCGTGACAAGGTAACGCAATTTTTAGACTTTCCCGTGACGTGGGGGTTACCATTTCGGTTACCATAAGAGAATAGATCCGCTCGGTTCGGTAAGAAATCTAGTAGTATAATGGCGAGCGTTTCTGGCTAGGGTTGAATATTATAAAGGCACGAATAGAGTAGCTAGAGAATGAAAGGTAAAAAGTGAGCGACATTCCCTTTCATTCATCCCAACTGAAATGTAAGGACAACCTCAAAAGTAGTCAGCCTACGATTTTTCGTTTAAAAAATTAAACGCCTTTCTACAATTCTGTTTATTTTGCTCGAAAACACCCTCTGCAGTTTCATTCATTGATTCCGCATATCTGATTAAACTTGATACTTGCTAGAAATATCGGTAGTAACCTGTTTAAGGTATAGAAACGTGACAAGTGAGATAATCTTGTCAAACCAAAAGAGGCCGAAACACACTTTGTGGAAGATTTCTTTAATTTCAAGTAGCAGAACTACGTAAATTTTTGCACAAAGCTGGATGCAATTCTCTAATGTGTCATCTTCCTTCTTCATTTTTTACAACCGAACCAGCCGGACACATGACCTTCAAAGTCACGAATTATCCTGTTAAGAGGTATTCTTGATCTTTTTTAAAGTTGCTTACTGTAATCGGATTGGGTAGAGAGCCAAGATTGATGTCTTGAGCACACTGGTGCAAGCAGATCATGTCTTCTACCTACTGTGTGATAAATCTGCTTATGAGATAAAGGGGGTGGGAGGGGGTTTGCATGTGAGGTGCCGCTATTAATAGGGCGTAAAAAATTGTATCTTTTTGTGTGCTCATGGGAGACGTCTAGATAACCTAGACAGATAACCTTTTCAATGTCGGAGAATTTAGCTGTTAGAAAGGCAATTCAAAGTTAACCTAATTAGCAACGCTAATAAAATTTATGGTAAGGAAAAATTTGGGTCCACGGCCTGCCTTTGCCGGCTTTGCCCTAATACAGTTGGTCGGTCCAGAAGAGAAAAAAAGAGTAAACATTATAAAAAAAAGAAAATCGGTTTCAATGTAACGATCATCACATTCCACAGGACATACCTCAAGTTTTTTCAGGTGCCCTTTCCATTTGCAACCCAGCTGATAATGATCACAGTAGACATTTAGCGAAAATATCATCTGATTCGTCACGTCATCAGCGTAAATCTGTGAAAAATCCAACACGGAAAGTTTAACACATCGAGAGGCATTCTAGAGCAAATTAAGACTTAGCTCAACCATTTATATGTGTGCGTCGTCTTTTTAAACTAGGGTAGAAAGCGGTGTTCGCGCGACAAGCGTCATATGAGTCCAAGAGTCTCAATACAGTCGAATCCGCTCTCATTTGTTTTCCAAAACACCTCTACCCACCCGACCCTCTTCCCCAGTCAGAGCGCTACACGTTAGAATCTTCTTAAGCGACCATCGTGTTTGTTGTACCCTCATTTTAGCCCTGGTACAATAAATAATCGTATTCAGAAGGTATGTAAAACAAGATTCTCCGTGATGATCTTTCAGTATATAATGCCGAGTGGGTGGGCCAAGTGATAAAGCTTGAGGTAATTAAGAGCTCCTTTTTATAGATCAATCAAATATCTTTACACATTTTTTAATCGGTCAGGAAAATAATTTCCCCTCTTTCGTTTTCATTTAGCGCCTCAGAGCTATAGTAAACAGCGGCTTTTTCTTGGTGAGGTGTGATCTTATTTCTGAATGTGACTTTGGCTTGTGCTGCTCATAAACGCACCAAAAGGCGCTTTCTACTTAGTGTTAAACCCAGCATTGATCAGCAATAATATTTCTTCCTTTATACAGTGTCCTTTGTTTTCTGACTAATCTATTGTTATGGTTACCCGAGATAAATTCACCTCACTACTACAATAAAGCCGAAGTAGGAAACAAGAAAATAGAATTTGTATTTTAAACTTACGGAATTCAGGGGTTAAACTGTTCACCTCTATTTTAGAACACCCAACATCAAAACGCAAATCCCAAATATACCCGGAAACGAAAAAAAATTATACTCCAAGTGTACCGCTGAAGAGGTTTCTTTTGAATGAATTCATTAACGACATTAACAGACTCAAAACCTAAACCCAGGTTACAAACCTGAATTTCAAACATTAACGCGAGCAGCGTACTCCCTCAGTAAGCCACTCGAAGTTATGTCTGCAGAAATTCAGGCTACCAAGTTATATGTATGTATCTATATTTGATTTTGAAAGGGAAAGGGTAGATTTTAACCCTCATGGCACAAAGTAGATTTTAATGAGCAATTTTTCGTCAACGGATCATCACAGGATATAGCAAACAATATTAAAATTCGAGTTAAGGTCAGAAGCTCAGAGAAAACTCAATCCAATGGCGTATGTTTTCCTTTTTTAGTAAACTTAACAGATGAACTGAACGCTAATTTTTTTTTTTCGGTTCTGATTTGCATTTGTAATTCTCATTATTTAATGTTGATCCAGTTGGCGAGGCGCTAACTTTGAACTCCTCCAAGAAATTGTTTGAAAAGTGCTTACCAAGCGTTCACCATACTTCAGGGCAGCCCCACATTTTGGAAGCAGAAATGCACCTTTAACTTTTACTTTGCGGTCAAAATTCTATAGTGTGACTATTCAAATGAAACTTCTTCAGCGCTACTTTCACATGGTACCATTTGTTTTCAGTACAAGTATTTTACAAAATGAAACTTGTCAGTCGCACTTTCTTGATGGTCTACTGAAAGAGCCTGGTTCAGGTGACAAATCAAATATGTCTGTCTGACACTCCTCAAACTCATTAAGACTGTCATAAGGAGTACTAGACTCTTACTTGTTATGCGACCCTTGTGAAGTTCACAAAAGGACCGTATTTCCTCAGCCGAAAGGCCGCCTACCTTATACAAAACTGTATAAATGGTTTGAACTAAAGGTAATAATAAATATTGGCAAGTTCGTTATGAACACAGTCCCTACCTGAGACATATCGATACTCGAACTGTCCACAGGGCATCGAAGACGAGTAGCTTGTCTAGGAGAGGAAGGAGAATTAATCCATATGTAAAGTCGGGGCATTTGTTTTTCTATCTACACTACAACAGGAAGGAACCCGTTTGTAGTTTTTTTATAGAAGCGAAAGCTTGTCGATCTTGGAAGTTGCTTTAGCAAATAGCGACTGCGTGTTTCATCAACGACTGTGTGACAGCTGAGTTCGTAGCCCCTACAATGGCTTCGGTTGTATCAGTTTTCTTTTGACAAACAAAAATCTGGGCGTCACCCTTCCTAATTACGAATACTTAAAGGTACATGTAATAGCTTTCTAAACTTTTGTCAATGATTAAAGCCTCTAATTAGCTTATTTTCGGCCGCGGGGCATTAATCTCCAAACCGATGCATCAAAACGGGGCTTTGAACAAAGACTGGTTAAATTTAATTTGACACTTTTTTCGCAGCAATGGTATTAGCATGTGGAATTTCCAAAGCAAAGCGTAACTAAAAGCCAAACTTTATTATATTTAATACTGTTGTTGCGAAAACAAATTTCTGTATTATCCAAGGACCAATAACGAAGATTGACGATGAAGACCATAAAATGCATTATTAATAACACGCGACATAAAACCGTTTCAAGCAATCTTGTCACGCGAATTGCTAAAAGGTTTTCTTCAGGGTTTTATGGACTATTTCTCTGAAATATGTAAATGACCGTATCATTGAACTCTAAATAATGATCGATCTACCACAAAAAAAACCTGGCGAAATTTGTTTTAGTCAGCGCACTTGTACGAAACTGCGTCCGTGAAACCAATTTCTTTCACTACTTATAAATTTAAAGAAATAGAAGAAAATGGCGACATCAAAATTTAAAGACAGAAACTTAGAGAAAGACACCTTATTAAATATTGGGATTCTACAAAATATCAGTTCTTCTTCGTTTCGACGAGTTTTTCCTAAAGAAAAGCAAAGCAGGAGCCGAATGAGAAAGAAGTTTTCAATTGTTTACTGATGGGTATCTTCCAAATTGGTCTCCGTTTTCTCAACGAATTATTTTCTTGTCCAAACATCCTTGGACTCCAAAAAGAGATATTTCCGTTAATTCAAACCGCAAAGAGGAAAGGATGTCAAGATGATAGCTCTATATTTTGATACCTCTCTTTTGGTTTTATGTAAATGAGAGCCGATTTGAAAAGAACACTCCAATCTACACCCTCTTAAGTAAACGTGGAGTAAACAAATATCTAACATCCAGCTAAGAACAAGAATTTTTCCTTCGACATTCAATTTGAACAGTTGTGTAGAAGTTGAAGACCACATTTTATTATTGTCAACGTAATTTCCCAGAGGTGGCCATAGATTTCAGATGAGTTTTAAGGTTTATGTTCTTCTTTTAATGGATCGTTATAATCGTTCACCTTGCCGAAAAAAAGAACTTTGCCGCCGCCCGCAAACGACAACACGCAAAGTGTGTATTTGTTCGGCGCCTAATGTTCGTTTGCCGTCGTAAAAGCCTTCTGTGGCATGAATTGTTTTGAGCTGCTAAAGATGACATGTGCTGACTCCGACCAAGATTTGGTGTTGATTTAAGTACTTAGTTTGGCAGAGCTTTCTGTCAAAAAAGCAATTTTAACTTGGACAATCCAGCCAAAAGAACAGTAGACTTTGTCATACAGCCAGCCCGCAATCGTCATGGCTTATGACGATGAAATCAACAAGTCACGCAAATTTTTGCTTGAAATTTATCCCGACAGCATCGAACAACAACACATCACCAAAATTTTACACGAAACATGAATGAAAAGCATTTCGTTCTGTAAACATTCCAAAGAATGAAAGCTTTTCTTTGCTCTAATTAAAATTTGTCCTTTAATTTACGATTAACCGAAAAATGCCTCATGGTCTTAATGTGTTTTTGTTCTTTTTCCGCCTGGCTGAAGAAAATTAATATCTTTGTGTGCAAGGTCTCTGCTATACGGAATTTGAAAAGAGCAGCTCGTCTAATTTGCATGTATATGTTATTATTTGCTTTTATTAGGCTCAATACTCTCGACTCCAGTATGTTAAAAGTTTTTAGCCAGAGTATCATCTGTTCCATCGCAATAAATTTCGAGGGCCCTTTTCAGCGACGAAAAGTTTTTTTATCTGAACGAAAATTAAATCACTTACAGAATACATGCGATGGCTCATGATTTTTTGATACAAAAATATTTTCGACTTGAGTCATCGAGTCGTTGTGGCTGGATAGTGGTCGGAAATTGGGGTTGAAAGAAAATTTTCATCCTACACAGACGACAGGAACAAATGATCCAAATAGGAAAGAATGGCCGAAAATTTTGCAGTATCTTTATAATCAATTTTGATTTCATTTCCTATTGAGAACAGAATTGTTGTCAACGATCCTATGTAAAAAGAATAACTTGAGGTCAAGGTTGACAATTTTTTAAGGAAACGGCGGTCTCATAGGACGTACGGAGGAAATTCTTCTCAACTGCGATAATTGTCATAACAACTACAAGTATGCTGTCACTGTCAAACTCCAGAATACTCCATTATCTCCTGAAAGACTGCTTTAATTTATACAAGGCTGGATCAAAGAGACATTGAAAAAAACCATCTCTGTTTCAAATGCACTCTGATTTTGTCCAGCCGCACAAAACTATTTTGGGAAAGCCAGTTTAAAGTACAAAAGTCGATGATTTGCAACAACGTGTGACAGTGGTGCATTCTGGAAAATTAAACGCTTAAACAAGATAAGATATAATTTCTAGAATTAAGGGGAACCTGGTATTTTAAGGAAACGAACAAATATTAAACTATTCGATCAAAGAAGTGTAGGATGTAATGCATTTTGTTCCCTTTGCAATATACTGGAGTATATACTGAACACATTTCCTGCAGGTCGGTGCTAATATTCTTAAAGGAATTTTTGAAGCAACGAACTAATTTTCGGTCTGTGTCTTGGAAAGCATAGAACACTATAAATGTTTACAATTTAATCTTCCGTTCATGAAGGGCTCTTTGTATTTTAAGGTCACTGTTGTAAATTTCTAACCGTCGCTTATTCTTGAGGCAAATTTGCTACGTGAGGTCGCAAGCAATCTCCATTTTGTTGGAGTCAGGATTTACAAGGGTTTCAGCAGTCATCGGTTTACTTGAAAATCTATCCGCAAAATGCAGAAATGGAATAATCGCAGCTAAGCATCTTTTACCAGGAACCCCACTGTGAATCGAGAATTCTGAAAAATTGCTTGTAAAAATATTTGCGCATTCTATCAAGTTTTTACTATACATAACCAGGTTAAGCCCAGCGAAACAAGGTTAAATTATTACAAGACAAATTTTAACATCTACAAATCTAGCGGTCGCGATCTGAACCAAAATTTGACCGTCTTGTAAAACACGGTGTAGGTAGGTAACAATTCGAAATTTAGCTTTAACATAAACAAACTTCAAGACAGAATCTGCTTTAATTTCGTGTGTATTAGTTAACCTCCTCAACCATGTACTGTATCAATCACACAAAGATCAACTGGAAATAAACTGTCATTCGCTTACCTCGTGTTAATACTCAATGCTCCATTGAGGCAAGAATCGCAAAATCGATGCCCACAAACCGAGACCTGTACAGCGTTCCGAACGGGCAAATGACAAATTCGGCATAAGAGATTTTCACTTACAGCAGGAACGAAAAATGCCCTATACCCTGGCATCGTTTAATCGAATGTTGAGCCGAATCCTCTGTGTATCACCGCAACCCCTGATCAGTCTTGCGTGCGGTAGATAGAAAATACCTGCTCTCAAACCGTCGGCAGTTTTTATGTCACTCTTGTAATGTTGTCTCTGTTGTTTGAATAAATTTTGTATAAGGATGTGCTTGACTGGGCATGCCCAGAACGATGAGTCACAACACTGAAACGTGACAGGGTTTTATGACGTTGAATTTGCATGACAACGATCTGGGGATAAAGACATTATCCCACAAACTTCCGGTTTAGTTTTAACATCTCTTCAAGATAAATACTATCAGCAAGGGAGCTTTCATTTCGTACATTTTTGTGGGTGAACAACCTTTGTTTCGGCCTCTAGGCGGTTCCGTGGGTCCATAGTGCATACTCACAAATAAACTTTGGGTGTAGCTGTAAAGTCACCAGCAGGTTTAGAGTAGCAACATCATTAGTCGTGACAAGAACTGTGTTACTGCTGGTCTTAACACGTGTTTATTCTTATGATAAAGATTTTGAAGATGAAAAACACCTGGCACTCAGAAAATCTACTGCAAATTCATGGTGGATTTTTGAAAATACATCATTTACTCTTAAGCCGAGGCTGAAAAAATGTGTTAATTAACCGCTGACTATATTTAACTTTTTTTCGTTGGTCGGTAGTGAAAAACAAAACTTGTCGAGAGATGTTTAAAACGTGTCCTGCCAGTGAAAATTCGTTTATTTTTTGATGGCAACCAGATATCCGCTTTTCAACCGACTAGGAATGGGCATCCTTTCATCCATACATTATGAGTCATTCGCCAATAATGTGGTTGAAAGCCAGGGTCATTTATTGATTTACGTCGCGTGAAAAATATTCGCTTAAACTGAGTCACTGCACGAAAATCTTATCAAACAAAGACCATTTTTCTACTTAAAAAATCAGGGATTTTTTTTACCATACCCACTTCATAACATCGCCCCCTTTCGAATGCCAGATATCTCACAAATTCGTACCCGATTAAAGGATTATTTTTCCATCCGGTTGCTGTGTTCCTGTATCTTTTGTTTTGTAACCAATTAGTATTCTTCGATGGCCAACACCTAAACTTGTTCCACAAACCTTAAAATATTGGACTTGATATGATATTCACAATAAAGAGTCCTTAATTTGTGGTTCTTCTGACAGTACAGGTCTCCAGGATCACAGCCGGATAACTACCGAAAAATTCAAACATAACTGAATTTTCAGTTGCCCACCATTAGTTGTTGTTGTTGTTTTTTTTTTCAGGAGAAAAAAAAAATACGTAATTGGAAAAGTGGGCAGTTTTCTTAACAATAAAAATGTTTTATCAAAAATACAGTAATGAAAAATATAATTTTTTGTATACATACAGTTAATATCTGTCAGTGACATGTTGCCAAGTGTATCCATAGGACCAGGACCGTAATGACGTATTGACTATTAGCCTGCGCGCAAGCTTATTCCGCCCAGCCACCAGAGCGCCCTGGAGGCTATATAATGAATGTTTTGAAACCGCTATGCAGAACAGCGGTTTGAAAAACTGCTGTTTAGAGTATAACCTCATCGTCCAAGCGACATGTTGCTTCCCTATCTAACAACAAGCAACTCACTGACACGATAAAGAGAAGAATATTAGTCCTGATTAGTCATATTACGGGAACCCTTTTAACAAGCTGAGTTACCGCATTTCAGTATTCTTCAGCTGAATGTGAGGACCGGGGTTAAAGCCCGAGAGCCACAAGCACAAAAAATAAGCTTAAGAAGCTTACGCTGCCAGTGAGGACGGTCGTGACATAAACAAGCATAAGAGGGACGCACGGTTTTAATCAGGATGTCTTGGCCGTCCTCACTAGCGCATAAGCTTCTAATGCTCACACTTATACTTGCGTCGCTAGTGACGAACAGGCTTTGAGATTCGCGGCCAAGAAGAGAGACAGTTCTTTGATTTCAAATTTTAGGATACCCGGCAAACTGTCTGCACCGATATTTCTCGAACAAAAATCAACCTTAGTGTTTTCTTTTTTGTGGTGTTGATAGGATCCTTTATGCCTCGTTCGTTACAACGATGGTGACAAGTTACTTAGCGACGCAAGCATAAGCATGAGTATAAGGAGCTTATGCGCTAATGAGGACGGTCTTAAGCATAAGCATAAACAGAATTGCAACAATATCAAAATTCGCCTTCTTCGTATGGTTATGCTTATGTCACGGCCATCCACAGTAGACCTCACTAGCGCATAAGCTTCTTATGCTCTGAGTCCAGTGTTCAGGGTTATGCTTGCTTTAATGCTCATGCCGAGCAAAAAAATTCATATGGATAACATTATTACCTGAAAAACAGTAATTGTCAATTTCATTGTTACCGTCCAGTTAATCCTCATGCATTCGATTTTTAAACTTGGTCTCATTTTTCAATTGAAGGTGCACGAGAGGGGTACCTTTACTAGCCTGCGTAGCAGGCGCTTCGAAGTAGTGGGCACAAGAAAAAACGGGTCGCGTGTTTCCCTCGCGGGCGCCCGTTCTCTCTTTCGCCCACTACTTCCAAGCGCCTGCTAGGCAGGCTATACCTTGACTGTCAAATATGATACATAAAAGAGAGATCGGTTGTACCTTGGGGCGTTGCCTTCCCCCACATGAACTTTGTTGTGTAAAATAACCCCTCCGCCCCCTGGTTTGAGTTTGGTCAGGACTAAGGCATAGCTATGGTAATTTAATGAAGAGTGTATCTCGAGTATGCTGTAGGGAAGTAGAAGAAGGAAAAGGGAAGAAGGGGGCGGCTGTACACAGAAGAAGGAAAGACTGTTGCTCAGCCTTTGATATGGGAATGATTTTCATTCTCATGCAAATAATACTCATTTTCATGAGAAAGGCTGTGCACTTGGCCTCATTTTGAAAGTGAAGGGTTTTTGAACTCGGAAGTGGACTATACATGTGCGGCTGATGATGAGAATTTTTAAACAGTGTATCTCGAGTATGCTGTAGGGAAGTAGAAGAAGGAAAAGGTAGAGGGAGGGGAGAGAAGGGGGGCGGCTGTACACAGGCTAGCCAAGTTTTCCACAATTGACAACACTTGACTGTTATCAGACTGTTGCTCAGCCTTTGATATGGGAATGATTTTCATTCTCATGCAAATAATACTCATTTTCATGAGAAAGGCTGTGCACTTGGCCTCATTTTGAAAGTGAAGGGTTTTTGAACTCGGAAGTGGACTATACATGTGCGGCTGATGATGAGAATTTTTAAACAATCAACATTTTTTTTTTTACTTGGTGATCATTTCCTTTATTCTCTTTGCTTTTTATGTTTGATTGAGCAGTGATCTGTTAAGGAGAAATTACTAGCTGGTAACACTTAGGGTTTACACATGGTGTTGGGCGAGGTCTCCAAAATACTTTCGTCTCAGTGCTGATGTAGCTTGATTGATTGCAACCCGGAGTGCAGTACTGCTGTTTAAATCTAAAATAATCTGTATAACAATGTTCACATAACTGCATATAAAAATTTCCTCTGCATTTTTTCTAACACACAGCCGTAATTCAATAGTATAATATAATATGATCGTATTCCCTATAAACTGTGCACTGATAAACCCAATCTGACCATTCCATTCACACTTCTTCCAGAGAAACTTCTGCGCAATAAATGGAGTTTGTTGGTGATTGAGCTGTCAGTTAATCCGTGGCTTAAGCTATATTTTGCTCTACCTAGGTATACAACGAGAAAATATATGTACTGATAATCATGGGCCTGTACATGCTTCTTCGCATGCGCTGCGCTTATCGTATCAAATATATCATGTATTATCGTATGCAAGAAATTATCTGTCATTTGCGGAGGGTTTTCAAGGAATATTTGGTTGTTTTTTAGTATGATTGAAGTATCCCCTGTCCTCCAGGGGTTTTAAAAACGAAAGCGCATTGCTTTTCCAAGGGTAGTGTCTAAAAGTGGAAAAAGTGTAAGTTGGCAGAAACGATGAGGATGCGAGTTGGTAAGAGCTAAATTGTATGTGTTTCCATTCGATGCAGTATTGTCTTCACGCAACATTGAGTGGCATGCACGCGTTACTAAGTTGTGCGATTGCTATTTGTTAAAAGTCTTTCAGTGTCAATCAAATCCGTACATGCGCATATGGAAACACAGGCCCTTCATTGACAGGAGTTACAGAAATCCAGTTGCATGTTACTGAAGATCTAAACCTGCTTTGTTTTTCATGGCTCACTAAGTCCATCACATTCAATGGCGATTTTCAGGAAAATGGTATCGTCCTTGAGGTAGTTCCGGGTCTCGATTTCTTCGTGTTTAGCGAATTTTGCACCACCAAAGCTGGCGTTTTTCTCCAGTTTTGGTCTTCCAAGGAATGGCTCGTTCTCTGGACAGGGGTTGGGTTTGATGGTGAATTTGATGTGTTTCCGATGTGTGTGGTCGTCGTCTTGATCCAGCAAGTAAAACGTGACTCGATAGTCGAACGGCCATTTTAGCAAAGCGTCGAAAGCTCCTGAGAACAAATTTAACTGATTATTCAGATGGGCTCTAAACGTAAAGCTACGTGCAAACCTACACAACAACTCCCAACATTGTTGGAAGTTGTTGCGTCTGTGTTGGCAGTGGTGTACAAACGGATGCAACAACTCCCAACAATGCTGGGACCCGCAGTGCATCGTGGGAAAGATACAGCCCATGAGACTTTGGAGGCTGAGCGTAATGAGCGTGCTTGGCCCCCACCAACAATGTTGGAAGAGCTGTGCAAACGGATCCAACATTGTAGCGCTACGCTTCGGAAATCACGGAACAAAAGAAATGTTGGGAGTTGTTGGGTCAAAAGTTTGACCGGTTTCAAACTTTGCGCAATATCTCTTAATAACATACAACAGGGTGTACAAACGGAAGGACCATGTAGCATCCAACAATGTTCCATCATTTTCCGCGGGGCTTAAGAGCCGTTGTAGAGGATGCGGGCAGAAAAGACTTTTTTTTGCTAAACTAAAGGGACAATGCTTATAGACCATATATTTTAAAAACGGTGTCTGTGTTATAGAGGTAGGAGTTGTGTAAAACTGTAATGGCGGGCAACATTGAGCTTATAGTTTCTTACTGAAAGGCATGATGTATCGGTACTGTTTGTTAATCAAACTTCTTGAATGAACTCGTTGTAATTTCTAACCATTTCACTCACCTCTAAGTACACTGATAAACACAGACATGTGCGTGCCTTTGCCCTTTCCGTCGCCGTTCAAGCACACGGAGGCGCACAGGCGGTAGCCGTGTTTACTGGTTGTAAACGTTGGACTGAACAGCGTGTCACTATTGCCCGCCTTCGCTTCCTTCAGCTTCCGCGTGTAGTCCTCGATCCGCCAGATCAGCTGACTGTTAGCGATTTTTTCCAGGTCTCCAACGCGCTTGTCCAGTTGTTTTATGCGGTCGACGTTTTCTGTAAGCATCCTTTCATTCTTCTCTAGTCTTTCATGTTCTTGGGATATCTTGCTGAAGATCGACTTGACGTGCTCAACCATGTTGTTCTTGTAATGCTTTGGAAGTTTTTCTCGGCTGCACTGCAAGAGAAAGATGTCCAACGTACTTTTGTAAGAAGCCAGCAAGCAAGCTCTTTACCGGGACATTGCAAGAAACAACGGTTACACAATTGCGCCTATTCCCAAAGCTCCATTTTAATTCATCCAGTTCAAGACACATGCACAACACCTCATCGAGGTACCCAACAAGATTTTATACGGGAGGCTCCACCCCGAGGTCCAACCCCTTACCCTTTTATATGCCATTTATATGCCATAATAATAATAATGACTGTTTATTAAGACTCATTGCAGCAATATTCAGAATGGCTGAATTACAGAGCTATTTACAAAACATATAATACTAAAATATAATACAATAAATCCAATAGATACTAGAAAATATAATTGTACAAACCACTAGGTATACTTATGCGTGACAAACTCTTGCGTGCGCTTGGTCCTACAAGTAGGACGCGTGGAGCGGCTAATGCCAGATCTAAGATTATAATTATGCACAACCTCCTCCTGTTTGGGGAGTATAAAATGCAAGGGGTGATTATCATTCCGGAGTCTATCAATATAAACCTGGCATAGATAGGCGCGTCCGTCACTTAGAGTTGTTAAATTAAGGGCATTTAATGCCTCGTTGTAACTCATTAAAGGAAAAATGATGCGCATAGCCCTTTTCTGAATGCCCTCAATCTTACAAGATAGCAAATCTGGTATTTTTTGCCAGACAGGGGCAGCATATTCTAGAACAGGACGAACAATGGTTGTATAAACCTTAGCCAGCTAAGCTGGAGGCGCACCACATTGCTTAAGGACCCTTAAAGAGTAAATGCACCATCTTTCAAAGATGAATAAATCACTAAGCCAGAAAGTTTTCGTGTCTTTTTCACGACCTAGACTACGAGTAGTCCCTCATTTTCCCTCAGGGATAGCAGAGCGAGCGAAACGCGAGCGCCTCATTTTTCTCTCTCCGCGCCGCGTCTCGCGTGGGCTGATTTTCACGCCCGCTCGCGTTTCGCTAGCTCTACTATCCTGGATGGAAAATGAGGGACTCCTCTTAGTCTATTTACAACCTTAAAATGCCCTTTTTAGTCAGGCCTTTCAGTTCGTTTCAAAGACCACAATGACAGATTTACCTACTCTTTCATATATTTTAACCAGGGTGACCCCTACCCTGAAGCCTGAAAAAGGTACCCTTCCAAGCTGAGCCTCAGTGAGCCTACCCGTAAAGGCCGTCAGAGGGAGTATCCTCCCCGGGCCAAAAACAAGATAACGCTTATCAGTTAAGTGTGGAACAAACAATAACTGGTTTTGGATATGTAAAGTCTTACCCGATGTGTACAACCAATGGCTTCAAATTCACACCTCATCTTCGTCTTTGGACAGTCCTCCTCAATGTGTTTGTCCATCTATGAAAAAAAAAACAACGTTAATTCAAATACATTTTTTGGTTGTTACTACTGCGAATTTGTTATGTAAATGCTGGCTACTACAACGCCACTATCCAGAGAACACCTCTCTGCGAACTAGACTGTAAATAAACTAAGGATCAATGTATCTCGCGCGAAGTATTATGTTCGAAAGCACTGTCAGGTTCTACTTTTCTTAATACTCCTTCTGGAGACAGGACTGTGATACCGGCCAGCGTGTTCATCCAAACCATTGTCACTTGCAAGCCAGCCCCTATGTGTTGGTCCGGTCGAGATTCAGTCGAGCCTGCGACCCAAAGAATTGACCAGCATACTACTGAACGAACCCTGTGATGAAACGTACCTCATCACGTGGTATTTCCAGCGTCTTGTCGCATTTGTTTGGGCACGGCAGTGGTAATTTCGTGCACTCTTCTGCCAGATGTGCCTGTGGAAGGAAAACAGTAATTATTTGACCAATTGACTGAATTGACGGCCGGAATACATTTACTGAGTACATGCACTTGTCCGGATACGAATTTCGCTCTGACCTTCACCAAAATGTTCTCTGCTGTCCCGAGTACATTTCCTCTGCCAAGCTCGTAAATAGTTCACTTTAACTCTAACTACCAGTCGGGACTTACCGAGATTTTATGTTTAATTTGTTTGATTTCATTGTGATTAATGGCATGCAGAGCCTGCACGCTAGCTGGAGTAGTCGGGGTAGCTAAGTGCTCTTCCCCTTATTGCACATTCAGCAGAGTGACCAAAGTCAGCTTTCTCCTAACAATATCATTACATGATTAAGAGGAAAGGTCGCGAGAATTAGTCTCAACTAATTCTTAGGGAAATGTGCGGAGAACGGTCTGAAGAACTTAATATGAATTTGGATGTTGGGGTCAAAAATTATTCTGCGAAAAATAGTCTCTCATTATAGACCTTTTTAGCCTGTATGTTCTGTTTTCTTTTTTCAGACCACGTTAATTATGGTACCCCAGGGAACTGTTTCTTTTAAATGTCGCCCTATGAACGTGTACTACATACATATATTTGCAGAAATTATGAAAAGCCAAAAGGCAAATTCACTGGAGAACGTCACGTGTCTGAATTGGGAAAAAAACAAAAAAGCTGAAAAGGTCTATTGCACTTGCTTTTGAAGAGTAAGATTTGCACATTTTATAGGAACTATCACAAGGTATTTCACCTTTTTGTCTTCTCGCATGTGTCGGTCGTCACAGTACGGACAGGCGATAATCTTCTTTGGACAGTCTCTATCAAGATGTTTTTGCAGAAATCGTTTCTGAAATTTAGCTCCGCAGTCATTCTGGCAAAGGATTTCTCGGTACTCACAATTCACATTCACATGCTCCTGAAACCAAAACACACAAAATGGTGGATATTGCCCCTCAACCTCCTACATTGAACTAGTTTCTTTCTTCTATATCGAGATGAATGGAGACATTTTTTTTATTCTGCTCTTGTGTTAGTAGAGGTGCCACTCTTGGATGGTAACAGCATTCTTTCCGTAGCTTTGACCTCGCTGCAAAGGCTATCGCTCATGTTCTGGTCGCAAACCCTTGTCTGCATTACGGTAAAAAAGAACCTGTTTTTGTGGATCTGGAATTTTTTCCTCAACGGAGATCGCTCTCGCGAAAAATCTCTCTCGAAAATAAATGACAATAAGGTAGAAGAACATTCACACTGTAATCGGTAGATAATTCGTTTAGACGGTCAGTATGTGGAGCAATGCCAAATCATGTCAAGTAATTCGTCATTGCAGATGTCCGCATTTTACGCTATGAGCAATAATAAGCAATTATTGGATAAGGCTAATAAGTATGATATAAAGAATTATGCATGAGTGTCATCGAAGGAACAGGGAAATATTAAGAAGGCAGTGACGTCATTCTTTATATCAAACTAGTTGTCGCTGCTTTATTACACATATATTTTTTTCAACGCCTCTTTGTTGTTGTTAGTTTCTCCGTTTTTGATTTCACCTTTCTATTAAAAAACAATTCAGACATTCGTTTCACCGAGAAGCCCTGTTCAGTGGAAAGAATAATAATGATAGTAAAAATACATGCTATGTGCATGACCTGCTCGCTAAAAATATAATGACTAAGGCCCCGTTTATGGAGAAAAGTTGTTCCGACGAGAAGGGTCAGGTCAGGTGGCCTGGCTGCCCAAGGTTACCCTGGGCGAGCTGACTTTTCATACATCTCCTTGCAAAATGTGGCGAACCGTTTATATGAGAAACCAACGTTGACTCTGCTAGAAGTGACGTCACCCTTTTCGGTGTTGTTAGGGTCACCCTCCTAGCCAGGCTAACTTTTCTCCATAAAGACGCATTTACTCGCCCAGTTGGGTCAATTCGCCCAAGCCGAGACAAACAGAGCATGCGCGAGCGCTTTTGGCTCGGGCAAAAGGGTTAACTTTTTACACGGGATGACGTTGTCAGCCAGGCTCATAAATTTGGTCGGCGATCTTTTACATGGGAGTCACAAATTGTTTTTTAACTTTCCCGTACCCCATGCCCGTCCAGAAAATTTGTGCGATTTTCATTGGCTGCAATTACGAATCACGTGCAAGTCACACTGAAGATCCTAGAAGGCGGAACCACTTTCAATTGGGTTTATATGCATACCAATCTCGGTCCTTGTGGTGACCAAGTAAAGAGGGAATTAAAGATGGTGGGCGACTGTAACAAAAATGTAATTTCGACCCTTCTGCTCTCTTTACTGGCTTCAGCAACTACCTTTCAGCAGAAGTATCACAATTATCAGCTCGTGGTAACGCCAAACGAAATCGTCGGCCTTTACTGCCGTTATACTCACTGAACTACCTGCCGCCATCTTTGCCTAGTTTGTCCCTGGTACTAGGATCTTCCCAGCGAAAGTAATTTACATGGTGCTGGGATCTTCCTTCCTCTCGGCTTGGAAGGGGCAGGTACAACCGTTTGAATGTAAACTGAATACAGAAAACATGTGGCCCTCCATGTAAACAGTCCCTAAGTTTAATGAACGCTGACACAATGCTGATTGATTAAAGTGAAGTCCAGTATTGAGGATAATGTAAAATGGAGATGATTCAGCTGATCCTGCAGTTCAAATTGCAAAATAACCTAAATTTCGCCTTGTGTGCAAGAACCCCAAGGATGATAGTTTTGACATTTTAAGCAAACATGCGTATTGTTTTGCTCACTGCTGCGGATTTCACCGGAAAATCTTGATTAAATGTTTATCTATAGCTCGTGCCATGACAACTAAGCTAAAACGTCAAGAATTAATTCCCGTATTGCTCTCCCGAAGGTTTCAACAGAATCAATTTTGAGACAAATTTGTTCATTGAATGTCTTTCTTTGTGTGACGGGCGCCCTCCTATCCGACGTGCCAGCTTAAAAAAAACCGCATTTTCATTAAACAGAGTAAACTTTTTATTTGAACATGCGAGTTAAACAATGCTCGGCAAAGCTTTAGATTGATAGCCGAGATATCTATTAACGATGGTTACCGAAACCTTGACAAATCACACTGAATTAGTGACAAGAAAGGAAAACAGAAGGGAAAAAAGTCTGTGAAAATTCACAAGTTGAGAGGGAACACTTCCGGCATTTTATATATTAGGAACAGTTTCTTAAAATATCACTCTTTCTTTTATGACAAATGAACTTAATAATCTTCCATTTAAGATTAATCTTCCGCTAGGTAATAAAAAAAGGGAAAAAATACACATGCTCATTTTCTTACCGAAAGGTTTAAAAATTGAACTTTGTATATAACAAGTTTTTTCGTCCTTTAATAACGCCGACTGCACTGGGATCAGATTTTTTCGAGGGGTTGATCTTGCTGGGTATTTCAGAAAACAATTCGAACGATTTAAAATTCGAATGAACAAAGATAATACAACAGAAAGTGCAATAGAGATGGATCACTACCCACGCGTAGTGCATGTTCCGGCTTAAAGAGACGACGAAGACAGGTGCTTATTTTTTCATCTCTCTCTCTCTTTTTTCCAAAGTTGAGCCTTGTCAAACGCTTTTTATGTACAGTGTGCTTAATATGTAAACTTCACTGGTTTGTATCATAAACATAAAAAATCAAATCGGGAAATGTTCTTTCTTTTTATCATGCTTATCAAAGTTGTTGTTGTTTTTACTGTTGCTGTTGCTAATCTCCTCTTTCTCCAAAATTACTTCTAAACGAAGAGAAATTGACTAAAGATATCCATTAGCCCAAAATTAGTTTTTCATAACAAAGCAATGAATTGACATGACTGTGTTATGTACATTTCCAGAGCTGCAGGGATCTATATTTAAAAGCATTAACACCTATTTTTGGTATAGCCAGTACAAAATCGGCAATAATCTGTACATCCACTCTGTCAAAATAACCCATGGGGGTCCGGGAAATTATGAAAACAGCCGTTTAAATACCACATCGTGAGCGTAAAACTTTTTCAGATTTTGTTTTGTTTTCTGTTTTTGTTTTTGTATTTTTAAGTTTTAGAATTCATTTGCTGTAATAAATATGGATGATAAGTCCGTTTAGTAGACTGGCTGGGTTTACAAGCCTTTTCCAGTTTTGCGTTGCGGGATGCTGAAAGCTTCTTTACCATAATTTTTTAATCTCTGGGCGTTTTGTTTGTTGTTGTGGTTGTTGGTTTAAAATATGCCGTTCACGTGCTTCGTTAGTTTCGTTCTGGGAAGCGAGAGAAGGATTTTTGTCAAACCAAATGTGTATTTATCACCTGGTAATGCTGAAATTCTCCTTCCCATTTACAGCCTAATTCCTCACTGTTTTTGCACTTTACATCAAGTGCTAAGATCTCGTTGTTAAAAGCCTTGTCAACATATGCCTGCAAAAATAAAGAGGTGTTATGTAAATAATCCGCGCAATAAACTACTACTGGTGGTCTCTACCTCTCCGACTTCAGTGTCGTGGATAATAATGGTACTCGTCATGTCTGAGAGGCTATACGGTTGCCTTTAAAATCACACTTGTAGTTAAGCTAAATCGTATTTCCATATGCAGAGGTCTCTGTGGTAAAATAGTGCCTCAGATCGCCCCGTACATTATACACCTTTTGTTCCGGTAGGGGATTAAAAAGTTTTGTCTTGCCTCCAAATGGACCAACTTGAATTTTTCGGAAAGAAAAACAACAAGTCTTTTCACTATTTCTCTTCCTGTCACTGGAGTTTTCAAGATTAAGATCAAAATTTCAGTAAAAGGGTTCAAATAGCCCTCCATTTACGTTCTCAGCACAAAAAAGATAGCATGAAGGTTTTTAAAAAGTGTTTAATAACGCGTGCCGATGTTCATTAAAATTGACTCCATCTTACTGAAATCAACTCTCATGTGGTGCTGTTTATCTTGTTTAGGGAGTAGCTTATCTTTTTATTCAGTATATGAAAATCAAAATTGGAATTATTTAAATGACAGCTGAAGCGGAAGCAGGCGGTATAGCCGGGCAGTGCTGTCGTGTTGCACTTGTAGTACTGTTTACCTAACTCTCTGCATGAGCTGCCTGATCTGCCTTTTGACTGCCGCTCAAGTAATATTAAAGTGCGATCATTCAAATTGAAACCATAGATCGAAGCTTGATCTAAAAACATTGCTATAATTCAGATTTTTTTTCAACTCGACCCTTGGGGTGAAGAAATTAAGAAATTAAAGCAGTTTTTCTGCATAATATTTAAACATCTACGAGCTCAGTACAACTCACCGCGTCTTTGTTGATGGGTGTCTGATCCACAGGGCAACGTGGTTCTAATCTGAAATATAAAAACAACAATAATAACACCAAACATAGTGACTCTGTAATAACACTGAAGAGCGTAACTCAAAATCAGATTCAATTTTTTTGGTTTCAATGCAAATTTCAGAAATTTGCTTCTATTGCATAAATTTAAGCTTTGTTTGTTAAGTGTCTGCGGCCAAGTTCATTCGTTGGAAAAATCAGTTTGCATTTCACGGGTCACTCCTAAAACCATTCAATTGCAGTGTATGTGAGACTCAGATAAAAAAAATAAATAATTCCCATTCATTTCCTTTGAAAAGGTTCTTAAACACCGAAACAGCATCAATTTATTTGTTCGTCACCTCGTTTGGTGATTTCCATGTTCACAAAACAGGACCCGAAAATAACGGAATAGATGACTTTATTGTTTTACGTGGCTACAAAAGATATTGAAGATATTAAATGAAAAAATAAAAGATGAATCATTCACAGGCCAGTGAAAAACCTACACCTGTCCTATTCCCTTGTAAATTTTCAATTTGACACAATTGAGATTTAATGTAAAGCTTGCGCAATATCCGAGAGACGCGGATTATCCTCATGTTAATGTTGCACGTATTCATGAAATAAAAATTGATCACTACACAAGTGCTTTTATTTCAGCTCGTGTTTGTAAACCTAAATCGACTCCAATTGAACGGCGTAATTTAAAACCGTGTGCCTTTCTCTGCTATATAAACCTCAGACGTTGCTTTAACAAAAGGGCAACGCCGGATTTCTCATTATCATTAAAATCGGACAAAAAAACCAAGTTACTTTGCATTTATTTTCACTGTAACGACTTATCTTACCTCGCTAGTTCGGGAAAGCACGACGAACACACTCGGTGGCCGCACTCCTCAAACTGTACCGGGTATCGAAGAACGCTTTCGCAAATTGGACACCTGTATTTCTTTTCCAACGGAAACACAAACAAGTTGAGATCAATTTTTTCTTGTAAACTCAGAGCTGGGCTTCCTCGACTGCTCCTTCGAGATGAAACGCTTCCAGTGGGACTGTAGTTTTCGTTTCCACCGGTCATATTATTAATCCATTTCGAAACCCTGTACGGAAGATGTCACAAAACAGCTGCCATGAAGCCTTTTTCTGACATAAAAGTTTACTTAAGCGTCATGATATAAAGAGAGACGTAGGGTGTTCGTTAAAAACCTCAAAGTTTTTGCTAGTCAATCAGCTATGATAAATAATTGAATAGAAACGTTTGTATCAAGAACACTCTGATTGGTTCTTGGTCGACAGTGTCTTTTCTTGCGTCAATCAATAAGCTGGCTAAATGCGAAACAACGGGATCTTTATGCGATTCAATAACTGAATATGAAATATGAAACAACAGTAATTTTTTTTGTTGAATAGCCTTCAGCGTTACTTATTCCTGTCTCACACCGAAAGTTAACGGCGTGAAAACGAATGCAAAATGACTCTCTACTCGACGAATATTCTTCGACGTGTATGTTTTGACATGCGATGCTCGTTTCCAAGGTGAAATATGTTTTTTTTAATTTACGGAAAACATAGGAAAGAGATCAAAGTTTAATGAACTATAGTTTCCAAACATCAGTGGGAGTTTAACAGAAAGTGAGTTATATATTAGATCATTCAGCAGGGTACTGTAAGTCTAAACAAAAGAACCGAGAACGCTGTAACCATATGCTATAAAAAGCCGCAGGAATCCACTGCAACTGAGATTCAGAATCTTTATTTTATAGATAAATATTGGGATAAAGAGACTGGAGACGATCTCCGCTGAAGTTAAGGGAAAGTCAGTAACACTGACTGAGGCGCTCAACAGGATTTTACGTTTCTGTGTGTATAGAAGCTTAGCGGATTAAAGTTGCAACTTTCACACCCATTTTCATAACAGCAAACTCAGTCTAGAATTCGAAAAATGTTGTTATGACAAAAAATATCTTTTTAGGCAATTTTTAGAGAATGGGTCATTGTTTTTGTAAAATGATTTTAAAAACTGTAATATATGGATTGTAAATAGACTTTTAATATTTTTTATTTCATGCTTGTGATATGTAAATTATTTCATTTCCCCCCCTTTTTTACATTGTAAAGCGCCATGAGCTCAGGATATGAGCGCTATCTAAAAAAAGATATTACTATTATTATTATTATTATTATTATTATTATTTGGTAGGCAAGTGTCAGACGAGTTAAGACCCCCAATGAAAGGTTTGGAGATAGATAGAGATGGATATTTTGAAGAAAGAGGTTCTTTTATAAAGCCAATCTAAAATCTAAATGTGATGAAACAAACAACTGGGTGCAAGCTATGTTCTGTCAAGCTAAAAATATTTCTACTTTTAGTTGATGTAGAGTAAGATTTTCCCTGGAATACGGTTATTACTGAATAAGCTTTCGGGGAAAAATTGCTTTTTCACATCCGTTGAATAGGTTACGCAAACCATTTAAAAATATTTGCGGTAAACGTTAGGAGAACGAAACTCCTAATCTTGGGAATCCTGTAGTACTTGGTTCTCTTGTGGTACACAGGGATGACCTTTTCAGCAAGAGTTTGTAATCGTTTGTCTGCCTTTTCGACGCCATTTCGAGTCATTTGCACACACTTCAATAAGCAGATGATACAACTGATGCCGAAAGCGCGGAGTTATTTGTGAATTGAGTTTGGCCAGGAAATGAATATTGGAGTTGTTTTTGAAGCAGGTTTTATCACTGAGCTGGCGACTCTGTCCTACCTTTCTCAGTTTCACTAAGTGATGTTATAGCGGTTAAATCGAGCTGAAACTTCGTCGAAAGACACGAACACCAGGCAACATTATTGCCATCTCTGCTTTATTGAGAAATTTACCCGTGCGTTTGAGTCTGTTTATTTATTCGTATTTTTATTTCTCACCTGCACGAAAAACATTCTAGGACACGTTTGCAGAATTTAACCCTTGAATTCCTATATTTATACAATTTCAAAATGCTTTATCGTCGTCTGATATTTCTGCTAGGTATTTTGTTGTCAATAAGATCCTCTCGCCGAGTATTATACAGCTATTTCGAGAAAGTTTGTCGGAAAAACTGTGCATGCGACAATCCCGAAAGGTAATATGGGATATGATCAATACACCGTTCCTGACACTGTGGCTGTCGAATCTACTTTTGTTGCTTTCCTTTAACAGTCACAAACATACGTCCATGGCCTGTCGTGCCGCTCTTTCAAATTTTTTTGAAGAGCAGTGAACTCTCAACCACCCATAATACCTTTCGGGGTTGTCGCGTGCACTTTTTCCGACAACCTGTCTCGAAATAGCTGTATAAGGTTTAAAACCTGACACGATCAATCAGAAGCACTACCCAAATCTGGGTCGCTCGTTCCGCCTCAGACGTCGTTTGGCGGGGACTAGTAGTGACGCGTTTCTTCTGTTTCCTCAAGCTAGTTCATCGTGTCAGGTTTTAAACTTTATCCACCATGCAGATCTGGCTGGGGACACGTCATCAATATAGAATTTCTTTGTTCGTTTCGCGGGTCAACCAGAGGTAGCGTCGCCAAAATGTCGGCTGCTTTCTCAGGTTAACGACGAACCCACTGATGAACTGACGTACACGAACTGAGAGAAGATAAACAGTTCGCACAATGGCAAAAGATTTTGTACCCCAAGCGATGTTATGTTTACGGAAGGGGGAAAAATTAATGGCATGTCTCTCGAATGTTACATACAAACTTTAATTGCTCCTTAATGCAATAAAGAAACAAAGCTATTATTTAACTATACTTAATCGGCTTAGCCCGAAAACATGCGAAAAAATTCGACTCGCCCAGTGTGGTTCTATCTTTTGTCTCCATTACGGGTAATACTGAATAGAATAGTTTTAGGTATAAGTATGTGCATGCGCGAACTTTGGAGCTTTATCAACATTTTAAATATTCTTGTTTTTTTTTGTTTGTTTTTTTTTTTAACTTTTCTTAAAAGTTTTCTTCTTCGACACCCTTTGCACTATTAGTGCTTGGGTACTTCCAAGTAAATGATATGAGACAGTTGTACATGTACTTATCTGAAGTCGGAAGCTTAATAAATTCTTCTACCTTGCACAGTTATCGTAACAAATATACCTTTTTTAGCTTGTATGTTTTGTTTTCCCAATTCATACCACGTGATGTTTTCAAAGGAATTTACCTTTTTTTCTTTTCATGAAGTAAAGAGCGTTTTCACATGACGTCATGTCTGCTATATTGGTGAACCAAAACAATAAAACCGCGGCCATGTTGGTGTTCTAAGCTAATCCTCTGGGAATGGAACCTTTATCTTAGTGTGAAAACCTTCCTTTCACCATGGCATTTGGAGGAGACAGTTCTATGGGGTAACATCACATAGTCTGAAATCAGGGAAGACAAAACATGCAAACTAAAAAAAGATATGAGGTATCTGTCCCCCGATGAGGTTCGCACGGGGTATATCTATTGTGCTGTACCGAGTGCGGACTCGAACGCTGAAAGACCTACTCCTAATTTTTTGCCTGCATCCTCTTTTCTCCATAAACAAAGTCCCTTTCAGCCTCTAAAGAGGAAAGCTTGCCTATTCTTCACTTTATTCTGTGGTACTGGTAAGGAGAAGTTGTTCAACAGTCAAAACCTTTTTGAACTTGTTGATCATTTCTCTTTTTCCTCACGAGCTGTATGTTTGATTGAGCAATTTTACTGTAAGGAGAATTGAATGAGTGGTGACGTACTTTTGGGAGTTAGAGAGTATTGAAAGGGACAGTATTATGAAGATTCTCTCAAGATTTTTTGGACACTAGAAGCACAAGGGTACACTTCCTGATGCGCAAAATGGCCCTTCAACAGACAAATTCATTCTGCGCAAATGAAAATCAATTTTCGTTACCTAAAATGAAAACTTTCTTACTTGAAAAGGTTAGCGCGCGGGGTGAAGTTTAAGTGTACTAATGTAGTAACAGGTTAACAAAACTAGGTTATTCGTAAGAAATTTCCAGTGATTTAGGAACACTGATTTTCTTGTTGAATTGACACTGGCCATTGATGTCATTTTTTGCCCTGTGTACTTAGCACAAACAGGTGCTCAGATATCTACCTTAGACTACGCTATTTACACAATTTGGTTTTCACGGATGAAGCAGTAAAAATGCTTCGGTCTCTACGGCTCACTTAATCCATCACAATCAACAGAGATCTTCAGAAATATCGTATCGTCCTTGAGGTAGTTCCGGGTTTCGATTTCGTCGTGTTTGGCGAACTTTGCACCACCAAAGCTGGCGTTTTTCTCCAGTTTTGGTCTCCCAAGGAATGGCTCGTTCTCTGGACAGGGATTAGGTTTGATGCTGAATTTAATGTGTTTACGTTGCGTATGATCCTGGTCTTGATCCAGCAAGTAGAACGTGACTCTGTAATCGAACGGCCATTTTAACAAAGCGTCGAATGCCCCTATAACAGAAACAGGACACAGTTGAGCAATAAAAAAATTCTCGATGGGTGTTAGCGTAGAGAATGAATGCTTGAATTTACACTCGTTTTGTGACCACTGCTCGGCATTTACTATTCGACTCTAGGGAAGTCCCGCGGGCGCATCGAGACACCCACGGCTGGAGACTGGGCCTAGAAGAGAGTTCACATCTTCCTCGTTCTTTCTTTTCACGGACATTTGTCGCTTATTTAATATTTCAAAACTGCACGCCATGCATTATACTGAGGCTCATATCAGAACATCATGTTAGCTGACAGTTTAATTTTGCCAGACTTCTGCACAAACATCGTCATTGTCATCATCATCACCATCGAGAATCCTAAGTTGAATCTCGTATAGTGTATTATTCTAGGAGATGAACGAGTTTTGCCAATTGTTATTATTTCTCTTACGAGTCAGCTGACCTGGAAGTCGGACAACGAATTAGCCGGTTCTTACTTCCTTCCATCTTTGAAAAGTATAGGGTTTAATAGATAGAAATTGATAACTAAAAATCAATAACTGAGGCAATTCGCGCGTGAAAGAAGACTAACTTACTTTTGAAAATGTCACTTCAAGGAATTATATTGTTATAAGTACGTGAAACGAAACGACTTAGATGTAAACGATGTAATGTAGTGTTCAGCCCTGATTCCACTTGGGGTATGTTTATACTATATCGAATACACGAAAAGCTTTCCAATATATTATGAACACCCATCCGATATGTATTTCTCCACTTTAGAGATAGGCGCTGCACAGTTCCGCTTCGTTACATACAGGGTTCGCGCCGAAATTACGATTCTTATGTATGAACAAAAGTCCTACCCGGTATCCTTTTCGCGCCGGCGCAAAATCTATCTGGTATAATGTAAACATAAACATAGCCTTGGTCGTTCAAAACGGTATCTCTTCTTCAGCAGAATACATGCAACCAATTTTGATCCATGAATGACATTACTGAGTTGACTGTTAAAGCCTGTAATTACGAGCATTTTGTAAGGTATTTGACCGTGTGTCTAATGAGCAGGAAAACGTGAATGCGTAATTCAAGTGCTGAAACGTTTCTCACCTCTAAGTACACTGATAAACACAGACATGTGCGAACCTTTGCCTTTTCCGTCGCCGTTCAAGCAGACGGAGGCGCACAGGCGGTAGCCGTGTTTACTGGTTGTAAACGTTGGACTAAACAGCGTGTCACCATTGCCCGCCTTCGCTTCCTTCAGCTTCCGCGTGTAGTCCTCGATCCGCCAGATCAGCTGACTGTTGGCGATTTTTTCCAGATCTCCAACGCGCTTGTCTACTCCTTTGATGAGGTCTGCGTTTTCCTGAAGCATGTTTTCATGTTTCTCCAGTCTCTCATCTTGTTCGTTAATCTTCAGAAAGATCGACCTGACGTGTTCGATCATGTTGCTCTTGTAGTGCTTTGGCATTTTCTCCCGACTGCACTGTAAAATGAAAAGAATGACACAAGTGGGACTTTCCTTAGCTCATTGGTGCAGGAACGTCATAGATTTAAATTCCATAAAAGAATGAGAAATCAGATTTCTACTTTGTTGAACACGCTAGTGATTAATCGAGGAGATTAATCTTTGTTCTTGCCGGAAAATTCATGGTAAAAAGCTAACGAAGAAGTTATTATTGAGGCGTGTCGGTGAGGAGAAGGCCATCATATCTGTTATCCACAGAAGACAGAGAGTCTGGCTTGGTCATACCCTACGGCATGTTGATCTTGTCCTATATAGTTATTTAGTGGAGAATAATAGGAAGGAGGCCACCTGGCAGACACGGGAATGCTAGATAGAGTGAAGGATGGCGGCCCCCGCGTGGCGGTCAAGACGCGCGCCTTAGATCGGCAACTGTAAGGAAGGACCAGCCTGTCGGCAAGACACACACAGGCACAAACAGCTAAGGTCCGTCAGAAGGAATCTTGATTTGTCAATATTTTGGCGAAGAATATCCTCTGCTGTCAAGCTTGCGCAGGATAAAGGATAAGTGAAGACATCATTGAACATCATTGAACCGTTTGTAGTCTTACCCGATGTGTGCAACCAATGGACTCAAATTCACACATCATTTTCGTCTTTGGGCAGTCCTCCTCAATGTGTTTGTCAAGCTACAAAAAAACAAAGAACGTCAATGTGGAACATTGGTTTTGGTGTGCGCAATACAAGCAAAAAATACTGACCGAAACTATTCTTGATAGCTTCTATAAACTAAAAGTTCCAAAGCTAAAAGCTAAAATTAGGGACTGGAGGTGGGTTGGGGGAATGATCGACCTTGAAATAGAAGGATGCAAGACTGATATCATTGGCATCAGTTTGGCTTTAAAACTCATTTAGATTTTCAAAACGAAAAGGTTTTCAAAGTGTCTTTAACCTTAAAGAGACGAATTCGCAGAAAATTTGGGCAAAACCACTGCCCAAAGGTCCACGTTGCGAATCAATTCTGCTCGTTTTCTCCTTAATGAACAAATCAGAGACCTTCACCGTAACTCCATTAATTTATGAGCTTGCGCTAAATGTATGACCAAGAAATGTTGAATATTTTGGTTGCCTGCTAATGCGTTTTATAAACATACCTCATCTCGTGGAATCTCCAGTTTCTTGTCGCATTTATTGGGGCAAGGTAAGGGAAGTTTTGGACATTCCTCTGCCAGATGAGCCTGTGAAAGACAGCCAACAATATTCCGTCTTGAGCTAGCTAGCAATTTAAGCCTTAACATTCGTGTTCTGTGTTAAGTTTGTTACTTTCACAGATTTTTTAGGGTAGAAAATTCCAAAACTCTGCGCTTGATGGTGCTATTTTCGTCAGATAGTACTTCTACATTGTGTGGGTTGATGTTTTGACCCGTTGAGGTTTTTACTTTTAATTAGTCGACAAAGCGACATAAGATTTTCTGTAGTCAATCATATATTTTTTCCTCCGTCGTTGTACAAGGCACAAGTCCGAACTGACCCTTCGGGAGGAAGATTTAATCCGAGTTAAGGGGCGGTTAACGCAAACCTTAGCACGTTACTTTCAAAACATCAAGTGATATCCACGTACGTTTACAAAAAACGAGTTAGTGATAAGAAGTAAGAAGGGAAACTTGAGAAGAGAAAAGAATTCTCTTTCCTTTAAAGTTAATTCGTTTTTTACCTTCTTGTCCTCGCGCAGATGCCGTTCGTCACAGTACGGACAGGCAATGATTTTCTTGGGACAGTCTTTGTCCAAATGTTTTTGCAGAAATCGTTTTTGAAATTTAGCTCCACAGTCATTCTGGCACAGGATTTCAGCGTACTCGCAGTTTGAATAATGGTCCTACAAGGCATGTTAAAATATCAAAATACATATCCTTCAAATGTGCAGTGCCTTAAAGCACGATTTAAAAATCGTCGAATGTCAATCAACAGAGACCTTTCTCTAAGCTGAACTCCCACATTACTACCGGACAAACCTAGTACAGTGTTAGATAACACCAGGTAAAATCCAGACCGAACCCAGCCCTTAGAGAGAATCCTCTTTAACCGGTATTTGAGAGTAATAAAAATATTTTTGTGAGCACGTTTTAAGTTCGTTTTTCGTTAAAAAAACGTATATTTTTTCGGTCTCTATAATCTCTGTTTTCCCTCATTAGTAGTCAATTGTCGCTGGTGTTGCAAGGGAGCTTGTATTTATCTATAAGATTGCCAGAAAGTGATATAAAAAATTGGGCGGTGGTTTAATAAAAGTTTTTACTGCGCCTTAGAGTATAGACATATCTATTTCAGCATGTTTGAGCGTAAAAATAACGTTGGTCAGTGCCATCTTTCTCGATTCTTTTTCGATTTTCTTCGGTTCTGTTATACTTCTACAATGAATCATATGGCAGAAAACAGATCTTTTCACCCAAGGTTGTCTAGTGAAACCGGCAAGCAGGCTGCGTGCTTGATTACTCGGGTAATTTCAGTTCCTTGCGAATTTTAAAATTGTTCAAACATTCCCAGCCATAAACACCCAATATCTGAAAGAATAGCCGATAACGTATGAGACCTTTAGTCTCAAGGTTCCGTATCATTAAAGCATTGAAGCTTTCGACTCATGTATCTCACACACAGTCTTCAGTTCACGCGGAGACTGATTTTAGAGTTGTCACGTGACTAATGTGCATTACACGCGATCGCGGGTTGTTCAATGCCTTAATATCACGGGATCATGAGATCCGGGACCTTAAAACTAGGGTCATTCAAAGACCAGCATTGTGGCTAAAATCTGTTACGTATAGCTGCACAACTATCTGTTTACCTGATAGTTCTTAAATTCTCCCTCCCATTTGCATCCCCACTCGTGGTTTTTGCACTTCACGTCTAGGGCCAGGATCTCATTGTTAAAAGCTTTGTCAATCGATGCCTGTCATAAAAGAAGAGACATTCATTTAAGTGATAAATGCCAAGAACCGGCAGAGAATGACTGTAATCCATGATTTCTTTCCCGATAGCCGTAGGCTCTTGGAATGTACAGTACGGGAATATTAAACTGCCTTCTCAGTTGCCCCTGACAAGTCAAACACATGAACCAAGGGGAGATTCTTGCTTGCATGAACGAGTGCCGGGAGTGAACAAGGGTTTTAAAAATGAGCAAATGTACATAATATATTATTTTCAGAAAAGGTCGAAACTACAAAGCATGCAATTTTTGAACAATACCGGCACACTTTTGTATAATACTGTTTGGTAGTCAACACACTGTATTCAGTTGGGGCGGAGTTCGCCTGTTTAATTGGCGTGAAGAGACTGTGGAGAGCTCTAAGGTTCAATATTTAAGGGCCTGTTTACATGGAAGTGGGGGACCCCAGATAGGTGAGGTAACATGTGGCGGGTCACTCCAATTATCATGTAAACGTGATCAAACTAAAATGAGGGATTATCATATGGACAGGCGGGTTATCCCACCAAAGTGAGTTACCTCACCTACCTGGGGTCCCCCACCTCCATGTAAACAGGCCCTAAGTTTTGACTCACTTTATCCTTATCAATAGGAGTCTGGTTAACTGGGCAGCGAGGGTTTTCCTCTCTGAAATATAGACATAACAATACAATAGCAAATTCACTTCATATAATAGAGAAGAAAAAAAACAAAATGTAATTTATACTTTTTTTCACTTAAGTGGTTCATCATATTTCATCTAAATGGTTCAGAATAAAGACATATTTCTTCGTATAAAACATTTTTTCGACTGGTTTCGTTATAATCTTCAGTCATGACTACGTCAAGCCAGTCGGTTCAGATTTATCCATTCTGGTAATCGTTTTCTATAAAGGTGGAACCGTTTTCGCAGTATGCATTGAAAAATTTCCAGGCCTTGACCCTGTTGAAAAAAAATGTAGATACTGGCCTACTGTTGTTATTTACAAAAGTCACTAAATACCCGCCGCACATCTTTTCAATTTTCAGGGTCGTACAATTAACGGGGACTCTTTATCGATGAAATTGAGGACGAAAAACGGATACATTCGAAAACATTTTGAAGTAACAGTCTAAAATCTTCGGTTAAATGTAATTGAGCAACAGCATATTGACGATTAGCTCAGTAGGTAGAGCGCTTGACTGCAGAGCTGGAGGTCGCGGGTTTGATTCCCGGGGTCGGAACAATATTCAGGGTCTTAAAATAACTGAGAAATGAAGGTACTGCCTTTGCCCTGCAAATGGCTAGACCCTCGCGTGACTCGGATGACCACGTTAAATGGCGGTCCCGTCTCCAGTAGGAGACGTAAAAATAGTGTCCCATGCAATTAGCACTTTCCTGCTAAATACATTGACATACATTTTTTTTTTTTTAAAGTCGAGTCTTTTCAAATGGAGTTAGCGAAAACGTGGCTTCTTGAAATTGTGGATATTTTGCATAAGTAAACGAATTTACTCAGGTTTACCATCGTTAAATAGGCAATCGCACATTTCTTTCCGAGACATAAATATTTCAACATTTTATCAGTCTCATTTAGTAAAATAATGTATTGTCAAATTTCGTAGGTTTCGGATACTTTTTTTCTGATGCAAAAGCTAGCTAATAAATTTTTGTGCGAGGAACTACCAAAATGCTCCAAGGTCCTTGCAATAACTTTGTCTTGAACTACTGAACCTGAAAAATGACAGCTAAGCAGTTTAAATTTACTACGGCAATTAACCGACATGAACATAAACATGAAAATGAAAGTGATCTAACATTTGTTTAACTTACCTCTCTAATTCAGCAAAACACGATGAACATACTCGATGCCCACACTCCTCAAACTGCACGGGGTATCGAAGCACGCTTTGGCAAATCGGACATTTATGCTTTTCTTGCAAAGGAAAAATGAAGACTGGCTTGAGATCAATTTTTTCTTTTAAACTGGGAGCTGGACTTCCTCGGCTGCTTTCACGAGATCTAGCGCTTCCGGTGGGGCTATAATTCTGCCTTCCCCCGGTCATGTTATTTTCCTATGGGTTATATAAAAAAAAGATGACTTCACATCCAGTCGTCCATGCAAAATTCTTGGAAAAAAAAACCACTCTCAAGTGTGGCTATAACATAGACGCAGTGTTTTCCTTAAAACGCTCAAGTGTCTTCCATTCAATTAGCTTTTTTAACAAATAAATAATTTAACGGGTAGTTTCTAACCGGAATTTTGTTATTGGTGGTAAGTTTATTGGCTAAAACTGAACGTGACTGAAAATGCAAAACAGCAAAACCGTTATACCATCATATAACTGAAACTGACATAAAAGTATTCACTTCTTGATAAACTCAACTGGCACAAGTCAATTCTAATTTAGTGAGAAACATTTAGCAGCACGTAAAAGAACAATACCGAATTGTTTTCGTATCTTCTCCGTCCATATTTTGACGCGATAATCAGTTTCCAAGGCAACAACAGCTTTTCATTTTTAGAAAACTTCCAGCAGGAGATGTGAGATCATTCAGTAAGTTTGGTGCCGTGGTAACAGACAATACGGTACACAATACGGCGCGATATAACAGGGCAATATGTCCTGTCATAGCTGTACGCTCATTGTGGGTGGCTCCAACTAAAATGTTCTGCAATTGGTGTAGGTTTTAATGGACCCAAAACAAATTATGGAATTGTACACATTTTAGGCATCCCACTCATGAATAGTTACGGAATACTGACCGATATTTTCAATAACAGCAATTATTTTCAGCCTGTTCCCTTTCAAACCTCCCTTTTTTCTTGGCCGCAGGTAAAATTGTGTTATATTTAACGAAACAAAAGACGAACTGCCCACATTGTTTTGCGTTTCTCATATTGTTTTACATGCATTATAATTATAGTTTTTGGTGTATTTGTCTTTCTCATTCAATTATCGCTGAGAGACAACTCTTGTAGCCTACAAGACTACCGCTGAGACTATCATGATTTTATGGGATAAAATCATGATATCTCAGTAGTCTAACTTTCCATTTCTCCAAGTTTATTCAGCAAAGGAAGGTCAAATGGGTTGTAATTGAAAACAGCGATCAGTAAGCGCACATAAAGTTGAAAAAAAAAATCGAAATTTTTATCTTTTTGAAAAGCAAATATTAATATTACGAAATATGCACTCTCTGTCTGTTGGTTTGAATGACAGGCGCCCTACAGATCTTGCTAGTTGCAAAGTAAAGGAAAATGTAAGCAATGAGCTGATTATATCGGTGGATATTGGCTGCGAGGCCATTATTTTTCTTGGACATTTCACCCATACTTTCTTTAAATTTTGTCCATTACATCTCAGATAATGTTTTGACATTCATGCTCTCAACTGCATATTCCACAAATTATTCCCAGCCGGTGCTCCTTTTTTGTTAGTTCTTAACTAACTGCTGTACACTAAATGATTTGCTCGCATTCTTTATGTCAGTTTCCATAAATAATAAAATAATAATGGTGAAAACAATTTGCTCAAAAAAGCCATGTGAATGAGTTTTACCCAAGAGGATTGAAATATCCACAGCAAGTTAGATTCTTTTTCAAGAATTACAAGAAATTTCAACGTTGCTAGTTGAGAATCTACGGTTGCTGCAGACGGCGGGTATACTCTAATCATCAGTGGTACGCGCCAAATGGCTCGAAAACTGTTAAAATTCGCCTTAACCTTTGACGGCTTCCGATTTGACTTTTTACGAAGACTTCATATAAAGCAGTAGCCGAAAAACAAAATTGTTGGCAGTGAATCTTTTAATGTTTTAGTTGGTTTATTATGTAAAACTATTTACGATAATTACTCGACTCCTACGTGGAAAGCAGACGGAGAAATGCAAAATGCACTTTAAGTATGTGGAGAAACATACTCCCATTTTGACAAAAGTTAAAGAGTAAAAACTGCCTTCCAATTGTTATTTTATCACCCCCACAAGTATAAAAGGTAGCTAAAGAGCATTGTTTAAGTAATCCCGCAAACATATCGCACTGAAAATTAGAATTAGGGAGCAACTGTAAATGTCGAGATTTGCACAATATTTTTGCAACTTCGATGCTGCATACTCGTCTCAGTTTAAATTACTTACAAGCTCAGCAAGAAATACTAACAAAGGTATAGGAAAAAAGAACTAAAGAAAAAAAAAAGGAGAAATCAAGTGCGGGCTTCAAGTGCGTTTTCATTTTAAATTTGCATTTAAGTGCAAATATACCGATACTACATGTAGTAAATGTTTTTGTTTGCGGGATAATCGACGATTTGCCTTTGACCTGTCATTAGCTTACGATAAAGAACACTGCGAGTTGTGTCTATGGTTCTTGCAGTTAGTTTTAGTCAAACTGCACATCTTGAAAAACTGTCCTCATTATCGCTTTCTGTAATCTCGATAAGCTCAAAGTTCTGTATAATTGCCATCGGAAGCCGAGAAAATTTTAGCTTAATAGTAATTCCCACTAACCTCTGGATCCATGCCGGAGTTAAGTCCATTTGGGGTATTATTTTTGCCTCCAGCAGGCTCCTGAGTCTGCTGAACGTTCTGGCTTGAGCCAATGTCCGGCATCTTGTTAAACAATTCAAATCCCGCAACGTTGGTTTGAAGTTTTCTGCGAATAGATAGATCTCCGCGAAAGAATATTGCATAAACTACCAACAGAGCACCTGCCTCCAAAGAAGCTCTTCAATTGACCAATCACACTGTGCGTACTATTCGACAGCACCTGTTTCTAAAGCTCAACCAATCAAATTGCTCGTTGTAAGGGCTTCTCGTTTTTTCTGAGTAGAGATTATTTGTATCTTTGTGTATTTATACATTTGTTGTCATGCTAAACAAAATACAACTTCTTCCCTAGAAATGAATCGAACCATTAATGACTGAAATGGGAAAGCAAAGAAATCTCTTTCCGCATTCAGTACTACAGCTTTCCTGCTTGATGTTACTTTCAAATGTAATTCGCCAAATGACACTTAATTGTTGAATTAAGCCGTTTTCTGAACGCTTCTTTCGGGTAACACTTTCTTTAGAATTTCTATAAATAGTCAACTTAAATTCCTACAACGAAAAAAGATGATGATGATAATAATAATAATAAAAGTGAATCGAGGAACGTTCGGTGTCAAAGCCAATATTAGAACCAAACGAGAGAACGTTTTTCGTTGCCATGGCATTTATTGTCCATATTATCGTTTAAGCCATGACGAGTCTCATAAATTAAAGCTGTATCTCTCATGACGGCTCAATCTAAGAGCTCAGTTTCTCCCTCTCAAGGTTGATTTCCCGGCACTGACGCGTTTTTGGATACACACGGTAACGCACGGTAACGCACGGTAACGCACGTAAATTTCAATCACGTAAATAAAATAGAGGCAAGATAAAAAGTGCTGAGCTTAAGCGACAAAGTAGTTGAGCGAGGTTCAACTTTTACGCGTACGAGCGACCTTTCATATACTGCCTCTATTTCATTTGCCAACGTAAATTTTACGCACGTACGCACGTTAAAAATTACGCGACTGCACTGGAAATCAACCCTTAGGCATGTTTCTTCAGTGTTTTTAGTCTTGCTCGTAGCTAAAGGCCCAGAGCCATCGCGCCCGCTGAATGAAGACGGACAAGGTTCTAGCATCGAGAATTGGTTCATGATGGAATGCGGGGTTGAGTTTAAGGGACTGTAGAGTATACCTACGCATGCGAGTTTGAGAAGGAAACCTTATTCTATGTACGCTTAAAATTTCCTGTTGTTGTTGTAAATATTACACTTTTTCTATTTTCTATGATGGTTTTAGGAAGTCTCATAGCTTCTGGTTTGCAATACGATTTTACACAATATCTGCAGTATTTATTATACAGGGTAAACTTCTTGATCCAGCTCTAAAGGAAATGTATTTTCGTATTTGAATTAATTAACTTACACCTTTCAACTTTGATAAATGAAGACACCTGCATTACATGAACTTAGGGAAGATAACATGTGTTTACAAAAATTACAGACATTAGATAATGACAATGTAGACGATAATGATGATTGTGCCGAGGCGATTATTAGTCATTTGCAAGAGAGAATAATTGGACAAAGAAAGAAACGCCCAGTCTACCCCTTGGGATATGTGAATTTCACCAAATTTATTTATTTTTATTTTTTAATTAAACGCTTGAAATTAATAGGAAGTTGGTTTCCGGAGAGGTCCGCAAAGTTTTATTTAGTGTTGTCAGGAGAGAATAAGGGGACGTTATGCTCTCTTGATGAATCGCCATTACAATATTCTGCAATGCTTGCTTTGAGGCAGTCGCGCGTGTACGTGATGACGTTTCAAGCTATCGATAAAAATGTGCGGACACCCTAGAATGAAAGACTTCACACAGTATCCAGGCCAACGCCTAAAGATTCCCTCTCTGTCCCATTATTCTCGCTTGCCATTTCAAGTTAGGCGTGAGACTGAGTCAGTGTTGTTTTGAACTGCACTATGGGAATGCTTTTGAGACTCTATCTCTTCGTTCATTGGATATTACAAGGTTGCACTTCCGCCCAAAACAGTCCCATAATGCAATTCCGACCCAGTCTCAAATGCTAATACAATATGCTTAAAAAGGCTTTGTCACTAGGATATTGCCGTTGTTGGTCAATTCTGTGCTTTGGTCATTACTAAGTGTCTTTACCAGGTGAAACCGGTGAAAAAGTGAACGTCCATCCTTTCCATCTGTTGTAATAGCCGGTGGGAAATAGCCTACGAGCAAGCTCTACATGAAAAGTATACGCGCAGAGACACGCGAGAGGGGACACGAAAGCGGAAGGCTGGGGAGAGAAAGGAGAGCTTGCAACAATCTCTTCTTTCCTCCGCCCCTCGCCACTCGCTTGCGCGTTCTTGCGCGGCTCGCTTCACCCGCCCAACTAGGAGAGCTTGCTCGCAAGCTAGCAGAAAACAGTTAAGAAGCCTGAATATAGTCTTAAATGACAAACTGGACCATTATTTTTGGAATTCAATTGACGCGAAAAAACTTTTAGCGTTTTACTAAAATAGGCTGACGTAGTCCCTTTAACCTTTAACAACTAATCCTGTGCTATCATCAAATCTGATTTTAAAGCGTTCAAGGCTCGCTAAATCCGTCGCAATCCACGACAACTTTAATAAACATGGTATTATCTTTAACGTATGCTCCTTTCTCAATGTCCTCGTGAGAAGCGAACTTCCCGGACCCAAAGCTTGGATTTTTGTTGGTCCTGGGTCGACCAAGAAATGCCTCGTTCTCTGGACACACGTTTGGCTTCACGGAAAACGAGATGTGTTTTCTTTTTTGAAGGTCTGGGTTCTGATCCAAAAGGTAGAACGTAGTCCTGTAGTTGTACGGCCATTTTAAAAGAGGGTCGTAAATCCCTAAGATGGGAGAATGCGTTTTGGTTAGACGAGTTTACAGCGCAGCTATTTCAAAATCTCTTTGAATTACTCATTTTTCAGCACTGGACTCTTCTGTGACTCGCACCGTAGGGGTCTTATAAAGCTTTGGCCACTCCAAAATTAGTTTTCTTCACGGCTTTATTTCTAATTTTCGGACAAACAACTCAGCTGTCGTCACTAAGGAGTCACCCACCCACCCGGGAGCGAAACCAACAAACATATAAATGCGTTCTAGTCGGAGACTGACTCGATTATTGAAAAGTGTGAAATTGCGTTATTGAGGGTTAAGTGCCATGCAGAATTACGTGATACTCGTCATTGTTGAAAGCCGTTACTAGATCAGTATGTGCCAATACCCCTTAATACGGCGGTTTCAATAACAGGGTTGTGAATGTAAGCTCACCTTGAACTACGCTGATAAAGACAGATAAATGCGTTCCCTTTCCTTTGCCATCGCCATTCAAACAAGCGGAGGCCATCAGCCGATACCCATTCCTACTGGTGTAAAACTCTGGGCTGAAAATAGTGTCCATCTCACCGCTTTTTGCGGCTCTGAACTTTCTGTGATAATCTTCTATTCTCCAGATTAGCTGACTGTTTGTGATCTTTTCTAGGTCTGCAATACGTTGCTCTTGTTGTTGATTTGCCTCGATCTGCTCCTTCAACTGAATCTTGGTCTCCTGCAGTTCTTTTTTCGTCGCCATGACAACGTCATAGAGCATTTTAACGTGATTTATTATCTCTTTCTTGCGGTGCTTTGGAAGCTTCTCTCGACTACACTAAGCATGTAGTTATGATTTAGAGAAAAAGAAGTGCAGTCAGTTTCATATATCAGTGAAAGGGAACTGATATTTTTCCTAGTCATTTATAATTTTTAAATTCATTTTTTCAGTTAAGATTATGATGTCAGATAACCGTAAAGTGCACTGTAAGTGTAGCATTGTATTCAAGGAAAGCAAGACGTTATTAACGGTTGACCCTCAGATTTTTTACAATACTATTTCGACAACCTCCATAAGTCTCCGTAGCATGGGGACTTAAATAGCCTGTTCACAGACTCTCTATTTTCTCTTAAAACTCCGCCGAGCGCGCGTGGTAAAAATAAAAACGCGGGGGGGGTATTAAAATACCGCCAGCGCAAGGGGTAGAGGTGGGGAAGAAGAAAAGCGATCCGAGCTCGCTCTCGCGCGTTCGCCGATTATCGAAAAGAAAAATAAAGCAATGTCTATGCACAGTCTAGGACTTAATACGCAAACATGTTTAACTGGACTGAGCGATACAATAATTTTCAATCAAATTGAACGCTATCTTGGCAGTAAATGGAATAATGTAAAATTCTTACATTGTGGTTGCACCCAATCTCTAAGAAGTCACAGTCCATTTTTGTCTTTGGACAATCCTCAGCGACATGATGATCAATCTGGAACACAATGGATGAAAATAAAATGATGAATGGAATGCTCGATATCCCTTGTGTTCCTATCTTTAGCGTCCTCCGCCCAGAAAATAAAATCAAGCATCGACTTTTTTCAAACCAAAGACGCTTTTAAAGTAAACTGGCCAAAATGGTTTTAAATAAAGTCATTCTTGACTTTCACCGTCATTGCCACCACCACCAACTTTAAGATACCATTAATCATTGTCGCCCTTGTTGTCATCATCTTCCCCACTCCGGGCACATTACAAAGCCCTTGGAGGTTTCTTAAAGTTGACAAAAGAGAAAAAGGCCTTACGATCGTCGAGTTTGTTGTTAAATCTAATTTCCACCGTACATGTCGTTAGTGATTACGCCACAAACAAAAGCAAGGGAACTTTAAACTGCCCCTGAACTCATCCCAGGTGTTACGCTTTCCTCACCTCATCTCTGCTGATAACAATTGTCTTTTCACATTTGTTAGGGCAAGGCATCGGAAGCTTTTGACATTCATCAAAATGACTCTGAAATACATATAATAATTTGGTCAAAAGAGGAACGACTGCTGGTAGTCGTAAAGGGTACGGCCAGTTTAGACTTGTGGTGTTTTATGCGATTTTTTTCGCTGTCTCCAAATAAGCTTAAACATAAAACTTTAAGATGCAAATAAAACCAGAGACGACTTCTGGTTCACTGTATTCTCCGAGGGATTTTTAGTGTAACAGTGGTTTTTCTCTTATTTTGTGGCAAATTTTGGCACTTTTTACTTTTTCTCTACATCTGACTGTTTTGTTACTTAAAAGCAAATTTTCAACTTTTTCCAATTTCTTTTCTTATTCCACTCCTGCCTTGATTAGTTTTTAGCTGTTTTACTGCCTTCGGGCTGAGGAAATCGGGGACCTTCTTGCTCTAATCAATAAGAGTTATTTTTGTTCCAATGTTGTGAGCTGCCTTTAAATTAATTAGTTAACACCTTTTTATCAAGTAAAAAAGTTTTTTTAAAAAAAGTTACATGTAACTTTAAGGTGAATAGTTTCAAAAGAAAGTGAAACTGGTATAGCTGAGTATGGTCCTAACCGACGCCCATCTCAAGTTAAGTAATTGCAACTAAAACAACATGAATCACACTCAACCTTTCTGTTCTCCCTGAGATGTCTGTCGTCGCAGTACGGACAGGCGATAATCTTTTTTGGACAATCTTTGTTCGCGTGCTTCTCGAAGAATCGTTTTTGAAATTTAGCGCCACAGTCGTAAGTACAGAGCATTGCCACAAACTCGCAAGTTTCTTGGTGTTCCTGAAGAGGGAACAGTCGATTTCAGTGTTAACGATTCTTTCACGTTATCCAGCGATTCGTTTGTCGACTGAAGATACAAGACACCCACACTCTGCGAACTTAACAGAGTCTCCTTATGTCTTCTTGTGTGAGGAGGAAAAAATGGAGGCTCCACGCGCACGGCTTTTAAGCCTGGGTTCAAAACTGTTCCCCAGCAACAAGCAGCACATGCGCAACAAAAATCTTACTAAATTCATGCAATCTTTTTCAAGTACGCTTTCAACCGCGTGGTCCTTTATCTTCCTCTTCCTATTTTAAAGTTTTTACCCTATAAGATTTCTGTTGATTTATTAATTTGCCGTTTTTCTTTTTGCTCTATTGAAAATAAAACATAATTTAATTCTCTAACTCTTTTAAAATAACCTTGCTCAATGTGATTGAAATCCTACGAATTAGAAATTGAAGAAAAACTGACTGGTTCGTTTGATGTACTGTGTGCAAGGTAGTTTCCAAAAAGAATGTCGCAATACTCGTCTTTAATAGTAAAGGCGAGAAGTTGATTGAATGGATGATGATTCCGAAGGGGTAGAGAAAAGGTCAAACTTTGGTTATATTCCCTCCCTCCCTTCTCCCTCCCCCATCTCACCTGAACTTGCTGAAACTCTCCTTCCCACTTACAGCCCCACTCATGATTGTTACACTTGACATCAAGTTCTAAAATCTCTCGGTTGAATGCTTTATCCACATACGCCTTCAATAAGGAGAAGATAAGATATAACATTGTCTTAATATTGGCCGTTGTCTAGCTTTTAGAATGAAGAAATCTAAAATGAAGAGGCGCTGAGTACAACCACCAACAAGCTTTTTTTCAGCCAGTCAAAAAGGCGCCGTAGACTTAAGTATACGAGATCGCTCTTGGGATTATGTTTTTTTTTTCAGTCATGTAGCAGTGATAGTCGAAGGCTTAGCTTTTAGTCTGTAGAATATCTTTTATATACTTACAGTATCTTTGCTAATCGGCTTCTGGTCCATTGGGCAACGCGGCTCCACTCTGTAAAGATTAAAGAACAATTAAGTCGAGCTTTGATAAACTTGATACAACCCCGTTTGGTATAGGAGTAGTAAATCCCTTAATTCAGCCTCAAAACGTGATAAATAAACTCTGGTAACCGGCTTACGAATCTTACGCTTTATTTATTAAAGGAGTTGTACTAGTGTGTCGCGATATTTATAAAAATTCAAACTATTAGAACTTCCATCAAACTGAGTGAAACAGGAAAATAACCGCTCTAAACGTTAGAAGAAGGTATATGAGATGACTCAGCAAATACAAAGGAATGCAGGCATGGACATCCTATTCTACTCTATTCTATTCTATTCTATTCTATTCTATTCTATTCTATTCTATTCCATTCCATTCCGTTCCGTTCCGTTCCGTGCCGTTCTGTTCTGTTCTATTCTGGTCTATTCTATTCTATTCTATTCTATTCTATTCTATTCTATTCTATTCCATTCCATTCCATTCCATTCCGTTCCGTTCCGTTCCGTGCCGTTCTGTTCTGTTCTATCATGTTCTATTCTATTCTATTCTATTCTATTCTATTCTATTCCATTCCATTCCGTTCCGTTCCGTGCCGTTCTGTTCTGTTCTATTCTGGTCTATTCTATTCTATTCTATTCTATTCTATTCTATTCTATTCCATTCCATTCCATTCCATTCCGTTCCGTTCCGTTCTGTTCTGTTCTATCATGTTCTATTCTATTCTATTCTATTCTATTCTATTCTATTCCATTCCGTTCCGTTCCGTTCCGTGCCGTTCTGTTCTCTTCTATTCTATTCTATTCTATTCTATTCTAGTCTAGTCTAGTCTAGTCTAGTCTAGTCTAGTCTAGTCTAGTCTATTCTATTCTATTCTACTCGATTCGATTCGATTCGATTCCGTTCCACTCCATTCCATTCCATCCCATTCCGTTCCGTTCCGTTCCGTTCCGTTCCGTGCCGTTCTGTTCTGTTCTATCATGTTCTGTTCTGTTCTACTCCATTCCATGCCGTTCCATTCAATCCCATTCCATTCTATTTCATTTTATTCTATTCTATTTGATTCTCTTCTAATCGATTCGATTCTATTCTATTCTCAAACCCATTAACCCTTTTCTAGAAGTTATTTGATCCTTGCAAGAGAGGAAAAAGGGGAAAGAGATGGAATCTTAGTTTGTTGTTTGATATGCCTTTATCCTTCTTGATTCTCTTCATCATAAATAAGGACTAAAGTGAGTTTACCTGCATAACTCAGGAAAACACGCGGAACAGACCCTGTGTCCACATTCGTCAAACTGTATGGGATATCGTAATACATCTCTACACACGGGACATCGGTATTTCTCAGCCAAAGGAAATATGAAGATAGCTTTAGTCTTCTCTCTCGAATGCAGCTGGCTAGGAGATGTTGAGCTGCTGGACTGACCACTTGGTGACCGGGATGCTATAGGACTTTTTGCTCCTCCAGCCCTGAATTCCTGCAAGAATGGCATGTTATGTTATATGATTATGCGGCTCTCAGTGTTGTACCAAATGCGTTCGACCTAATTTCCTTACGCGGCATTATCTCGTACCCAGATCTCCTACGACCAGAACGAGATTACACTGATCGCCAGTAAAACAATAACATGCACTTGGCATAGAAGGAGAAACAAACCAAGGGCAGTTACAAGTTACCCTTCGCGACTGTCGCATCATCGAGTTGTTACGCTTTATTGTACTTTTAATAATTTTAACTCTTGAATATGCTGCCTATGAATAAAGTTGTTATTGTTGCTGTGAGCAAATCGGTACTTCCCGCGGCGCTTAAATTAAGTCTGTCAATTGAGCCAATCCGCCTCGACTTAAATTAAAGCAACCAACCTTTGCTTAACTTTACTGGACACGCTGGGGTCAAAAATAAACTAAATTTTAATTCCAATTGAACCAGCTTGTGAGAAAGGTCCCTCAGCGAAAGTTCAACATAACATGTATTGAAATGACAACCATTCTGAAGTGTCCTCAAAAAAAAATTCTGTTTGTCGGAGCTGTCCTTGTAAAAATTAAGTTAACTTAGCAGTTTAGAGTCGCATAATATAAGTCGGCAAGGAGCATGATAGTCTGGATAGTTTTCATTTTTCCATTTCGTTTTCAGTCAAAATCAGAAGGAAGGATTCGAACGATAAATTTTTCATAGAAAAGTTAAATGAAGCCATTTAATTAGGGTTTCTCTGATTTAGATGCTATTGTGGTAAACTTACTTGAAATGGGTTAATTATAAGTGTTTCTTCTATTGAATAATTTAGACGATTTTCTTTATCTTGAAATGCCGCTGAGGTCCTCTCAATTAGCTCCAATTAAACTATCGTTGTTAAAGTGAAGCTAGTGTGGAAATTCGAAATGTTTGATGGGTGCATGTCATTTTTTCTTAAATATAGAACAGTTTTGTTAAATAACCTAAGAGTATCTTATTTACTAGATCGTGAAAATACAGCATTAAAGATACTAGGCTTATTAAGTGATTCTTTGAGCAAATAATTAGGCAAGTTTAAAGTCAAAGTGTACCTCATCTACTTTGGCCGATCATGTTTAAAAGGAAAGAACGGTTGGTGAAATTTCTGCATTAATATCTTACAGTTCAACTCACTATATACAATGTTTATATTTTGGGAAATGTAACTGTTGCAATTTTTTTTGTGTGTCAATTCACTTTAAATCAAACATTTTGCATGTGTTTAACCAGCCAACATCACGTTTACTATCCTTACCTCGTTGTTTTTCAAATGAGAAATAATTTCGTTTACCAAATTCTCTCCTTGGTCAATTCTGCTTCCCATTAAAAATTCTTAAGGAAATCTCCCGCAATTTGTTCTTGTAACGTATACCTAAACATTGCGTTAGAACAGCGTATTCACTGACATTCCTAATCCAGGATATCAACCAACCGGAATTTTTGTTTGCTTTAATCCCCCCACCTGCCACCCACGTAGCGTTTTTAAGCCAATCAGAACTCTGTTTTTTTAAAGAAATGGCATCGGCCATTTATGACGCTGGTTGTCTTAGCAATGAATTGCTATGAAAGTTGTTATCTTTTAAACTTTGATAAGAATCACAAAAGCTGACTTACAGGGTGTTAATTTTTTTTCCTTGGACAAAAAATAACCGGACGTTTATAAAAAGAGTTCTGTCAACAAATTGGAGAGCTTTTAACACGAAGATTATCTAATAAGCACCGACTTTTGCTTCGTAACTCAAAATCAATACAGTTGCATTTTGGTATTAGTCTTTAGCAAATGTCTGCAAGTAAAGCATTTTCCCTCAGACTCGCGTATAAGGTTCAAATAACTAAGGAGGCTGGACTATTAACTATTATTATTGCTAGTAATAACCAAAGGTTACGGAGTGTGGGGCGCCAACGATCGAAGGTCAAAACACTTTTGCTCCAACGCAGTGCTTTGTGCAGGTCTCACGTGACGGATAGTCAAAACACGCGCGATCAGATTACGAGGTGGTAGAAGGTCGAAACATGCGTGATCAAATTGCATTCTGTGCATTCCATTCATTCTTAGTGGAAGTCCAAACAAATGCTTGCAACATACGTAGATGCAACGTATGCCTAATAACAACCTGGAGATTAGGATTGCGGACTCCTCTTGTCGCCCGCAATTATTTTATTATTGAAAGTATTACAGTCAACTCTTTCCAATACGGACGCCTTTGGGACCTGTACTATGTGTCTGTTTTCGATTGATGTCCGTCTTATTGAGAGTCAACTAAAAGGAGTAATTGACTTTAGGACCAGCTCTAGGTGACCCTCTTGTATATGTCAACAGGCCACTTCCGAGTTCCAGAAACCCTCACTTTCAAAATGAGGCTAGGTGCACAACCTTTCTTGTGAAAATGAGTTTTATTTGCACGAGAATGAAAAATGATTTCCATATCAAAGGCTGAGCACCTACCCTCGTTTTGAAACAGAGGTCCGGGAGAACTCGGAAATGGCCTATTACCTGGAAGGGTATGGTTCCCAAACCGTGTCATGATGTCTACACCACATTTTGTGCCTGTTAGAAGTCAAAGTACTCCGTAAGAAGTCGTCACGTCACGTTGCCGTGGTAGCAAAATTTCTGGATCTCAGCAAACCGTGGTACTGGAAATATGGCAGAAAAAATGAAAAAATTGACATGTGTGGCTTTCCTATGAATGAATGCACTCGAAAGCAAAACGTTAGCCCATTCTTTTCTTCAATCCTTCGACGATGCAAAATGCCTTTTCTGTCAAGAAATATTGTTGAGATCCAGAATGTTGCTACCATGGTAACGTGACGCCACACTTGTCCTCTCTATAACCACCCTTCATATGTTTTTGAGTTGCTAATGTAAATCATGCTTCAGTCCGGGAAAGAAAAAAACAATCAGCGAGGTTTGTACTAGGAAAGCACAGTTGCATACCACTGTAAACTGATCGCTCAGTTTGGATTAAAAAGGATGACATAAAATTCATGATCTTTTTCTTTAACGAGCGAACAGGTGGGAGAGTCGAGACCACTCTTGAAACCATTTTATTAGTATAGGTAATAGCATGATTAGTAGTGGTATTTGGCATAAATACCACGAGTGATATTTCAAAATTGTTATTCGTAATTTCACGAGCCGGTATGCGAGTGAAATTTGAGACAATTTTGAAATGTCACTCGTGGTATTTATGCCAAATATCACGTACAAATTATGCTATTATTTGTTTATACTACTACCCGCAAAAGGTTTGTAATTTTCACATGTATGTATTTCAAATTAAGTTGAAATACCACTGCTCTAAGCCAATCAAATTGCAGAAATTTCTCATGTAGTAGTATAAGGGTCAAAATGTCACTTTTTCGGTCAACAACGACTGGTTATGACTCAGGGTTGCTATAAGGTTTAAATCTGCAGCATAACATTCCAGTTTTATTGTCGAGAAAGTAACGAACAGATAACATATTTTTTTAGCTCCATCTGCCACGCACGTGTCATCATAAACAACAAAAACAACAACGAATTCAAGAGCCCAAGTCTTGTAAACCTTACCGTGCGAGCAGAGGCTACATTTTGGCGGTATGAGCTGGCGTGCGAAAAGTAGCTACTTTTCGCACGCCAGCTCATACCGCGAAAATGTACTGCCTCTGCTCGCAGGGTATGTAAAGCTAGTTTCAAAAATCACTATGAAGAGATTGGTGTACCTTTCATGGCGAACGTGATCCTGTTTACTTCAATCATTTTAAAAACTGAACTAAGTTTAAATCATATTTACTGTTTTCCAAATGTGCTGTGAGACTCAGTGGAACGCTCAAATCATGATAAGTTTGCACTAACACGCAACTGCACTAGAAGTTCTTAGTAAAAATTAAATAAACCTAACTTTAGAATCGAAGTTGTAACACTCTCCGCATACTTCTCGTGTACTTGTTTCAAATTAGTCGTCTTTTGAAGGTATATTAAAATCTGCGTACGTTTAATTCCGTAAAAGACACTGCGTACAAACATGTTTCTCTTGATGGGCAGCAAAAACCACTAAAAATATGGTTCCAATAGCCTTTGCTTTTTTGCGCAGTTATCCCATTTATGAAAGATGTAAACACCAAATGATACAAGGGCAAATACACCAAAAATATTATCTTTTTACAAAGCGCCAGTGGAAAGCCGAGGTCAAGATTCTTGGAGTATCACTTCTTTGTATATTTTACAATATGTAGAATTGTTTAATCTCATTTTCCTTCGATAAAGGAAAAGTATCCATATGATGGTTGTTCGTTCCCATTTTAATACTGTCTTGTCTTTCGTGGTTAATTTTATGTCCATTCAAATGATATCCATTCCTTCCTTGTGCCTTCACTAGATTTGTAAGCCTTTCAACCTCGTTGGCCAAAGTTTCAATTATTTTTTTGTACTTTTTCCGCTCTTTTCCGATTGTTGTCGTAAGTTCTTCGACTTTACGTTGTAGATCTTCGTTTCGCTTTCGTTCGTTGTCGATTTGCAGATGTAGTTCCCCGATCTTCATTTCAAGTTCCCGCATTTCCCAGGCAGAATCAGATCCAGGCTCTCGGACCGGTTCCTGCTTTACAACTTTGGTTTCTCTGGCCATCAGTTGCTGCTTTAACTGCAAAGAGAAAAAAGGCTCTTAATTCAGCTCTTTTGAAATATTGTGGGGAAGGCAATATCTCACTACATAGAAACCTAGTGGAACAAACGTTTCCCAATTCACTGAGTATTGTAGAATTACCTCACGATAGCATATAACACACCCCACGACACACAGGCTAGTCCCCTGTGCAGCCGTTATTTCAGTCAGTGTCTAGCCATACAATCCTCCTCCTATAAAATCTCTCGCTCCACTAAAACGGTCAACCCTTATCATTTCTCGAAAACCTTAATTAATCAACCTCAAATCGACGGACTCTCACAGAATTAATCTAGCGATAATAAAACCAAATCCACATAGGCCCTCTCTTCACAAATTTGCAAGCATTACGTTAGTCAATCCAAATCTATGCGTAACAACGCAATCACTTTCGAACTTAGTTCCCCAAAGAATGAACTGAACTTGAAACGATTGTACTCTTCCCGAAAAGATGGCAGATATAAATTTCAATTAAGGAAAGGTTACTTATCTAGATCACCACACGAAGCGCAGTTAACCCCAAATAAGACACAATAATCATCAAGTGATCATTTAATGAAATCCATTCCTTAAGCTATTGCTGGGATTGAAAATTATTTAAATTTTGGCCAGGAAAGTAAGAGATAAATTCAGCCATCCTTTACACGATAAGGAGACACCCATTTGAGACCACGCCCTTCCACCCTATCACCCAGAGAGGCACCTTTTCAGAATGGGAGCTGCTTATTATTACACTACAGTTGAACCTCTCAACAATGGTCACGTTGGGGGCAGAAGAAAGTGGCCTTTGTAGAGAGGTTTAAACAAGAGCCAGTGTAAGGACTGTCCGCCAAAAAAAGTGGCCGTTGTAGAGAGGTGGCCGTTAGTGAAGGTTCGACTGCACCAGCAGTCCATGAGGATTTTCGTGGGTGAGCTTGTTACTTGTGAGCGAATGAAGCAAAGGGTGACGTACTTCACACTCGGGTCGTTCGCTCTCTCCACAGTCCTGCAAGACTTGACTGACTTAAAGTTCGCGGCCTTATGTGCTGGCATTGCTCTTATTCACCAAGTACTGTCAAGTACAGAAAGGAAGCATTCTTCTTCCGTCAAAAATATCCTTTTCCGTTCAAATTTTTGGACGACTGGTTTATAGGGTTTTTATGCAGAGGCTTTGACAGCCTCGACTTTCAACATACCTTCTTATAGTTCTTGCCAGTTTTCTGTAGTGACTTGTAAGTCTGTAAGTACTTTTCATGGTGCGCCTCTGCCATTTTTATTGTCCGCATTGCGGCAACTGCGCAAAGCTGGCCTGCATTACTCTTGACCACGTGATCAAATGAGGAGTGTTTACCAGACTCCCACTCCTCAAAATGTTCCTCCCACAGATCCTCTTCGTAAATATTATCTCGCCCTAGGGCTAGAACGGGATCGTGGTGCTCTCTTCTATTTAGCTGGCTAAGTTTTTCATTGAGGATATCCCGCGTCTTTTCGTCTTCCTGTGAAAGCAGGCAAAATATGTTGACATCTACTCAGATGAAAAGTAAAGAAGGATACTACAGCTCCAAACAGACTCTAGCCTGTTCCAGAACCCTGTATTTTCTCTTCAAAGTCCGTCGAGCGTGCGTGATAAAATATAAACCGCGGGGGACTTATTGCCGGACCGCCAGCGAAAAAGGGTAGTGGTGGTGGGGGAAGAAGAAAATTGTTTTTCTTTCTCGCGCTCCGCGCTGGAAAAGAACGAAAAGAAAAATAAAACAACGTCTGTGTACAGTCTAAACAGGCTCCTGCTAATTAATAAGGTGGTTATCTTGTAGCACTTGTGATCCGAATCTTGGTGGTTCCAGCCTCGCTATGATTTTTTTAGTCACCTTCTATTCAGCTTACTGTAAAGCAAACAAAACCTAAGGAAGCCGCAAGGATTAGGGGGAGGGGGAAGGAGAGGGAGGGGAGGAGAGGAACTCAGGCTACATCCAGGTGTCTGAATGAATACTCGGAAATCGTCGAGGAAACTTTAAATAAAAGTTATCTGCTCTCCATTTGCAGGTACCAAACCCTCCGCCGTCAATATTAATGTTATCACTTTGTTTTTGTAACTAGCAGGAGCCCAAAGGTCGACTCATGGTGCGTTAGGTGCAGTCTACTTATATATTTAATGTCTCCACAAACGTCCGCGTAATTCAAAATGGCAGTAGAACTTCTAGGCTCTTTTGTAATCACTTTCAAGGTAGACTGTTCACAGTCCTCTATTTTCCCGTAAGATCATCGAGATCGAGAGCTTTGCGTTACGGGCTACCCATCTTGCCCCTCCCCCCCCCCCCGAGCTATAATCCCCGACGCCCGCCCCCTCGGTACATTTGAAAATCAAGAAAGCCGTGACGGTAAGACGCGGTATATCTAAACGATGTCACGAAAAAATAGGGGACTGTGAACAGTCTACTTTCAAGGTTCCTCAACCAGCCGAAGCTTTCTCTTTGAAACTTTGCTTATCTCATTCACCATTTCTCGCAGTCTAAACAGCAAACGGTAGATTTCTTTCTCTTAAAAGTCACAGCTGCACGAACAAGCGCGAACCGCCGAAAGAAGTTAAGTGATGAAACGAAACGTATATTTTAGCGTTTCTCCCCGATACCTCATCGCTCTCCCTTTTCCTCGCTCCAGAATTTATGTTTCACGAAAACTAGCAACAACAACAACAACAACCAACCATTTTATTTGCCAACTGAAAAAACGTTTACCAAAAACATTATAAATCAAAATAGATCAGGCAAAAAAATACTCAGAATAGCAAAAAACTAAACGAGCTGAGTAGTTTCAATAATATTACATTCACGGCCAACGCAAAAATACGGCTGTGGCTACTCGAAATCCTACTCTACTCTGATTGGCTCAAGTGGTTTTTTGGCGCGAAAGATGAATCCGAAAGTACACGTGATGATGGGTAGGAAGTAGCCTCCCACGCAGACGTTCTTAGAGGTTCGTCACGCGTTCCTGCCCCCAACCCCTAAGAACGTCTGCGTGGGAGACTAGGTAGGAAGCGATCGGTATAGGCTCTAGTTTTCAGAATATCCCAACCACTTTTCATAGATGGCACAAAAATTACATAACCTCAAGACAAAGGTGACACTAAACATACGACAAATCCGTTCCACACAACGTAACTATCATACCCGGAAATATATTAGCTAGGTTTTTTTTAACAGAATGTGCTTCGATGAAATGGAGCCCAAAAAAAGAAAAACGTTTTTTTACCATAATCGGTACCCTCATCCCGATAATCTGAACTTCGATCTGCAACACGTTTATACGGAGGTTCACTACAATGCCGTTATCAGAGGCAGTGGGGTAGATTATAAAGATCGCGTGGTGTCAATATTGAAAACAGCTGTGAAATCAGTAAATCAGTGTAAAATAAATCGAAGGAAAATTATACCACAAGACCTTTAGTTCAAAGCTAAGAAAACAAAATTATATAAAGGTCTTAAAAGGATAACCTCTGCTGTCACCGGACAGTCTGGAAAGTATTTAAACTATGGGAATATAACCCCAGCAGACGTATCTTTAGACGAAATAAGATTTATTCAAAGCCGCTTAATTGTAGAAAAGAAAAAATTAAAAAAATTCATCAGATGTGTCAAAAATGACCTGTGCTTAACCGTTAAAAATTGACATTAGATAATTTTAAAACAATAGCTTATTCCAGATGGTTTGTGTATATTTCGGGCACAATAACGGCGTCCCAAAAGCACATGGTCTTTTCAATATATTCATTTCATATCCGAATCTGTCTGAAAAAAAAAAAAACATGCCGACATGTATATATGATGTAGATTTTATTTTACATTTATCCCCCGCTGTTTAGTCCCGAAAAGGACACGTTCATTCTTTAAGAACACTGTGAAAAGCCGGGCGGTATATTTCGGCATTGTTTCAAAACTCTTGAGGTAAAATATAATGTTTGTCCAAAGTTTGGAAAAACTCCTTTTGTAAACTATAAATTTGGTCATGTTTTTTTTAGTTCGCTGTGCAAGAGCTTTTAAAGTGCTGTCTAGATACAGATGACAAGATGACAAAACTGTTATGACATTTTGTCGAGAACAACTTCGACAAATCGGGGTAATACTAAACCGTATATTAAAGTAATCTTATTTATCGCCTGTACCAACAAAGCGCGATCTGCCGGCGAGGTCAATACGACGGTGGTGGATTTGTAGAAAAACCTTGCAATCTCCGGAATTTAAAGTCCGAGGAAGACAAAGGTTCTCCAAAATTGCCGATAGGAAGCAATCACCCACTGCAATACTACTCAAATAATAGAAACAAAATCTATGCATAAAATTTTCCACGTTTCGTGCGAGGGTGAGAGCATCGATTTGATGGGCTTTTAATATGGCGTGCTTTTATGATGAAATCTCGTTATCTTGCCGCAAATAAGGTCTTCATAACCTGGAAGAACATACACCTGAGGTTTATTGGGCACCCAAGATTCATGTTTGTTCTTAATTGAAATCTACCCGTGAGTCGTAAGAAAATAACTTACGCAATGCATGCGTCAAAGTCTCGCGTTTAAGTACCGGTATCTATCAAGTCAAGCCACCATCGGCAGGTCTCAGTTAACTTAGTTGACTATTCGGTGTATACAACATCTAAGAAAGATCGAAATATTGATGCCCTTCACCGAGAATACTGAGACGAGATTAATAAATTATGAATGTAAACTGGTGGTTTTGTTTCGCAAAGTTATATACGGCGTGTTCGATTGTATGTTTTCGAACGATCATGGAACAGTAAGGTCTCTTGTACTTACGTGACCGGAATGGTGAAAAAAATCTCGAAACTCGAACGGCAATGAACGAAGCGGAAAACTATTTACATGCAAGATAATAGGGAAAAAGGAGCGCCAAAGAGTGATATCCGTCTGAAATAACACGTTCATGATTGAAGGAATCTTGAACTCTTCAATGTACAACATGGAGCATCAAGGTTTCTTCTGTGGCTCGCTCGAAGCGCGCGATCGGTAATACTGTGTATACTTTAGCTACTTTAAGATAAACAAGATAAAAATAATATCAAAACTGTACAATACAAACCAGCAATAGATCGATAATCTCCTCTTTGAGTTGGAGCTCTGCTTCAAGAAACAGCAACAACTTCATCATATTCTCAAATCTGCGCTGACCACTAGCGTTAAAAATCTCTCCAGTTGGAGAGTACGCCATAGCACGCGATTTGTATTCGCAATAATCCGTGAACTTTTACTCGAAGAACGGTATGCTGTGACCGGAGACAGATGAAAATAAAGAAAATCTCTTCCTGTGCGCTGTCACATCTGTTGACAGCCAATTTTTCGCACTGTAATGACGTGCAAAATTGCTTTGTTCCCGCTCTTTCTAGCGTAATGATCATTCAACTGAATGCAAACACTTCACTGACACTCGTTGTTACGTCAGTGCAAATATGTGTAATTTTTGTTCCTGTGGATCATCAGTGGCATCAGAGGTCAGGCAAACACTTCCAGGAATTTGTCGTCAAATATCGCGACGAATATCACCCTGAATTGTGTGCTTCTAAGACTTTTTTCACTCGCTTAATTTGCATTCTCTTTCAGCCATTGATTTAGTTATCACTTGCAAATAACCCCAAACTTTGTATGACAAAGGAAAAGTTCCTCAGCGATAAATGTTGACATCACTGTCATAAGAAACAGCCATTCAGAGATCAGCTTTATAATCGGTCGTTTTTAATATATATGTTAAAGCAATCAATATCCAAGTGTCAACTATTTTTACGAAATTCACTCATTTGAAAACTATCGTACAATGATGACATATGATGATAAAGTGAATCCTGATATGATACTTATACATCTTCCATATTATACGCCGATTAACAATTAGATAACAGGTAAAAAGTTAACTAAAAATAGTATAAAATAAAATTTGTTCCTAGTGATCAAGACATAAAGCAAAGGTTGTTTTAAACTCTGACCAGTTTTACGGGCGCTCTTTTTTTATAACACTTCCGCGTACTTCCGAAGCAAACTACCATTTTTTTGCTCAAAAACCACTTCACCGAATAAGATTCATACACCCAAGAGTTAACATGCTGTTACCAAGGAGGCTAAATCGGTCAAAGCAGAAAATCTGGCTTTTTCAAATGGTATTTTATGCGAAAAGTGTCAGCTGATAGATATAACCGATTTTATAATTAATTGTTAGAAAACGCGTTTACGGCCGAACGTCAAACGTGAATTTGTACCATACATGCGAGTAAGTTTCTCCTTTACTTGTCCTTCTCTATATGCCAATTAAATTCCTTACCTCTATAATACGGACACCTCTGTAAAGCGGACAGTTGGTTCTGTCCCTTTGGTGTCCATATTATAGAGGTGTGACGCGATTTTCCTTCCTCAAAAATCACGCAGTGTTCTTCTCTACCAAAAAAACATCCCAACTCAGGGAACATAAAACGTTAAATCTGATACGGAAAACATACTAAAAAAATTTCACTAGTTGTGAAAGGAAATGATCTCTGGCCTCTGGTTGAGTTTGGTACCGTGGATAAAATTAAACGTGGGTGGAAATTTGAGATTAGCCTCCTAGCAAGCTCTCCATTTAGGGGAATTAAGAGAAGTCACGTAAGAGCAGCACGTGAAAGGAGACGCGAGTGCCCCTCCTCTCGACTCGCTTTCCTCGTCATAAATGGTGACCCTGGAATGGAGGGCTTGCTAGCAGGCTGAATTGAGATAAATGAATCACGCACACACGAACATGAAAAGTTGTCACCCTCGTACCCATGCAGCGTCTCCTTTCGACCCTCTTGACGCTTCGTCAAGCCAGCCTGCAGAGTACGCCGGACGAGGATTCCAGGTTTATACGAAACTGGAAAAGTTGCACGTTTCCGTCAGTTGACTAGAAATACCAGAATGCTCTAAAAAATTTTGTTTCCTTGCGCAAATTAGGGCGACTGTGACTGGTAATAAAACTTGCCACTATACATGTCTTGCTAGAATAGGCAAATTACACGATGACGTCGTTTGACTACTATTTTCAGCGGTCTTGCCCGGTCGACTATAAAAGGCACATAGGCATGCATTAATTACCATTTTCGAGAGAAGACACAAGGATCTCATCATGGCTTCATTAAACGAGCTCTTCATGCTTCTCCTCTCCCCTTACCCCCTCCTCGTCATCTCTTTACTGGCTGGCTTTCGCACGATCTTCTCTTCCTCCTGTTTTTGTCCCCGTCTTTTTTAATTTTCAGGTCGTCGCTTTAGCCGTTGTTGGTAAGTATTTTGGTTTGCAACCACGTCCAGGTTGCCACGTGTTTGACATTCGGTCCGGTCACCCATTAATTTCAAGGTTGGTATTTTACTTTTCTCTCTTGCTTCTGTTTTATTTTCGTATTTCGCTCATTGGTAATGTATTCTCAGTGTTATTTTTGCTCTGGTTGTTTATTGCTTGTCATATTTACCTTTTACCTTCAACCGCACCTGGGATTTCAGTGTTACAAGGGATTCTAAAATTCCCTGTCCGATCACTGGCGCTTGGGAATGCTATCCTTTGAGCCACGTTTTTCCTGCACTTGTTCTTACGATTTCGTTTTGTCTTTCAGGTGATGGTTTTCCTTTACAGCCATTCCTTTCCTTTGGGTACCGTGTTTGCATTTGGATTTTCTGGCTTTGTTTTTTTCTCTAACTAATATTGTCCGGCTCTTCGGTATGATAACAGTCATGTTTTTGCACTTTGTTTGTCCTATATATCCTGGAGTCTGCTTCCTGTATGCGGATTTAAAGTCTGTCGTTTGATACTTCCTTGGTCCGAAGTTTGTTCTACTTGCCGCTTAAATTTTTTGAATGCAGTGTTACTTGAATGTGCTTTACAAGCATGCTGCTATTCCCGTTGGGGTTTTTGCAGGTACGTGTTGTTTTTGTCTGTTTGACTTGCCTTATCTTACATATTGCTATTTGGCTTGTGCGTTCGCTTGCTTGCGTATATTTTGTTGTTGTTTTAGCAAAACTCAGAAATTATTTGACCTTCTGTATTTGCTTCATGGCCTTTTTGTTAGTGTTGTTGTTGTTTTGAGCGAAACCCAAAAGGTTTCGTGCTTCAGCCGTTAGAAGTTAATTGACGTTCTCTTCTTGTCTCATTGCTTGGTTATATTTTCAGTTGCCGTCTTGGGCGAACCCAAAAAGTTTCTCGTTCTAACCGATGGAAGTTAATCGGTTTTTATTTTGCCTTATGGCCTTGTTGTTTTGGTACAAATTTTTGTTGTTGTTTTTGTTCTAGAAAACCTTTAAAAAGACCTAGAAAACGTTTAGTACCGTTTAGTACCTATTTCACGTGTTTAGTAGCCATGGCCTATTATATAACAGGGGAGGAAACACGAAATGCATTCTGGTAGTTGTAGCCATTCGACATATAATGGCCATTTAGCGGCTGAGAGATCTGATCAATGAAAATTTTCCATCCATCCTGTAGCAGTTAATGCGTTGAACACTCGTTTTGTGCCGGAGATAGGGTTTATCGTTTCATATATATTTCCATGATTTAAGGTGCATTTGCGAGAAACTTTTTAAAGCAGTGATGTCCGACAACTTATGTTGATAACTCAAACAACTAAGACAACTAATACTCCAATTATTATCTTAAACTAAAACTATGTGAATATTAAAACAATGAGCCTTTAAAAAAACCTTTGTTCCGATTGCGTTAGACCTATGTCAAACTTGACGAGAAAGGCTCTGTTCTATAAAATAACAATTTTACACGTTGAAAATAACCTTTCATGATTGCGCTATCAGCCAAGGTTAAATTTAATTTCAAGGGACAATATCAAATTTACAATGTCTTGTCTTTAACGTTAAATCGCCAAAAAATTCTGCTCTAAGGAGAATAATGCTTTTTTATTGACGTTATTACCAGCATTGCCTCATGATTAGATAATTAACAATAAAGGAGATAAATATTTTGTTAAAAAAATTATGCGTATGCAGTTTAAAGACTTCTTTAAATATTGTTCGTATGATTTACCTATCACTTTCGTATTTTTCTTTCACATAAAAATTTGAGTATGAAATAACATTGATGAATATTTCAGTTACTTACTTTGTAATAATTACGTATTTGCTTACACATACAATCATTTGCTATGAGATCAAGTATACTAATCGTTATAAGGTCGGCTGCGTGATTTTACACTCGTTAAACCTGCAGTCTGCTTGTACAACGTTCTGCCCAATATACGTAATGCAGACATCAACAATTTTTTCGATGCACATATTCAAGTAGCTTGATCTATCGTAAATGCTGCGAAAATTGAAAATAAAATAATTTAAGGGACTAACCCTATTTCTCAAAATAACTTTCGAATTTGGATCTTTCGATTTTGATTTTCCAACCTTCAATGATCTTAATAAGCCTTGTTTTCACATAAAATAACTACCTGATAGTAACGTTTTCTTAATTTATATTTAAGAATGTTAACAACGATAAATACAATATGGCGAACCACACCCAAACACTCTTGTCTTTGCAAACCCCCCTCCCTCATAAAAAAAGAAAACTATCACACCATGTTTACTTACAAATTAATAACCACTACACTGTACGTAAGCTGTAACCTACAGTACATGTAAATAAACATTTAAACCATTCTACAATTACACCGGCTTCAAATCTTACTACTTAACATATACTTCGGCGAAGTTTGAGTTTTGGGCTGGCAACTTGGATCTCTTACATACCAAGACTGCTTACTCTGTTAAGTAAATCCATACACTAGGTGGATACATCAGTGTAGCTCAATAGAGCTAGCTAAACTGATTATTCGAGATGAAATCAAGTCTAGGCATGTACCGATGTGTGTGTACAACAACCATACAGAGGAAAACTACAGAGTAATTCTTTCGGGTGGTGCTAGATTATAGATTACTACAAAGGTACAACATCTGGAGAAATGTGGACACAGGATTTTAAAGGTTTTTATCCCACTTATCCTCTCTTAGTTCACTTTATGCTTTTAACTTCTGTACTTTCAAGGAACTATTTACAAAAAAACGAACAAACCAAGAACAGAAAAGACAACATCGGGAAAGGACACGATTATATATTACCTTTGTTTTAGTTAAACAGAAAAACTGTAATAACACTTTTACGATATTTTCATTAAAATCTCTAAATTAGTGTTCATCTGTCCCCACAAGCTTCCTTTGATTTGAAGTTGTTGCTTGTGTCATAAATGACATAAGCAACTTTCAACAAATCTTATAGATAACATTTCTACATACATTGTACATTCACTGAAGATATATAATGTATCTTATTTAGATTCGAAAGCTCTCTTTCTTTCCATCAATGTGCCTCAGCCGCAAATAAACATCAGTGCCCAGGCCCTCCAAGGATTGCAGTTCGAGGGAGCCTCCGAGGTATGTAGCATATGCTCGTGAAGTAGGCAGTCCAAATCCCCAGCCTGCCATTGGCCCCCCGCTGGGAGAATTGTTTGGGTGCCCTTTGCATAAATCAGAGAAGATGTTGGTGTCATCAGAGGGTCTTATGGTGCTGCGATCACCCATGGTGGTGTAGGAATACTTAAATATGTCTTGGAGCTTGGACTCGGGAATACCACCTCCACGATCTGAAACCCTGAGGGGAACAAAAATTGTTATTTTGTTAACAAAATTATTGTCTACTGGTAGGGTCACTTAAGTCCAAAGGTTTATGTGGTTGTAAAGTTGACAGTTGACTTGACCACTGTCAGAAATTTCTGCAAATAACTCGTGAAATATTAACCTGAGAACATTCAGTAGTTGTTTTAATAAGTCACTCAACTGTTCATCAAAATATTATTATGACTAATCAATGGGCCACGTGTATGCCCATGTATACCCCAATACAATAGTGCAAATCAACTGGGTTGAGGAAATTTCAAACAGTAGAACTAACCTTTGATACCAAATCCTTCACCGCTCATATTCAAAGGGGAAGCAGATCTCTTATGTTTTCAGCACATTTTATGAGGAAATATTAGAGGTTAAGAAAACTCCGGGACATGTATTTTTCCTACCCTGTAAGCAGACTCTCCTTCGCTCTTCCTTTCTCTGCTCGCAGGCTCTCCTTCGCTCTTCCTTTCTCTGCTCGCAGGGCAATTTTTCCAGAAAATGAAATACAATTTGTTATAAAAGAATAATATTGTGGTCATCAACATCAACAAGATGGTATTTTTACCTTACATAGAAGTCTGTATCATTACTGCATAGTGTAACAACAATGTTTGGTACTTCCAGAGGTCTGTCCAGATGATGCTCCACACTGGCTCTGGATATGAAACCAAACAGATATCTCATTATAAAGAAACAAACAGTACCATTGTATTTTGATGTTTTAAGTCCATCACTAAAATGATTTTTCCATTCAATATGGATTAGAGATTTTGATATTTCAGTTTCATTGGGCTTAGGGGTGAAGGGTATTGGGAGTGGTCAAAGAACCATGGCAAGGTTCGAAAAAAGTCCAACCTGATCATCTGGGACAAGTAGACTTTTCTGTCAGGCAAATACTTTTTTGCCCATCTAATATGACAAATGTGCAAAGGCCTTGGGGGTGAGGTGGGTGTTCTCACATATATGGGCTGTATAGGTATTATTTTGCCGCTCAACATGGCATGCTTTTTCCCTCTCTGACTTCGGAACAGGGTATACAAAACCACTCGTTATCTCTGGAAGAAGGGTATATTTTACTTCATTTTGAATCCGGAACAGGGTAGATTTATTGTCAATTAAGATTAGGTGCACTATTGGGATACCTGTACACAGATTGAGAGGTGTTGGAAGGTGGCCACAAAAACAGTGAACCCTAACCAGCTTCTATGTAACACACACTAAATAAAATTGCTTTTACTCAGATGGGTGAGCAGTCTGTACCTCATAGCATTCTTCAGAAGTTCTTGAAGGATGTACTCTAATGGTGCAGGAATGTAGGGAAAGACTGCTTGTGTATGACCATTGACAATAAGGCCTGGGGCTATACCATATGTGTGCTCACACACTTGCCTGCAATGAAAAACACTAAGTTACGCTAAGGTTTTAATATACTAGCTGTCATATTATAATGATAATATATTAATTATTAGTTGGAGAGAATATAATTATAGATTTATCTCAGTGATCTTGGTGATTCAAGCAATCTGATTGGTTCGCTATCACGCACTATGACGTTACATTCGCCGCCTATTGTGAATGCTTTTTTTGCCAAAGTTTTGAAGTAAGAACTTTTGTAGTGATATACCTCCCTATATAGAAGAGTTTTCTGGTACCAGTAATTAAAAGCCACATGATAAAGTGACATTTTGGATAATCAACACATTATTATTATAAGAAGTGACAGGAATATTTGAATGATTCCCTTTTCCTTAAACCAACTGTTCACACAGTATGCTTGTGTTATGTGTAAGGATAACATCAGTAGCCACTTGATACTGAGCAGGAGTGTCTTAATACTTTCATTCATGATTACTTTTAACATTTTCGTTATCCTGATCTTGTCATCAAAAAATATTTCAAGTAGGGACTGTGAGGCTTGAAAAGAAATAATACCTTGCGAAGTCACTGCATCTTTCAACAAGTTGTCTAAAGTTTAAATGGGTACACACAATCCCTATGTAGTTTGGCTGAAATGTAAACAAAAAAGTGGCCAGTTAGACAAGGCATGACAAAACAATAATCAAGGGGTGAGGTTATAACCACTATGTACAGACAGTCTCCCATGTACACATTGTTTCCCTCTCATTGTCTGTGATCTGCTACCTTGAATTTTTCTATGCTACAGAAAACCTCTTCTTAACACTCACTTTTGTGCAACTACACAGCACTGGAAGTTTTCCTGAGGATGAAAGCATAGTACAACTTTACCTTGTCGATGCTAAGAGCAAGATGATGTTCTGCCAACATACGGATTCCAAGACGTGATGTCAGGGTACGATTAAGAAATGCATCTATTGTTTCATACTGGAAACAAAATTAATAGGAACAAAAAAGTAAAGGAAATAAGTAAATAACCATCAAAAAAAGGAAAAATTACATATCCTAGCTTTTTCTTTCACAATGTGTATAGCATGCACCATGATTTTGTTACAATTAGTTATGGTGAGTCCTGGGACTCATCTTGTGAAAAATTGCGAGTCCCGGTGAAGAACTAATGAGTCCCTGTATTACAGTTTAATGAAATAAAAATATACTCCTTCTATTGTAAAACACAACAAAGACTAAAAGAAATATGCACTGTTAAACAATAGGCTCAAGAACAGCCACAGAAATCACACGAACAGGATATTCTACAAAAACATCTTCAGATTGATTGACTGATTTTTGCATCCTTTGGGACCCATGTCATGAATTGTTCTGCATCTTTGGGCATTTTTATGCATCAAGGATGCAGGACGTGGAGGGAACAAAATCACTTCATGCAGATGAATCTGGTACAGATCTAAATGTTCATATAATTTTGATACTCAATGGTCAAGGAAGCCTGTAATAGAGAGAACTCATTACATCACATTGCCATGGTAGCAAAATATCTGGATGACAACAAACCAAAAACGTCACTTAAAAATTGAAATTGCACTGTTTCAACCTACAGTGTAGATCGACCTTATTCAGTTTCATCTAATTTTCAAATGTTGGCGTAATATTCTAAAGGACAATATCTAAGTTAAGGAATCTTTTTCTGTGCTGTGTTCACCTACTCCATTAAGCGGGTTAGCGAAATTAGGAAGTTTCATGTAGCAGTCGTGCAATGACGGCCAAGAAATGTACAAAAAAGCATGATGCACCTGCTAAGTTGTTGTTTTGCTAATCTTGTCCTGTTGCTTTTTTGCCGTTCTCATTGCCTTTGCTGTCGTTGTTGTTTAAGCTCCCTATTGTTGCGATCTAGAAATTTGCTACAGTGGTAACGTGACGTCACACTTCTCCTCTCTATTTGCAAGTGTACTGGAAAACAGGACTGTGTATATTGCCATTTTTACAATCATTATATTTGGGGGCAGGAGAAGCATGGTTCAAAACTTCCCCTCTTGTTTAGAGGTTATTTGACCACTTGTCACCAACACTGCATTAGCGATTCTGAACAAGATGAAAATTAACCTTAAAATCAACCTGTCATGTGTGAACTGATAGTGGCTTCAACTTACTGGTACATTTCGCTGACATTCATGGAATCCCTCTGCAAGGTTGGTGACAACATTCTGATGGTCATCCAAGAGCTGTCTGATAATACGATTGTATCTCTCCTCCAATTCAAGTGTTTCCACCTAAAAGTCAGATTACATAGGCATTTCAGATGAGAGCAAAAATAATAATAATAATATTTTAATACTATATAATTCTTATTAGTTACTACTGCATGTACAGTGTAAACTTTGTGGTTACATTTTCAGTGTGATCTTATCTCCTGAGTAGATATATCTGTATTATTATTATTGAATAATAGAATGGTATGTGATTGAAGCTCTCCTACATGATAAACCACTTCCTTGCAGGGTATATTCTCAGGATTGGCCGATGAGGGCAACTGATGGGTCTCCTACTGAACAACACAAAGGACCCTTTTCCAAGAGAGAGGATCCAAGACATTTAAACATTTTTGTACTACTTCACCACTATGCAGAGTTTTAGGTGAATGCTGGGATTGGCCGATGAGGGCAACTGATGGGTAAAATTTTACTGATCAATTTTACAAAGGATCCGGATATTTTTTCCATCATGATATTACAAAGAATTCAGCAATTCAGATGGATCCAAGACATTTAAATTTTTTTTGTACTGATCAAAACCATTCAGCCCTAGCTTGCTGAGAGCTTTTTTAGGTGAATGCTCGAAAAAAGTTGCGAAAGGCCCAGAAAACGCTGCAAATCATCTAAATTAAAATTGCCACTTAACAGTGAAACTGGCCGGCCCTATGTCTGACAAAATCCTAGATGTGTAAACACAAGTTGATCAAGAAACTTAAAAAAATAATAAGTATATAGCAACATTACTGTTCTGCTAATTAATTCAAAACATGCATGTTATGCACTAACCTTGGGAAATTTGTTAAGCACACTGAAAGCTCTAAGGTACAACTCATACTGCAATTTAGAACAAAAACAAGTATTCATCAATTTAAGGCATCAAGTCACATGTCATATACAGGTATTCATCAATATCTTATTAAGGCATCAAGTCATATGTAGTGTCAACCTCATTATTCAACTAAACAGTTTTTACTTTATCTACATATGTACTTTTGAAGCATGGCAGTATAGTCTCTCCAACGGAGTGTCGAGGAGAGACTATGATGGCAGCAAATCCTGAGACTAACATCTGACTGTGGAAAGTGTTTCCAGCACTTCTACTTGTTCTTTGTTTTGTTTTCAGTAATCTTTGACATTTTTTCACACGAAAATGTGTTTTTGTACATACAAGTTGCTATGCCCATGACAGTGCAATGTGTACACTGTATGCATTTTAGATCATGGATGCTTTTTTCTCTGTTATTCAAAAAATTAATTTATGCATTAAATGTGTTGCATTAGTTCACTTCATCGTAACTTTACCTACCACATCATGGATGACTGGATTACACAGTACAATATGGGGAAGTTTTTGAAAGTCAACAACTCGACGTGCAATGCGAATAGGTAATTCTTTCCTAAGAAACTGAGCACTCTTCTGAAATTTAAAGAGGAAATTATCACAAGTGTTCAACTTTCTATGAAAAAACAGAAATAACAAACTGTGGCCAAATATTACATGGTCTTTAGAATATACATCTCCTGGTCACTCATATAACTTGGGAATGAAATTAATGCTTGAAATTTAACCCTTTAATCCCCAAGAGTGATCAACATCAAATTTCTCCTTGTAATAGCAATGCTTTGTGAAACAGAGTGGTCATGAGAATTACGGACATGATCATACAAGATGAATTTGCTTGATACTTTATCAATGTCTCCCCACTTCTGTAGCAAATGAGTAGAGGCAACAATGAGAAGTCAAATTTTGATCTTAGGGTTTAAAGGGTTAATGCTTTTTCTTGCTGGCCTCCAGAAAAGAATTAAAGTAAACAAAAGAAAAATTATTAAGCTACCACACTACATTTGATTGAAAGACCCCAAGCACCTGCCACACTGCACAGCGACATGTCACAGTGAGCATGGGGGTATGGGGCTCCATTGATTGGGGGGGTGTTATGAAGTGAGCCTTATAAAGTGAATTCAATGAACTTTGAGCAACCAAGAAAAGAATTTTACCCAAGAAAATGACACCTTTATTTACCCACATTTGCTTTAATTTTGAATTCATAGTATATAGTTGTCTTTGTTATTACTCTCTCTCGTCAATTGTAAATTAAGATAAATATCTTTGGCACTTGTGTGACAATTAGATGGCAATTTATCCCAGCCACTGAAGCTTCTAGAGAACAAAAATGTTCAGTTGTTATGTAGGCTGGCTTAGTTGTTGTGTAAATATTGGAGGGTTGATTTTTGTAGCATTTGAGAGATCTTTGCAAACTAGTGCAAAATGGGCCGGTCTGGCTCACGTGATCAGCCTCTAATAGGGGCACCCAATGACTATTTTTTTTGAAAACGTCTGCTTAAAGAAGTGAATATGGCCTAGCATTACCTATAACTTCAGGAGGTCTAAAAATGTCTAGATGGCCACTCTATTCATGTTTCATTTTTCAAGCTTATCAAATAAATTCCAACAGTTTTGTAAAGTTTAATTCTTCAGGTTAAGGCATATTTTGAAGAAAAAGGATTTAAAAATGTGATAGAGAGAGGAATCAGAAAAATTCTTATCTACAAAAAGCATTAATAAGTTGCATCTGAAATTTTCAGGAAATAATACTGAAAAGACACAAGTTACCCTAAAATGACCAAACATACACAAATTTCATAGAGCTGCTCAGAATGCATTTCTCGAGAAAAGTGTTTTCAGTGTATTCAGGAGGAAAACTTCATCAGGTGTCCCTGCTCAAAGTCAAGCTTAAGTTGGTCTTTGTTTACAGAAGCTGTAAATACGTCAGTGAGCCATTTGTAAACCGCAGGGAAAAACCCCAAATATGATAGAGTTAGGCACAAAAATAACTTTGTTACAAATTGCCAATATGTTAATTTTTAACCAGCTTTCCTTCTCCAAACGTAATTGAAAAAATTACGTACTGTACATGTACTATAAACAGTGCTACACGGTTTACCAATGAAATTCCTCTTTTTCGTTTTCCCTTTACGGCTACGAGCCAAATAATGTCCAAATACAGTTTGTCACGGAAACAGAGCAGCAAGGCAGAATGAAACATGATATTGCACGTTGTTGCGACTAACTGACTAACTTTTTTTAGAAACAAAGATCAACTTACCAGTAAATGCGTTCCATCTTTAAATCTACCGGCCCATAGCATTTGAAACGGAGTAAGTCGAATAGAGGACTAAAAGATATAATATAACAAGTAAACTTAAAATTAAATTCATGTCAGAAAAACAAAAACGTTCAGCCACAGTGTAAACAAAGGGTTGGAGAAAAGATTGCTAAATTTTTGAGGCAAAATACTCAATAAATCTTAAGTATCTCCGCGATAAAAGAGAATAATTGTTGCAAGGATGTGCAAAACGTCCTCATCAGCAGAATTCTTGAAATTTTAAGCTTGACAAACCTTGGAGGCTGCTTCATCTAAAGACTGTTGTTTCACGTTGGACCACACTTGCGTTTGCGAGCCAAACATATAAGTATTGCCCCTGATCTGTACCGCGCTGCTTGGGGAAATCGGCAACCGGTACTTAGAGCTGAGAGGTGACTCCAAGAATGTCCTCATACACAGACGACTCATGGCGAACAAATGATTCTTTCACATAAAACAAGAAAACGACAACAGCGATTTCACAACAAACAGCCCCGTCGGGCGTTGTAGGATTCTTCCATAGAACACTAACGAAAAGGTCGATCGTCCATTCTTCAGCAAAAAGTGGCCAAGATAATCAGCTTTTGCTGAAAATATGTTTAAAACGACGAAAGAAAGGCAGGGACTTTCTGAACTTGGCCTACATTTTTTCAAAATTTGTGTCAGCGATTGGTTTTACACGCTGTTCTCAGCCGCGGGCGCTGACTTGTTAGCCAATCAGATTGACGCGATTTCAAGAGGTCGATTGGACTGTTCATGTGGGACTCACGTGACAATTTCCAGCGTGACGATTCTCCGCAAATCCCCTCTCTTCATTTGAACTTTTGACAGGTTGATTATTTATGAGCTTGTGGTGGGGAAACACACCATCCCTGGACCCGCCTGAACCCGCCTATTCCAATGTTGGTAAGCTTCCTTCAGGGCCCAGTTGTTCGAAAGGCGGTTAGCGCTAACCCGGGGTTAAATTTTAACCCGGGTTTCTTTTTCTTTTAATGAAAAGCACTCACTCGCATAATTTTCTCTTTTCTTTTTAGAGTATCCAGTCATCAAATTGTAGGCAAAGTGAATTAAACTGAATTTGCTTTTTAAGCTCTCATATATATCTGAGTTAAATTTTCGCACTAACCCTGAGTTATCTTAACTCAGCTTTGAGCAACCCAGCCCTGGAAACTTCTCATTTGAAAACCGTCAAAAAACCTCATGCATCATGGATCATGCAAGAACGTGATGCAGACACATGGATACGGGTGTCTCCGAATGAAACGGCCGGAGATGCTCGTGTCGCTGGGACTTGTTTACGAGGAGAGAAAGGGTAACTTTTGTCCTCAGTCCGATTTTCAATAGTCCAGGAATAGTGAATCTTCTTTACCTTCCTTTTAATGGAAAGAAAAGACTTAGAAACATTTCAGTTAACGGCACAGAAAGGGAAGAATAGGTGAGGGATGCACTCTAATTTTTATGGGCAAATAAGTGGGTCAGATTTCCCTTGGCCCTCTTCTTTCTTAATTGATACACTTCCGTGCAGCATACATTCACTTACTAGAGCGTCTACAAAGGATGAGAGCCTGGTAAAGAGTTATTTTGGGAACCAGCCCGTGGCAGTATATAAACGAAGACAGCAAAATATTTTCTTCAAAGAACTTCACACCTATAGAAGAAACCCGGAAGAACAAACCCTCGGAGAAAACAATAATGTCTGGAGATGCGACCCAACCAACAACGATCAGAGGCTCGCCTACAAAGTACGTGAAACTGAATGTTGGAGGGTCTCTCCACTACACTACAATCGGAACTCTCTCCAAACAAGATAGCATGTTACGAGCGATGTTTAGTGGCAGAATGGAAGTTTTGACAGATACTGATGGTATGTTTTGGCACCTGTAGAATTTGATTCTATTACCTCGACTCTAAATGGGCTTTATTTTGCTAAATTGTAGGCCTATATAGACTGATTCAAGTTCTAATTTGCGTGTCTTTATGATACACGTCCTCGTTGATAACATTTCTGACAGTTTCAGCATTATAATCTCGGTAGTGGCTGTCATACAAGATAAATAGAAAAAAAGAGGTCGCCAAGTTTCTGTGAAATATTAGTCTCCAGAAAAAAAATACGCTTATGTTTTTCTTAACACAAAATTTTTAGTTGACGTAGCATACTGGTATGTTTTTTTTCCCCTTATGAAGTCACGTTTTCTGTGGGTCAGAGGATTTCTTCAAATTGCATTATAGGGGCGTGGTCGACAGCAACTTGGAAACAAATTTCCCTGTTTTATGCTTGGAATTAGATGTATCCAGTCAACTGATGTTGTGTGAACTCCCTGGCACTATTTGTTGTTAGCAGGTGTTTTAATAAAAACCTGTTTCCAGCAGTCTGAAGGCACAATCTCTACCCTCTCCCAAGTCTAGTCATCGATCATCTCCTTTTGGGGAACGAGTACGGGCTCATTTTCCCAAGCAGGGGCTGGCAATTGAGCCTAAGTGAAGTTAATCGGAAGTTGGTTTTTGAAGAGGTCTGCAAACTTTTATTCAGTGTTGTCAAAAGAGAATTCTACAGTCACCATTGCAATGTTCTATATTGTTTGCGATGAGACAGTCATGTGTGGACTTGATGTCATTTCAAACAATTAATTTAAAAATGTGCTTACCTCTCAGAAATTAGATCTATAAATAACTTTAGAGAAATTCACATATCCTGACGAGTGCCCTAATATTCTCTCTCGATTTTGAACTTCCACAAACAACACATAAATTTGTCTATAATTTACATTAGCTTGGAGAGCTGTTAGGTGCATATGGAGAAACAAAACAATTTCTGTTGCTTGAAATCTTTCATTGAAGGCAATAAGTATTTATTGTCACTTTATTGATTAGGTTGGATACTCATTGATAGATGTGGAAAGCATTTCCCTCTCATTTTAAACTTTTTGCGTGATGGAAGTGCACCCTTACCCCAGAGTGAAGTGGAGCTGCAAGAGCTCTTGATGGAAGCCAAGTATTACTTAATAGAACAGCTAGTAGAATTGTGTGAAAAAGCGCTGGAAAAGAAAAAGGAAGAGCATGATCCTATCTGCCGCGTGCCACTTATAACATCTGCTAAGGAGGAAAGACAACTTGTGACTGGTAAAAAGGTAAAAAATAACTTTTGATACACATTTTTTATCTATAGTTACTCAACATACTGAGAGGCTGCTCCTGGGGATGCGACCCCTTACCATTTTATACACCATTTTTGGCAGAAAAAGTGCTCCTCTTATATAACTTCTACACTCACATATCTAGTGTACCTTATTATCAGAAATAAAACACTTCATGAAATTATCATTAATTTAAGTTGCGATAATTCCTGTAAACAGCAATTTCTGTGCCATTAATTTATTAGTGGTGCATTAATTTCGGCAACCTTAATTTGCAATATATTATTGGCCCCAAATCCTCGATACTTCTTTGACGTTCTTGACACAGGTGTAAGAAAGAGGAGTATTTTATCAGGGTGGAAATCCGCCAGTATCAGCAAAACTGTGAAGAGCCCGTCTCATCACTTGACCCTCTTCCTACATTTAGGGAAAGTACCAGAGACAAAGTTCCATTTCGGATTATAAATTTAACTTTGTTCCTGTTGTCACAACAAGTTTAATTTTTTGCGAAAGTTGCATTAATTTCCGTCATTTTGAAATGTTGCCCTCTTTTTTGTACTAATTTCCTTTATTTGAAAGTCGTTTTTTGTTGATTTCCTATAATAAGGTAGAACCCTGTATCCCTTTTAATTGCTGTAAATGTAAATGTCTTTTAATAAGTTATGAATAAATAAAAAAAAAAACAGAATGTTTTCTTGACTTTTCCATGGCCGTATTATTAATCTGTTAGCCTTTGGGCCTTTCGAGCCTTTTTACAGATTGAAATGACAGCTTTCCATACCCATTTGTATACTTCAACTAGTAAAATCCCTACCCTTTAACATACCGGAAACCTGAGAAAGGAGCCCCTTTTCGTCAGGGCCTCCCTGTATAGCCCAGTATGGGAAGTAACCCCCTCCACTGCTTTGTGTTTTCCTCTTCTTTAATGTACTAGTTGATCACTTTGCTTGACTTGTTGAATGAAGGAATTAGATGCATAATAGATTAGTTATTTATGTCAATAAAGGTTTTTTTTTCTCAACAGCCAGTGGTTAAACTCTCATACAACAGATCAAACAACAAATACTCCTACACTGGGTATGTTTTGATAAATAATAAGTAATAATTAGATGAATTATTTTACTAATATTCTTAAAAGGAAAATTGATGGAAATGTGACTCGTTTAATATCCGCCAATAATTGTAACCTTAAGGTGACATAAATCCCCTCAATGAACAGCCAGCAGTCTGAATATCAGTATTTGACTTTGCAATACGGTCGAAACTCGATTATCCGGACTTGTTTCCTTGGTCCCTTTTTTTTCATGAATATTAATAAAATGTGATCTTGAAAAACTGAAACTATTAAAAGTTCATTACTACCTGCCAAATGTGTGTTTAAAATACTGTTTTAATCTGTTTCACTTTGGAAAAGTGTGAGCAGAACAAGATGATTGGCTCAACTGTTATGTTGCTAAAGGAACGTCATGTTTGATTTCGCATTGGTTATGTAAACACAAGACCAATCGATCATAAACTCAAATCTCAGCCATATCTATGCAACAAAAGCGGTCCGTTCTCTCCGTAAGGGATAAGCAAATGATTATTTCATGTTTGGAGAAAGGCAAAAAAGGAACAAATTTAGCACTCAAGTTTAAAATCAGCAAGCAGCAGATCTCAGATATACATATAAACAAAGAGAAGATCCTGAAATTCACGGCAGCGTGGAGACGAGTGAAGGATTGAAAACACATAAATACTTATGTACAGTCCGTACATAAATTTAAGTAGAAGCTAATTCACAATTATGTATTTTTTCTTTATTCCCTATGTTACATTATTGTCTCATTAATATTCATATTTTCGATTATCTGGACTATTTACTCAAGTCCAAGTGAGTCCGGATAATCGAGGTTCAACTGTAACACACCCTCAGGTGATGATTTGGCTTTGGCTTAGATTTGGATAGAAAATACTATTCAACTCTCAGTTGTAGCCTGTGTTGTTTAATAAGGTTAGAGAGTGTCCTATGAGAGTGCCTATGAGAGTGCCTAGTGCTCTCTGTTTATAGCCCCGCCCCAGACCTTTTGTTTGACTGTTCACGCATACTGGGACACACTTCCCCTTTTTTGCCTCCATCCGCTTTTCCATTTATGCCTACCTCCTGGCGGGGTACTACTGGGTTTTGGGAATTGAGTGTGCCACCTGGTTCTTTAAATCCTGATCGTGTGTCTGACCAGAAAATGTTTGATTCTCCACACCCGTTTTCAGACCTGGCCTCTAAAATCCATACCCATTTTCAAAGAAAACAAACAAGGGTCACAAGTACGACAGACATGTTTACGTAGGCAGAAATTATGTCATCATGACTTAGATTAGAACACCAACAAAAAGACTTCTAAAAATCCATTTCGAATTTGCATGACTCTTTCTTTCTTATTCACTCGGAACGTTCATACACTCCTAGACCAAAATGGGTAAAGTCTATACCCATTTTCAGACCGAAAGGGTGCAAAAACCATGTCCTTTGTGGTGGCTCAGGGCGGCATGGGGCGGGAGTACCTCCGGGGGGCTGCCTTCTTGGAAGGCTGCTTTGAATGTGTCAGGCCAAAAGGTGGTTTACAGTGATTTTGTTTATATTTAATATTTATGTATATCAATAATGTCTGATGTTTACAACCGTGTATAAATAAAGGTGATGATAATGATAACGGGTTTTGATATTCAGACCAGGGACATTCCTCCTTACCCCACCCCCTACCCCAACTAAGATGAGCTCACCAATGCTTAACTTGTATGCTTGTTCCCTTTTTAGTAGTTCGATTAAAAAAAAAACTTGAAATCTTTGTCAGCTGCAAATGTTTAGTTACTTAACAAATCTTTTTTCTTCTGTTTCCACAGCCAGTCAGATGACAATCTGTTAAAAAATATCGAACTTTTCGACAAGTTATCTCTTCGCTTCAACGGACGTATTTTGTTCATTAAGGACTTGATCGGAAACAACGAAATTTGTTGTTGGACTTTTTATGGCAACGGCAAGAAACTCGCTGAAGTGTGCTGCACCTCGATTGTCTACGCCACAGAGAAACCGCAAACAAAAGTAGAATTTCCTGATTCAAGAATTTACGAAGAGGCACTAAATGTTCTTCTGTATGAGCACAGAGGCACGGGAAACTTCCCCGACGCCGAGCTTCTCAGCGCAACTCGGAGAGCGGTCGGGCCCCGAGTAATTCCTGAAAGCGACGAAGAATCGTCGAGGAAACAAGACAAAAACAGATGAACTTATTTCACGAGAGAGTTTCTTTTTTTACATTTTTAATTGGCTCGTCTTTTATCGGTAAATTTGATGCGTAGACATGGGTTAATTGTGCGGATATGCGCTGCTTGAAAATTCTTTAATAAAAATGATTGACATGGTGAGCTCCTTGAGATGGTGAAATAGAAAAAAATTATATTCTCCGAAGGAGGGTTTAGGGTCTATGAAAGGGCAAAAATACTTTTTGTTAATCATGCACTGATCATAGGCTCAAGTGTTCAACACTGATCTCACTGACTTAGTAAAAGATTCGTCAACCCCCTCATTTCCAAAAAGGGGTCTAAACTTTATAAAATTTGGCTAAAGTGCGGTGGAAAAGCTTTTGTTGTCGTTGTTTCTCCGGTCTAGTTTTTTTTTCTTTAATGTCACTTGTCCTGTTTTGTACCGGGTCATAGCCTAGCCTGCGTAGCAAGCGGAGCAAAGGAAACCGAGGAAAGGAATTTTTGGTTTTGGATGCGCGAGAAAAGGAGTCTTTGTTTGCTCCGAAACCACGCGAAAACGTTCGCTGCGCAGGCTACACATAGCCCTGAGCTGCAAAGGGTGTTTGTTGTTGTGTTTAACTACTGGAAATGATAGCGGTTGTGCTGGCATTCCAAAGGGTTTTAGTGGGGATTACTGTTTTACTGTCTTTTTTAAGTGGTGTTGTGAGTTATGGAAACGGTTTCGGATTGGGTGTTTTAAATGTGACTGTGTCAGAACCAACAATTTAAATGATTAGAGACAATGTCAAATTACTAATAACGAAAGACAACGAAAACTACCTGGGTGAGGAACTGTACCTCAAGAAACTAGGTCCAACATTGAACAGGGGTTTTGATATCGTCACGTGATGGATGAGATCTTGTGAGCGATAAGCTCATATGAGTGATCAAGACGTTGAAACATATCGCTTCGCAAAAAGTATTTGCTCTGAGTCCGTATTATTATGTGTTCAGAACGGAAAATATTCTTTTCTGTAAATGATAAGAGTTGTCGAGGTATCCCCATCCAGACCACCTAACCGACTGACTACGTCACAGAAAAACCATTAAAGTTAAGCTACGGAAGGGTACTTTCCTCTGTATTTGTTTCCTTACAGAACTGCGTCTTCCCCTTGCAGCCTGGCTGACCCTCTCGGGTATTCTCTTTCTTCGCGTTTTCTTCGTGATTCGCCTTTTTTGTACCCACTAAGGAGCCAGATTACTGCAATAACAGGATTTGCCTGTATTAACCAAAAGCATTCGAAAGAAAGCATCTTCACATTATAGATGACAAAAATTAATGAACGCCACATTGTTGCCAGCTGTGAGGGAGCGGCGGTTATTATTATTGCACCTAACCAGTGAGTGTATGTGGCGCTTATTCAGGTTTTACTCGTTGACGGTACCGCCCTGCACCATAGAAAGGCTTCTGGGATTATTTTGAAGCTTTTTGACGAAGAACCAACGTAGTGAAAAGACATTTTTCGGGATCGAAGGGCACTGAACAATACTGATCTATCACTAAACTTTGTCATTTTTTTCTTGCTGTCGCTATCATAACGTTAACTAAAACTTTTAAACCAAACACGAATTATTACGTAGGACAGCCGCTTAACTATCCTCTTCCCGACTCATCTAGGAAGATCGAAGGGCCTCTGCTCGCAGGGTACCGGTTAACCAAAAGAGAGAACTAACTGAGGAAGCTTCCATGTTATGGGGTGGAGGTCTAGGAGAATTTAGAGGAAGGCCAACCATATTAGTGAGTTTACGCAACAGGACGGCATAAAGAAGAGGATGGCAAAAGGTTTGTGTTTGGCAAAGGCCATGATCTTTACCCTGGACATAACTGTTTTCTGGTCTTGTACAAAAAGATCTGTTTAAAAGAGGGTGAAGTTTGACGGAAAGTTTTTTCAAATAAAATTATTGTCACGCAGATCTCAGAGTTAAGGGGATTTTTTCTACACTAAATGTTAGAGGGGCCAGAACTGGACTAGCGTCTCGGTTAGATAACACTTCTGCGAAACAAGCTAAATTCAGGCCAGGTCATAAAGTGTCATCCGAGTGGCTTTCAGTTCTCTTGGCTTTATATTGCTTAATCTTTATGCAGGCCGGAATGCTAAAAGCCCTGAGTCGCATAGATGGTAGAAACATCCTTATTTGGTGTAAAAATCATACCTCATATCTTTGCGTCTGTCCTTCATTGATTTTTTGACCTCTTTTTTTGTTTTATGCCAAATTTACAGTGATTACAATAGGCTCCTGTTACAATCTATTACAGTCGACTGTGTAAATATTTAGAGGCGGTAGGAGGACACGGCAGTTTGAATGCACTGAAAGAAAAGTCACTAATTTTGGACGGAACTGTAAATTATCGTGTCTCTTAGTCGGGTTCGCAGATAAAATTCTGAACTTCCCCCGGCGGTTGAAAAATTTTGCGTCGCGGCGCTTTTTGCGACAGTTGGTGAGCCGCAAAGCCTTTTGGGATACAGTTGAAGGTCTATCAAAGATGGCGGACGGTCCAGCTGGATTTCATTTCGATGAACTAAACAAAGTTCGGGTGTTAGAACCTGAAATTAGTCAGCAGACCCAGGAGCTTAAGGAAGAGTGCAAAGAATTTGTTGATAGTAAGTCTGAATTATTTCTTAGAAAAATGTGTGAAGCAAAACTTAAATAACTTTTCTTAATCTGTGCGGTTTCTGTTCTTCGTTTACTTCGTTTACAGAAGACATCATTAACTCATATTGATTGTATTGCTCGTTAGAAATTGGAGAATTTCAAAAAATCGTGGGAGGATTTATAGATATGGTTGATGCTTTGGCCAAGGAGGTAGAAAAGGAGAAAATGAAGGTAAACGTACAGTTCAAGATCATGAAATAAGCTTATTTGTTTATGCCTGGAATGCAGGGCGAATGCTGTCTCCTTGGTGATATACGCTCCCTTGTCCATATCCATATGAATATCTCCTCTTTGTGCCAAAAGTCAAATTTTGAGTCTTGTAAATTAAAAAGTAGTAATTAAAATCTTTTCCAAATATTTCAGGCTATTGGCTCAAGAAATCTTTTGAAGTCAATTGCAAAGCAAAGAGAAGCACAACAGCAACAGCTTAGAGCACTGATTGCTGAAAAGAAAACACAGCTTGAACGGTAAGAATCACTGTAACACTTGTTGGCTCAGTCTAACACATTATGCATCTGTATTCCTGGGATCCATATTCCCAGTCGTGTGGTCGTCCCAGAAGACTACAATCTCGTACGGACAATGAAGGTAACTGCAAAAATTGCCCTTTGGACGAGTATTAAAGGTTTTGCTCAACCACAAAATCTTTTCAAAAATTCTTATATGATTTTATACATTTTCCTCGTGTTCTGATTAATTATCATCCACTTAAAACGTTTAGAAGAATGGAGAATAACAAGCAGCGTTTGTCTGCAATGAAATGGTAAGTTTGGGCGCCATCTTTGATGGTGCAGTATTTTCTACGAAACGTTTGCAGGCTCAGTTTTTTGTGAAGTACTGCATTCAGAGGGATTCAGAGGCCATTCTTAGATGTGGTGTATTTTAGAAGGCATTTTGTCGCCATCGGCCAAAAAAGAAAAAAGGTGAAGCAGAAGCCAGTGCATTATATGCATCAAGATGTGACGTTCTTTAGAAGACATTTCGCTGCCTTTGACAAAAAAAGGTGACGCAAGAGCTACTGCCTTATGCAGGGGAAAAATGTAAGCGTACCGTCTTGCCTTCATGGCAAACTGAACAACCGTGGCTACTTGCAAAACATAAATAAACTGTGTTTAGCCTAGGCTTGTAGCCTGTGGCGTACTTATCAGTTTATTTAAAACCTTTCTTAGTAACTATCTGGAAATAAAATGCTACTAATACTAATAATAATTATTGTGAAGTTGCAAAATTTGACATAAATGAATTCCCAACGCAGTACAGTTGAAAAGAATACCCATGCACAAAGAGTGCAAAATATGAAGAATATTACTTTACTTACCAAGGAGGTTTGGTGGTGAAATTTGCTGGCCTGACATAATCACGCATAAAGGCCATTGTGACTGCTTTGGTTTCCGTGATAATTGCAGTAAAAGTTGCCAATTTGGTGAACAGTCATGTGCCAAACTTTACTGTCTTATTAGTAAGTCTTCAAGTTCAAGAGAGATCCATGGATTTATATTTGCATGAAATATTATTTATGCTCTGTTTTCTTTATCACTCGACTCTTTCACCCTAGGCTGTCTGGGTATTAAACCTCGAGATGTTACATGCACTTCCAAATTCTATTACAGTAGTTGGGCAGCTTCAACTTATCACGCAATACTGCACAAAGTGTCCTTTCTGGCAATGAGATAATGTTGTACCTGGGGACCATTGTATGATTTTAAGTCGCTAAAAGCGCAACTCTGAAATTGAAAATGAAATTCAGGGCTCGACATTGCGACCTGTGGGGTCACCAATGCGACCAGCTTTTACTCAGTGGCGACCAAATTTTCACGCCTGGTCGCCAACCTGGCTTCCAAGATAGGAGACTTTCTTCTTTGGGAAATCGTACACTAATGATAATCTGTTATCCTTCACAAAACTAAATCCATTAATTCTTAAATATAATTTTTGGCGACCAGCATACTTGTTCTGGCAACAAGAAATGAAAACTTGGGGGCCAACTGGCCCCAAGATTTGTTTCTGAAAGTTGAGCACTGAGATTGAAAATGTTGAGCCTGGAGCACTGTTACTACTGTGCTTTGTAATCAACATGAACTTTTGTAAGTTGATTGAGTGTGTGATCTTCTCTCATACGTTTGTTATATTTGCCCTCTATTGCTTGATTCTAGAGGTAATCCAATAAAACTATTATAAGTGCAACAAGTGTAGCCATTGTTTTAGAGTTTGAACGCGACAGCTAAACTTGTAGTTTGTAGTGCATGTAACAGCAAGAAATATCAACTACACTGGTTTCTTAATGTCACACATTATAAATACATCACGTACATGTTTTTGTAGACATTTTAGAGCTTTGTTCAGATCATAAGCAGCATTTTGCTCTCTTTTCATTTTATTATAAGATTCCGAGTGCAACATGAAGCTTTACAAAAGGTGGAAAGTGAACAGAATGAATTTATAGAGCAGTTTATTCTGCAGAAGTGACTGGAAATACCAGGTAAGAATCCTATCCATCATCCATTCTTTACCACTCATTTGAACCCCATGCCACACAGCCACTGCTCTCATCACTGCACTACTCTTGATACATTGTACCAAATCACCTGAACATGAATACAATATGGTAGTAACCCATGTAAACCAGTAGTTTTTAAAATAAAATTATCAATATTATTATTATTGTCATTTTTAAAATAATGACAATAATAACAGTACTAATAATATTATTTATGTGGGTACTATATGCCATTGTTCCTAGGTCATTTTGTACGTCTGCGATTTTTTTGTTTCTTTGTTCTTTTGGAAGCAAAAACAAAGTTTATAAATAAAAGTATAGAAAAAACTCATATGTCAAGAGTGAGAACTAATAACAAACTCAGCACCTTTGGACCACTGACATTATATTTCTCTAAATTTCATCTTGTTATAGGTGGCTTCTGTATAAAAGCGGTTTTCACTGTTATCTATCCATAAATTACGTAAAAAATGTAAATAATATATACTGTAACATTTTTGTCATTTGTCATTAATAAATGAATACATCTTGTACATTTACAATGGATTTGTCTTTATTGCTCTAGCAGTTTTTAAACGTAGATCCCTTCTTTTCTTTCTACAAGTTACTTCCACACTTTTCACTTTTGCATTCATATCATAGTTTTAAACTTCTAAAAGTGTGGAATTAGCATTTAATAGTCTAACAGAGTAAGGATTACATCATACTTCTCCCCTATCATGAAGCCCATGCCATTTTCCCTTACAAGCGAATCATATATACAGGCCAATTGAAAAAAGGTGTTATGTGTTCTTGTAACATTTAGTTTTATATTTAATTTTTCTTGATGTAGTAGAGTTCTTTCCAAGTGCATTGTTTTCTTTTGGAGCATTAATGAAGTTATAAACTCTTTTTCATCTTCAACAGTGAATTGCAGATAAGCAGCAATGCCTGTGGCAATCCAAATGACAAAATATAACTAAAGAACACTAGTTTCCAACCAACATGACCTGCCTCAAAAACATTACATGTTGCAATCACTGTTTTAAAACTAAGACAAAGAAAAACAAGAATTGAACAGGTTCAGACTATTACTAAGACAATGCATGATGTAGCTTTCCAAAGCTTTTCAACTTTCTCATTGATTTAGCTATCATTTGTTTTGCTTTGTGGGGTCTGAACTTACTGACTTTACTGCCACACCTACTTTCTGACCTACTTTTTGCTTAGTTCCTCTAGTTCAAGCTTTAGTCATGGCTCATGATTCTAAATGTAAATCTGATATTTTAAAAAAGCGATTGTTGTTGAATTGTACTTAATCATTTTACAAGTCTAGTTCTACAACATTCTTTACTTAATATTCTTTATTAGTTTTGTTGTCCTTTTTATCAGCATTGTAGTCAGTGATTGCTGTCACCATAATATCAGTAATTATAGCATAGAGATCAGTCCAGGCAGCCTTTAATGCTGGTGTGAAAGCTTCTCCTAGTCCCTCTTCTAGGACTGATAGAAGAGCTTGTCCAACATACTGAAAGGAGAGAAAATTAATATACTTTGGCATTAATGGGGAAGACACGCCCAGATCGTCTCAGAACTGTACTGAACTGTTCATCAGGTAAAACTGCTTGAACAGTTCATTTACAGACTTAACATGGCACCATTTGTTTAGCCATGAAAAGTTTGAGAATTTATTGAATTATCCTTTTCTGACACTCCAATCGAAGGTCTGTGCATCTATCTAACAGGAAACTGTGACATGATATTCTCCAGGGTAACAAATATTTAGACTGACAGTTGGGAAAATGCAGATATTGTTCCACTTGAGACATCATTACTTTTAAGATGACTTTGATGCACAGTCTATACAGTACTAAAAAAACTTCCAAAGCGGTGTCAGATGTTGGTAACTACTTTCACATTCCCATAATACACCTTGTTTACCCCCAAATGTCTTGCATAAGCTTTGTTTCCAATTTCACTCGGGATTTACAATCCTCCCAAGAGAACTTGAAAACAATACTTATGCAAAAATTTTGGGGGAAAACAATGTGTATTATGGTTACTGTGAAAGTAGTGAATGTTTTTTTTTTCTCTTTCAATAATGTTCAAAATTGCGCATGCCCCAGGATGGACACCACAAATGGAAAATCGCCAAGCCTAAAATTGCTCCAGCCTTTTCCGTCCTGCGGTTCGACTTTGCATGTTTGGAGCTCACAGGCCAAATGTGTGAAGTAGAAGCTTTATTATAAAAGCTGAAAATTGTCAAAGCCTCATAGATCTCGTAAACAAAACCTAAATATGGTTCTCATAGGGCAATACACGATAGGATACAATAGGATTTCCTCCCTGACCTAAAAGCCAAATTTACGAGCACAACATTTTTAAATGAGAAAGTTTCGTACCTCAAACTCTCGATTGGTTAATTGAAACATTGCATGTACTCGTCCCAGTTCCTCCAGGGCTGGGACAAGTACATCCGGGTTATCCAAATTCTTCACTGCTAAATCAATAGTGTTCATTACTCTCAGTGCATGCTCAGTAAACTGTGGCTGCGTCAAGTCGCTACCAAAGGGAAATAAATCCTTCAAGTGCGGGGCCATCTCGAATACCCTGTTGAAACAATTGGATTAGTAAAAGGAAGGTAGCAGTGAAAAACTGATGCTTTATTAGCTATTGTCTTTTGTATTCATTACTGTTAAGAATTTTTAAATTCTTAATCTCATTTCCAGACCCCTTGTAATTTTTGAATGCAGCATATAGTCTCGTCATTTTCTTTAACGGTCACTTAAGATCATTTTGAAAATGTATGTTAAATAACATACGAAACGTCAAGTTTATAAAAATGCGAAAACTCACAATGTTTATCACCGGTGTTTGTGTGTTATTGTTGATCAAAAGGAAGGTTGCTGATGAATTGAGGGAGATTTGGACAACAAATATAAAGTTTTTGTTACTGTTTGCTTATTGGCAACTTCAAATATTCCCAAAGTATTGTATTTCGGGTCGTTCATGAAGGTATGCCGCCTTGAATTCACAAAGGACAACGGGAAGGCGTAATTTGATAAGGTTGCAGTTTTGCCTCGCGCTTTATTGGTTTTCAGTCCCTCACATTGTCTCACGCTATCTTTCAAGGAGTACTTCATTTGTCCACAAACTCAAACTTTAAACCCATTTTCGTAAAAATATCTAACAGCGCCTCATATAAGCGCTGCTCAATGACTTCAGTTTCAATGGGCACACCCTAAAGTTAGATTGTCCGAGGTTGATCGTTTTCATTTTATGCGAAGACACAGCTGAACACTCGATAATTAGAGCAGTAACTTTTCTGAAGTCAATATTTCACTTAAAAAGAAAAGTATTTATTAAGTTGAGGATTAGTACTCTCCTACTTGTAAAATAACAGTTTTCCATGTTCTTCCTTGTTTGGTAACACCTTCCCCCATGAGCTGCGGATTGCCTTAATCTGCTGGTCATTCAGATCAGACTTGAACTTGAATTTGCTGCAAGTTAAAGATGACGAGAGAAAATTGGCAAGGAAAGGGTATTTGCATGAGCGCTTTTTTTCTAAGTCACTTTTAGAACAACTTACTAATGTAGAAATACACCTAACTACAATAGCATTGTCATAGGGAAATTACAAAAGGAAAATGTGAAAAGGTAAATAGGAGTTAATTAGATAAGTTTACCAGTATACCACTATGGGGTGAATTCATTTGTAACGCTCGCGTGCAGCCGTCGCATTGGCAATTTGTTTTTACGCCTGGAGAAAAACCCGCTTGCGCTGAAAATGAATGCAGCCTATAGTGGTCTAATTAAATCCTATTTGGCTTTTTCTTTTAGTATTTTTGGTTTTTTTCTTTTAGCGTGTCGATTTAGACAACATTTTCGCAGTTAGGTGTACCAAAACGGTCTGTGGACGGCAGGTACAAAACTCAGGTCACAGGTCACAAGTGCAGGATAAGCTACAGGTCACCGTGCTATGGCAAATAAAAAACACTCAGGGGCACCCAACGAGAATATAGTTCAAAACCACTTAAACATACTATCGTTAAACGTATTTTCGTCTTCCGAACAGATATTTTCCGAAAATTTACGTTGGGTGCCCCTGAACACTAAAAGTGTCTCCTAGCCCTAATCACAATCCAAAATAGAATTTTAGCTCAACTGGGGAAACTGTTTAGCTCAGTTACCTGTGATTTGTGTTTTGTACCTGCATGCCACTCAGAGGATAGCCAATTAGATATCGAGTTTCACGACAATGCGTGGCTCTGCATGTCTCAATTTCAAATTGGCTTCTTCCCAGTTGTGCCTACCAAGAGGCTGATTTCGAGTTTCTGAACCGCGCTGTTAAGTAACAAATCGGTAGAATGACTTATGATTTTATTTTGCCTCCTAGGACTCACACACACTGCAAGCTCGCGAAAAAACGTCAGTGTTACCGTTTTGTTCGGTCACTTCGAGAAAAGTACAGCTAGAGAAATAACGCTAAAAATATGCTTTACTGATGAACGCTATTTGTCGTCTGGACCTTGACTTTACGTCCAACCTTTCCTACCCTTCTAGGAGAGCAATCTTAACTCAGAGCTCCTCTGCACATGTCCGGCAGGCTTCTTTCAGATCTTCCCCTTATGTGCAGAACTTACGCGCAGTAACAAAAGTGGGAACTGCCCTTATTTGATCAGATCAATGTTTTACTGCGAAAACATAGATACGGAAGGTCCTAAGATTTCAGCTGCGGTTCAGTTTTGTTTTTGTTTGTTTTTTTTTTTTTCCTTAGTTTTAGAGTTCGGGATCACTGTGACCCTCTCTTGGTCCTGGGAATGAGGCTGTGTTGGAACGTCGGTAAATAGAGACTCTAAATAAGAGCCATTTAAATATAATTTGATCATTGACACGCCTACTCTAAAAAGATCGACCTCAACTCTCAGTAACTAGTCAAGGCAGTAAGAAACTTTGGCCGTTTTCACACTAGAGACGGATAATCAATCTCCGTCAAAATTGACGGAAAAACAGATGGATAAAGTCAGGCGGATTGTCCATCCAAAATTAAGACTGTGAGACAGTTCCATTTTCAAATTACAGGGCCGTAGCCAGTATGAGGCAAACAGAGGCACTTGCCTTGGTCATTTTTTTCCCAGGTTTGATCCCAGTGTTTTGGTTAAAGGTAGTCCGGTCAAAAAGACCCTAAATAGCTAGGCGGTGAATTCAACCATAGATAGTGCCTCAAGTCCCATTTACACTAGAGAAAAACCGGATCCGGAACCATTAAAAAGTGGTCCGGACCAATATATTTTAACCGTTTACACGCGTAACAATCAGATTAGGCTGAATAGTGAAATAGTGCAAAAGTAGACATGCGCGAAACCACCGTAAAGCACGGCAGGCTCACGTGAAGAAGATGGTACGGAAGGAAGATGCGTTTACACAGCGCTTTCGAACAGCAAAAGGGGTCCGGACTCGTTTTTGGGGGGTTTTGGGGCCATAGGCGGATGGCCCCCAAACCAGAAAAAAGCAAGTCTGGATCCATTTCATGAAAACATGGTACGGAAGGTTTACATGGCAAAAATATCTGGTCCGTACCAACTTTTTTATGGGACCCTTGTTTTTCTGTGGTATAAATGGGGCTTAAGTCCTCTTTTTTTTTTTCTGGCTGACGCGAATTTTCCAACGGATAACCCGTCTCATACGGATCAACCGTGTCTACTGTGAATACGGCCAATACAAATTACTTCAGGGGTTTGTTCGTCTTCTAATGTGACGATGATTGACCTTGAAAAAAGGAAAAGGTACAGTTTTCATCAGGCTGATCAGATCATCTTGAAGCCACCAAACGTCATTTCACAAATTCGTTTTTTGGTCCAGAGGAACTTACGGCGTCGTGTCTAATATCATGATTGATCACTATGATATTTTGTTAGTTTTAAGTACTGAATTACGCTCTACCACTATTGATTGACCCAGTACTATTTTTCATATTTCATATTTCATTACTCATGAATAAATTGTTTTAAGTAGTATTAATTCTCACCTGGGTTGTTGTTGGTCGGTTGAGTTTGTTCCACTC